CCTAAAAATAGGTCGATAGCGCATCTTGTTTAGAATGTTATATGGCTGGCGTATTTCACTTACCATCAATTAAACTCTCTAGATATCGTTGTTCTTGAAATAACTTTTTTTATTATCTCCAGTTAACTCTCAATGAACTGAAAGTTAATTATTGTTGAAAAAAAAAACGATTACATAGGCGGGATTACAATCCTCTACCTCATTGGTCCAACTGACCTAATTGAGACGTGTCGTCCATTAGAAACAAATATTTTAAATTATTTTAATTTGATATATTTTATAAGCGCAATACTAGTTGTGAAAAAAAACATATTATTAACATATTTTATTAATATTAACGGATTTTCGGTTAATTAAACGCTGATTGGATGATGATATTGTTATACACAGGTAAATTTAAATAAATCACTTTCAACGGTTTCAAACTCGAACATATATAAATAATTTGTATATCGTTAATCAAATATAAATTTAATGTTTTTAGTAATAACTTTGTTTTTTTGTTTGATTTACGTATATGTACGTGTAAACTAAAATAAACATAATACAAAGATACAAGTATCTGCGTATTATTTTTTACATGCGTACAAGATTGAGATAGTTATTCTACTCCCGTCAACCACATAGCTAGATTAGGCAGACTAGCACCGGCGTAACAAATGTGAAACCCTACATATGTTCAGAAACCCTAATAATAACTTAATACCTTGTCGTTCCAACCTATTCGTGTCCCACAGCTGGGAACTGGTCTCCTCTAACTTAGGAGTGTTGAAGCGCTCGGATCCACGATACAACCTCTGTGGGGGGTTTGGTGAAAGTAAATAACTACTGATTGTAGCTTACGCGAGTGGTACACATTTAAATAAAATATTTTTTACGGTATAAAACGCGAAATTTATTACAACTTATTTACAACTCTTCCTTCAACTGAGCTTTTCACGGGAGGTCACAAAGTCTTCGCCATTTTAAACCGTTAAAAGTGTATTTGAATACCGCCATTAAACTAATGATTGTAATAGTGGCCGATGGGCTAACGTACGAAGCAAGGGTGTGATGTGAAAATAACGCAAATTTTTCGACCTAATCATGATTCAGTGAAAGCCAAGTTATAGCGGTTTTTTCGTCTTGATTAGTTCCATTTGTCGTAGTGTTGTAGACTTGTGTCTTGTACCCGTGTCGTATCGACCGCTACGCATAGTAGAGCTAACCTTGACAGCACACCCACTTTCACAGGTATGTCGCGTCTAAGGTGAAACGGACGGACATCAATATTTCATAGTCATTAACTACTGTAGATCAATTGCATACTAACCCTAGTCCAGTTAAGACCAATTGAGTTTGGTTTTTAAATGGAATGCATTTAGTGCTCACTGCTGTTTCATAGCCTTGACTTCTTCCGCAGCTTGCTGGTAATATTATGATCGCGGCAGGTTCTAAGTTCGAACCGAGAAACATTAATTGTTTGATGGGAAGGACTTTTATAAAAGTGAAGAGTTGTTATGAAGCTAATTGAAACTCTGTTAGAATAAACATTTTTGGCGTTAAACTAATTAGTAGGAGGGGATAAGAAAAAGGCTGGGGAAAAACAAACTTTGACGCGCTGCATGTGCTGCACTGCAAAAACTATTTAAGATATCTTTCTTTAAAAAATCTAGAAAAATCTCCGCGACAGTATATGTCTAACTTTTTAAATTAACAAGAACCGTTTTTATCGTAATCAAATTCTTTATAGTCGAAATACTTTATACCGTTTGTCTTGTCAGCTAGTGTTAGCTATAATACTTTCTTAAGTTTGTTTAAGTTTACTCTAATAGTACCAAATAAAACACTTATAGTGCAAATTTAAAATTACTTTCGAATCTCAAAATATAGCCTCCCTTGTGTCCACAACAGCTGCAAAACATATGTAGTAATTTAATTTATATTAAACATTTCGCATTTAAAACTGTTTAAAAGTTTTATTTCATGTATAATATTAGCCGGAATAACAGACAACTATATTTGAACTAAGTAGTATGTCTGTAACTAAAATCGATAAGTGGAACAGACAAAGTAATGCCATCTGCAAACGACACTTCCCTTAATATTTAATTAATAAGTGGAATTCTTTTATGAACTAAGTCAGTAACTAATAAATTGTGTAAGGCTTTCACGGCCATTGTTTTTCGGGCTGTTCGGCTAACAAGCGAGAAGAGTTTTTCGACGTTCCTTCCTGAAAAACAATGATATGCAAAGTCAATAACTACTTAGTTAATCTTAGTGTATATACTTAGCGAAGTCTACCCTTGAACTAGACAAAATTATGGATAGCCGTATCGGCACATTTCGCCTTTCAAAGTCTTGGCATCTGCTCTGCCCCGCATTTCGTTATATAACATTGCAGGTACAGGCTATGATAGTAACTGAATGATGGACGCCTAAAATGGGCTTCAAGTACTCATGAATAGCGCTGATGGATCGCGTCTTCCGGAAAGTTTTAAGTAAAAGAAATCTGTCTCTTTATAGCTGTTAATAATGATGTTTATATAGGTTATGCCTGCTTGAAAGAAGCCTATTAAGAAAATTAAAAATCAGTTATTGATTAAAAGAAAATACGCCTCTCACGAGCTAAAGCTCAGAACGCTGTGGATGCCGGTTCAAGTCCTGCCCGAGTCGTAAATTCAATTTATAATCGATTTTTATTTTATATAGTGCCATCATGTGCAATAACATGCTAAAAATATTAAAGTTTCAAGCCGATTACTTAACTGTTTTATATAGAAGGACTCATATATTTTATTTAACCGTCTATTTATTTTAAAACTTTAATATTTTTCACATGTTATTGTTGCACATGATACTTACTAAGAAAAAGATCTTGGTTTTTTTATTTAGCAGTTAGCCAATTTTTTTGATTACATTTAGCGAGACAGGTTCAAGTATCAATTAATGCACAAAGTGAATGTAGGACACGGTTGCCAATTGGTATTTTTTTTTTCATTTTAAATAGTTTTTTAATTCATCTATTTATGTATATATCCGTATCCAATGCACTTCCATAAACAAACGATAGCCACCTAGTATTGGTGTAAACTGTTAAACTTATCGTCCTATATTACACGAACTATATACAACTGTATATATATATTATTTCCATTATCAAAATACGTATAAATATTTAACACTCGGTAACAAACTGTTCTGATTCATACAGTAAGAAATGAAGATGGCAAACAATCACAGATACAGGCTGTATAGTTTCCACAAAGTAACGGTTCTTTTAATGTCAGGTGGTTCATTCCGCGCTGGGTAATTTTGTAACAATACGTTACATCGCGATGTCGTAAATTTACAACACGTAACGAAATCTTTGTGTATCCCGCTTATACAGTTGCAATGTAACATTTGTATGTGTTATTCATTATCTGTGCCCTCTCAACAGCGTTGAAAGTGTCTTGATAAATCTGTAGGACAATTATTCTTACATTCTTCCTGTTAGTTCAATAGCTATATATAATAGAGTTTTAGTATTGTATTCATGTCTAGATAAATACATAAATAATTCGTCCAAGTGCGGACTAACATATGGTTCTGTGTACCATTGATTAGTCAAACAATAGTAATCAATAAAACACTTTAACGATTTAAAACACGATATATATTGAAAATTATTTTAACTACAGCCCGATGTTTGGGGTGTGCAGCAGCCGTGGTCACCTAGAGACACGTATGTTTTACTAATATACATTTATCGCTATTTAAACCGTTAACGTGACGTTTCAAATACTACTTGTCACCACTATTGGTATGTTTCAAATAAGGAAAGATTGAGGTTTAAGTATATGTTGGTACAGAGGCAACGGAAATGCACAATTTGTAAAAAAATCCACAGCTTGGTGTCAGACAAATAGTCATCGAAAACTACCTTTTACCCTTTGAAGAGTTAAGACTACTATTAAAGAACTACATTCCTAGTTTATTTGTTTTTTACTTTTAAAACATTCCCCTTTTTTTTTCTGTTCCAAATTGACACCCGTAAGTGACAAATTTATAATATACCGTTCGTTTACGTATCTTAATAGAAAACTGTAATTACGACATCAAATTAGATTATTGATGCAGTTGCATCAATAATCTCGTTTGAATAGTAATTAATACTGACTCATTGCCAAATATAGAGCGCGGCTGGAGGCCAAAAGCAACACATGCAGGAGATACAACCCGGGCCACCGTTAATACTTTATAGCTCGCGACCGCAGCGGACTCAAAAGAAATAAACAATGCTAGATTTACTTCATATGAATTGTGTACTTCCAAGAATTAAAATGTTCTTGTGTGTTCTTGTTAATGTGAACACGATCTTTATTTTGTTGCCATGTCTATGACAAGAGAAATGTCAGTAGTATCTTTCCTAAAGCAATAAGTTAAAACGATTTACTAAAATAAAACACTTTTAAAGTTTAAAACACGAAATATACTGTATAAATTTATTTAAACTACCATCGTGTACACGGCTGATGCAAAGAAGCATACATGTCGAGTCGTAGTTAAAATTTATAAAAGATAAAATAAACTAATATATTTCGCGTTTTAAACTGTTAGAAGTGTTTTATTTAAACTACTAGAGTATACAACAGATAGTACTTAAATATTTATTAAAAATGATGATGGTGTAATACTAAGAATTTTTCTCCTGTGTTTTAAATGTCTTAACTCTTTGGGACAAGGCTTCTGAGACAAAAGCGGTGTCAGTGTAAAAAAAGAGAAAAGAATAACCTAACTGTAGTCATTGCTTTATTTTGAGTAATATTTAATTATAATATATCTACTTACATATTTAAAATACGGCGATAACATAAATATACAATTCAAAGACGTTATTATAATAAGTAAACAAATTAATTTCGGCCTTTAAACTATTAAATGTGTCCTATTTAATATTTCCACTGGTCTTCCTCAGGTGGAGCATCGTTCCTCGTGTTGGCATGGGCTCGCGGTGAGGCACAGAGTACATCCACACAATGACAGAAGGCGAGAGACAGCAGAGTGCAGGCGGCGCAAATGCCGCCCCCCAACACAGGAAGGGGCACAGGTGAGTTCAAGTTCAACATATGCGTGTCTCTTGACCTGTCCCCTTTTTATAGATTCGGTGACCGTGTCAGAGTCACCTCGGTACTGTGAAATCGGCCTTTACTACTTTGAATCTTTGTAGTTAACTGTAAACTATTCGCTAGTAGCTGATACGGGAAACGTTTTGTTCTTTGCAAAATTAATATTGTTTGATAGAACTCTAATAAATAATTGGTAATAATGCGATAATTTCGACTAAATTTGATTACCATGAAAAACGGTTCCTGCGAGTTAATTTTAAAAACTACACATAAAATCTCGCGTTTTTTTTCTAGATCATTGAAAGATTTAGATTGAAGCATTATTCTAAACATGGTTTTTGGTTTCTTGAACCATTTTCAGGGGGGGGGGGAAAAGAATTTATTTTCCACTTTCTTACTTGCCATTGGTCGCATCGCGTTATTGTATAGCCTAAAGCCTTCCTCCATAAATGGTCTATCCAACATAAAAATAATTTTCAATTCGGATCAGCAGTCCCGGAGTTAACGCGTCTAAACAGTCTCAGCCTATATAATTTTGAAATCGAAAATAAATTGAAAAAATTTTCGACTCGGGCAGGACTTGAACCGGCATCGTCAGCTTTCCGTGCTGTTGCTCTACCATTGAGCTACCGTTAAGGTTGAAGTTACACTGCGCGAGAGGTGCATGTATCAATAAGTTGAAAAAAATTGACGATGAGGTGTAGGACTCGGTAGCTCAATTGGTAGAGCAACAGCACGGAAAGCTGACGATGCCGGTTCAAGTCCTGCCCGAGTCGAAAATTTTTTCAATTTATTTTCGATATTTAAATTATATAGTGCCTTCATGTGCAATAACATGTGAAAAATATTAATGTTTTCAAAAGTCTTCAGCCTTATAATATTAGTAGAGATAAATTTAGCGTATAAACTATTTAACATATAGACAAATTATTTTGTATAATTACTTTTTTATAATCAAGTTCGGAATAATACCTACTTTGTGATGTATTCTTATCTCTAATAGTTGTCGATTAAATTCTTTAAAAGAAGAATCTTTTGTAAGGTGTTTATTAGTATACCTTAATAAATGAGGTCAACGCTTAAAATGCGATGACATTTGTTTCATATACCTTACATGAAAACAAAACCATTTTAGCCGGTTAAAACATTAGCTAGATACTTCAACTTTCATACGTTTTTAGCTCCAAGTGTCATATAATATGCTTCTAGGTCGGTTGTATTGTGGACTAATGAAATATCCTTGCGCTGCATATCGAAATAGCGTCGGTTTTAATATTGCATCGCGAATCTAGCGCTTGATTTTCTACGTTTATTGACCGATGAATGCGAAAGCGGTCAAATCACGGTTGCCGTTACACCTGTAAGCCCTACTCAAATCTAGTTAAAGAAAACAATACTACACAATATTCATAAATAACTAATAAAATAAGTATAGATAGATGGATTTCATTAAAGAATCTTCTGTAGCGTTTTTTATAAAACACTTTTAAAACTTGAAGTATATTAGTTCACTAATTTACAGTTTATTTTAAGGCCGTAGTAACCACCACTAGCTGCTGCAAAGTATCAGAAACATCGGGCCTTAGTTAAAATAATTAGTAAATAAGTTAAACATTTTGCGTGTAATCTATCTAGATATACTAGTCTAAATATCCGTAATTTTTACAATACGTCTTCGTCAATTTTCTCTTTAAGCTTCACAAATTTACCCGATCTCAAAGACACAATTACGAAGGAACCTTTTACAAAAAGGAGTAGGTACACCTGTCCGTATGCAAATACTGCGAAAATTCTTTTCTCTCCTTCCTAATAACCAGTCTTTTAAGTCTATGTTTCTGCCCCTTTTTTAATCTTTTCGAGGTCTGAAGGTAAATGCTACTCTATTCTTAAGTAGCTGTGTCAGCGACTTCGTCCGCGTAGAATAGTTATTTTGGGTATCCAAATTTGTTTTTGCAAACCTCTACATAAATTTAAAAATGCGCCCACGACATCAGTCGCGTCCCATCGCTCGCGGCCCGTCGTTCTTGCAAGTTAATCTTAAAAAATAGACATATAGGGTCGCGAATATTTTGTAGATCATTTAAAGAGGAATCATTCTTTCATACCTATTTTTTGGGTAACTTGAACCGTTTTCGCAGCGTACGCATCTGAAACCCATAAAGATTAAAATTCCCGCTATATCTTTGCTTCTATTAGTCACAAGCGCGATGTTTTATATACTGCAACCTTTCTTGATAAGTGCCTACCAACACGAAAAGATATTTTTCAATTGGAACCCGTAGTTCCTGAGATTAACGGTTTCAAACAAACAAACTCTTCAGCTTTATATATTAGTATAGATATTTCGTCTAAAAATCAGTAAGTAATATTATGAATTATTAATCTAATAGCAACAATGTACACATAAAATACAAAATGATGTCATTTCTACACTCTTGAGTAGAATTCATAACGTTTTAATGTTTACATTATTTCCGCCTTTAACGGCATTAAATCGTCATAAAGTTTATTTTATGATCCGATTAACGGCCTTCTGTAGTTTGTGCATTGAACATTTTCGCACTTGACGTCATAAATATCGTAAGTAGTCATATCTAATTTCGTCATGACTTTTAGCTAAGTTAGTATAGTTAGACTTCTGCGATCTGTAACATTTTTGCTATCGTTATTTTTAGGGTTCTCTACCTAAAGCGATAAACATAAGTAATAAAACGCTCTAAGTAAGCTTTCGTCGTCGTCACAAACAATGCTTTTAAATTAATAAAATAATTTATTTAATATATTTAGTTAAAGTTGTGTATACCTTTGGTAAGCCTGGTTGTTATAAAATAATCAATTTTTTTCCTTAAATCATTACATGTTACTGACGTTTTTTGATTGTATGAAGTCATACCATGTACCAGTATTAAATACATTATTTTACAGGATTTGAGATCTCACTTTGTTACATTTTGTACTATATTAACAGTCAATGCTACTATGTTAAAAATCGTAATTGCACTCATTCTTCTATAATTATTATAATATGTGTACGTACTGTTGGTTGTTAATAGGTTGGAACCCTCTACTAACAAACTCGAACTTGGCCGCTTATTACATTTCTCGGTAACTTTATCGCAACGTTACACTGCGATTTAAACGACAACAAGCAAAAACGGTTCTACGAATTATAGGAGTGTCACCGTATAAAGATTACGAAACTGATACGAAGATGATAGTTTAAACGTTCGATTTCCGTAAAACAAATTGGTAGTTTGATAAGACTTGTAAATCAGAGATAGCGTTAGGTTTGCGACACCTGGCCCACATAGAGCCGGCAGCACACGACTGATATCACACCACACAAAGCTTTAGTCATCATCACGTTTATCTCCAGTACGCCATAAGAGCACGTTCCAAATACCCCGTTAGACATGCGCCTACGGTTATAATCGCCGGCGCGATTGTGTCGTGAGAAAGTGAAATCGCAAAAATGGAGCCTCTCGTGACGTCATCGCGGTCGCGAAAACTCTAACCGTGTTACATTACATGGTATTGTTGTTTTGGAATCGGGGAAGTTGAGCGATCGTTGTCAGCAATATGGCCGATGTCACAGATGAGCAGCTGAAATATCTACTGGAAAGGTAGTTTTGTTATTATTCACTAGTTGTGTCCGCGACTTCGTCCGCATAGTAATTAGTTTTGCAGACAACTTCCTTAACTTTGTATTATACCCACGATTTTTGGGTTAATCTTTGAATTACAAATACTCGCAAATTCAGGTTTAGTTTTGAGTCTTCCCTTAAAATTTTTCAGGTTCTCAGAATTTTTCAGTTCCAACCAATAGTTTGTGCTATTAGCGCGTTGAAACAAAAAAAAACGCTCTTAAACTTTATAATATTTGTATAGATCAGAAGTTGATAACCTTGGGGTCACTTTAATGATATGCGAAAAAGTCAACTAAACAATATTATTTGGCGGTGACGTCCTAATAATATTTTATAAACAACACGTTATATCGAATTAATGTTGTTACAGGAGACAAGAATCAATGTACGCAATGACGGGCTTGTATGCGGAGTCCGGCTGCGGAGATACTGCGGCCACAGAAGCGGCTGGGCCAAGCGCGCCCCCCTCTTACCCACCAAGGGAGTCGATCAAATGTCACAGCAGAAATCCTTCAGCTGGGATATGCGACAGGTATTCTGAAATTAACCCTGAACTTTTAAACCTAATTTACTTGAGATTAAATATTGTCTGTAGTTTACGCGATTAGTACACATTTAAATAAAACACTTTAACGGTTTAAAAATATATTAGTTAAACTGATTTGAAAATAATTTGAACTACGGCCCGACGTTTCGACGTGTTCTGCAAAACAGCGGCGTTTTAAACCGTTTAAGTGTTTTATTTAAATTGCTTAAGGTTTCTCTTTAATATTTCGCTAAAACTTACTTGGTAGAAGGTTTTATTAAAGCTTATTTTTTATTACTATTCTGCTTAAAACCATTAAATTTTATTGTTTAGATTAAACGCAACAACGGATTATTATTTCGTTGCATGTTTTAATTAACATGTACTAATGGAATGTCAAAATGACCATAAGCTTTAAAATTAATCGATCTTAAAAATATATTATTTTTGTTAAATAAGTAAGTAGATCTAATGTTGAATCTTGTAAATAAGTGAGAACTTAGTAATACAAAAGTACGTCCTGCTCTAACTGTAAACTACGTTACAGAGTGACAGATTACAGAAGTAGTATTGATTGGTGATGATAACAGGTAACAGCGTGTCAATCAAACTGTCGGCAATTGTTATTTGTCGAAGCCCTCAAATAATATCACTATCAATATCTGTACTGTCATTTCCTTTTTAATATTTATCATACAATGAATACAATAGTTACATAAATAGAAATTCTTATCTTTTCCTCTATAATCCCAAGCTACGGGTTCAATTTCAAGTAAAGAAGTCTAATAATCCTACTAATATTATAAACGTGAAAGTTTGTATGTGTGGATGGATGTTTGTAACCCTTTACGCAAAAACTACTAAATGGATTTTAATTAAACTTTCCAATTATATAGCTTATACATCAGAATAACACATAGCCTATGTGTTATTCTGATGTATAATATTTATAACATACATATTATAACATACAAATTACAAAGATATTGTGTGAGCTGTCCAAAATATGACATTAAGTGTCAAGTAACTAGGAAAAAACCTACCTGCGAGCTATTCTGGCGTGCGCTGCCATAAACGTTGGTTACACATATTTATGTCATAATGTTAGTTATTTTCTACGCCACGCTAATATAAGCTACTCCAAATACTAATCCTGCGTAGACGAAGTCGTGGGCACCAGCTAGTGATTTTATAAACATGTCTGACCTTGTCTGAAGAATCTGGACGTTAAATCGGTGGTAGGAAAAACGAAGTACGTTAACAAGTAAGTTACGAACCTCTATCAACAGGTGAAAAAGTCATGTTAGACCGCCTTTGGGTCCTGCTGATTTTTGAATGTCCACAGCCAAAACAGATCGATAGTGCTTCCTGTTTGTGTACGTTATTTTATCTTCCACCAAGGGAAGCCCAGGCTTGTCTGTCCTTCTCTATTTTATAAAAAGACGAATAATACTCCAATAAGTACCGTTACAGCATAGTAATCTCATTTCCAATTACAGAGATCGGGAACGCGACAAGGAGAGGGAGAAGCCACACCAATTATTCCCAGAAATATTAGACATTCCTCATGACTCACGTGACTGCGGGATCCTATCGTGGAGGCCGTTATTTATTCAGAGATTCTCTAGTATTAAAGTAAGTGGGGGTTAACTTTTATCGCTTCTTATCATATAGAACTCTTTTCTCAGGTATCTATAAAATTTCACCCACTCACTCTACTGTAAAGGTACTTGTAGATTTACTTAAAGTTTTATAGATTAATGCCGACGAATATGTTTCACTAGCTTAGTCAGCGACTTATGTTAGTATAGTATACATGAACGGTCGGAGTCGGATTAAAACCCCGATTTCAGAAACCACTAGTCCAAAACGACTCACGTCGATCAATGTGGTTACAGTATAACCTGCTTGTTCCAGGTATTCGTATTTTTCCTTTCGTTCCTCGTGACGCTGCAGCAGGCGTTAAGCTCTGGGTACATAAACTCTGTGATCACAACAATTGAGAAACGCTTCGAGATACCTTCCAGCCTCTCCGGGCTCATAGCGAGCAGCTACGAGATCGGGAACGTCATCACCGTCATCTTTGTCTCTTACTTGGGTAGTAGGAGGCACATCCCCGTATGGATCGCTGTTGGTAAGCACCGTTAAGATTTCTTAGATTCTTCTTCCCATAAGTGGTATAGTAATAAGTTTTGTATCGGAATGTGTGTGGAAGCGAGACAGCTATATTATAGTGTCGCCGGTTGCGTTTTTGTATTAGCTGCATACAGTGTACCCGCAATGCTCCCGTGAAGGATAAACATAGAATATAATATTTAGATTTGTAAATCTTAAGATTTTTTAAATCATTGAAAAAAGCAACAATTTATAGATGCCCGTTTAAATACCGTAATTTACAGACACTACTACAAAACCGTTTAAAATAGTTGTATGCAATTGTTCTACTCATGCTATATTTTTATAAGATTCTTATAAATTTCGACAACATTGACGGGTAGTATTGTATGGCTAATAATCTACAGGTCGTGGGTTCGATTTCCACCAGTTTCAACGTATCTGGAAATCTGGGTATTTATGGATGATAAGAATATCGAAATTCCGTTCGGGTCACAAACCACCCTCCGCATTAAAAAAGCCGTGAAGTGAAATCAAATTCATTGTGCATTTCCGAATGTAAAGCCAAAATAGGTCGACATCGCACCTTGTATAGATATGACAACAAGCATGACACTTGATGCATGTAGGGATACTTAAATATGCATCGAGTGTCATGCTTGTCGGGAATGAAACTGACGTGACAATGAAAATCGCCAAATCAACAATTTAAAACGCGCACGTGTATTTAGGTGCCGTTATAATGGGCATCGGATCACTGGTGTTCGTCGTGCCGCACTTTATAGCGGAAGTGAACAGCGAAATGATGTCGAACAATAAATCCGACGACAACATCTGCCGGCTGCCACGGGCCCTCGAACAGGATATGGGAGGGCTCGGGAGACTGTCGCAAGGTCTGCCGCCAGCGAGCAATTTGAGGCCCGACAATTGTATAAAGGCAAGTTTTATACCACATCTTGGAAGTTAAGCTTTTCGCAGACGCCTTTATGTACAACATACTTACATATATAGAACATGTTTTTTAAACTACAAATTCTAAATTGTTGGTAGACTTATTTTTACACACTTCCCAACAACTTATGCTCTCTTAATAGTTGCATAAAGCATTACGTTTTATAGCTAAAAGTCCCTTTATAAAAGCTCCAACCAACACGAATAATTTTTCAAATCGAAACAGTAGTCTCATTAGATTAGGGCGTTCAAACTCTTCAGCTTTTAAATATTAAAGAGATTTGAATAATCAACCTGGCTGGGTACGAATCTCGAGGAATCTATTATAGATAGTTTAAGTCTGCTGGAAGTCACTATGAACTAAATGGTATTTTAGTTCCCTAATTTTACATCTGATCACAAAGATTAGAACTATATTGATGATTGTACTGCACTGTCTGTAGAAATTAGATCTCATTTTAAGTACAAACGTTTTAAGGGTAAAACGTGCGTAAATCCAGCGTACTACAATCTCGCACGTACTTAAATTGGCTTATATAAAGCAATTGCAATTAAAATGTAAACACTTAGCGTTAACCAAAGCCCATAATTGCACAATCGCGCCAGTTAATCCTTATTAAGTAATTTTCTATTGAGTAAAGTTAATTGGAATTTTTCACAGTTCAACGTTTCATATTGAGACTAAAACATTATAAAATGGTTAAGAAACCGATAATTAGACCTAAATGTGATATTTGGTACTCTAATCGCGTGAATAAATTTCAAATACTCATGTCGTACAATCGGTAAAAAATATCTCGTTTTAACAGTAACGGATATCGAAAAAATTACAAAATAATCGCTTAAAAACAATTTGTTTTATAAGTCTTTGCATTATGAACAACTAAATATTAATTCATTAAATTGTAGGTAGCTTTTTTCATAATTCAGAGTACGACCTTTTTCTATGTCAGTCTAATGGTAGCAATTATGCCTAGTATTCAACAGATGGAGAGTTCGATTCCCACTTGTTCCAACATGTTTTAAAAAATATATTATAATTTGTCTGATTCATATTGGACTTCGCCTTAAATGCGTGATAGCAATATCTAAATTCCGTCCAGGTCAATCACTCTCCATAAATGGAAAAGCATAAAGTTTAATCGCATCTTGGTGTAATAAATGGCTAGGGTATTTCTCCTTCCATCGAGTGAGCCTCAAACTCTGTCCTTTTTTGTCTAATATATATATAAAAAGATATTCTTATTAAAACATGTAGTTTTTAGTTTTATCGTATACAGAAATTTACATAAATAATGAATCTATCGTGAACTATACGTCTCAAAGATATATTTAGTAATTATGCAAATGTTTCTCCCTTTTAGAGTTCCCCAAGCACGTTTGTACCGGTGATGGTGTTCATAGTGGCCCAGGTACTTCTAGGGTGCGGTGGTTCTCCGCTCCTCACACTTGGCACCACATACGTTGATGATCACGTGCGACCAGAGTCCTCCAGCATGTATATCGGTATGTATTGCAACTGAACATAACAGTCGTAAATAGGACAGTAGGACCTTGAATTTTCCTCACGGCTTACACAGCCCCGTCGTGACCCAAAACCACGTGACCATGGAAACCAACTTCTAATAGTTCATTAGCGTGATTTTGACCCCGAAAAGTAAACTGTCACTTGCACATTACGATTATTAAAATATATTACTTTTTTACTGAAGTGAAAAAGTAATTTTAGAAGTTTTGAACTGTGCCTCAATTGTCAAGCAACAGCACGGTACGTTGAATTTATGTATGTTTTATGATATTATGTATGTTTCGAAAATATTATTTAATATATAACATTCTCCTGTTTGTGCGCTAACTCCTCCAAAACGGCCGTTCCGATTTTAATGACTTTTATAAATACATACGTTAAGTCGTAAATAGATTTTTGTCTATTTTTTTTTGCTTCAAACTTATATTAGTTTATACCAGTTCCTTCCAAAATAGTATCTTGAAAAAGAAATTAATGAAACTTTTGTACTAATTACATTTGAAAAAAAAACAAAATTGATTAAGTGATGTGCTTACTAATTATTAATATACGATATTTCTGTATTTTTTTTGTAAATAAGATTTACTTGTATAATTTAAAAATCGAAAATAAATTGAAAAAAAAATCCACTCGGGCAGGACTTGAACCGGCATCGTCAGCGTTCCGTGCTGTGTTGCTCGAGTCGAAAATTTTTTCAATTTATTTTCGATTTTTAAATTATATAGTGCCTTCATGTGCAATAAATAACATGTAAAAAATATTAAAGTTTTCAAACATTAGTAATTGTCCTAAATATTATTTTTTTATTCGACGTACGTCCTTTCCGTTTCTTTCGACGCAAAGCAATGACCTCGTTAGACCTCTCCGATCCTGTTTATATTCAGAGTATGAAAATAAAACTAATAACAATGAGAAACACTAACATACGAATATTTCTGAAAATATGGCCAGCTAAAATATACTAATGCTGCTTTTCTACTTTATCTTCAACATTATATATGTCACGCCTAACATTCCGACGCAATAACAAAACAATAAATGGAATGTTAGCTAAACAATACAACAAAAACATACCTTCTTTACCCATACTATTCTATGTATTGCTTTATGTAATTTGTTAAAAAAAACTCCATCCCATATCCCATATTGGGAAACTAGACACTTATATAGTTCCCTATTCCTTTTTTTTTACGATAGAGGCAAGCAGACGAAATATCAGCAACGCGATTAAAAACTTCACGCTTTTTTCCATCTATGGGACGGTGGCTTGATTGGACGGAAGTTCGATATTCCTACCGCTCATTCAATGTCCAGATTTTTAGACGAAGTCCAACATAATTATATTACAAAAATGTTGGACTCGGTGATTCGGACTCCGATGATTATTTGCCATACATTAGACCAACTAGCCCATCACTTCCCAATACTTACTCTAAAAATATCTGACACGGTAGCGTAGGTTCAACCTTCTATAGGTTAAATCATCAGCGCGAAACGCTGTCGAAGCCGGTTCAAGTCCGGCCCACGTCGGAATTTTGCTTGTCAATCTAAATTGATTTTTTTCTATCAGACTTGTCATCGGTACAGAGAAAAGATTGATAATTGGCCATCTACATCAACTAGCGACACAGTACAGTTCTTAGCCTCGGTACAGCTTGCGTCAACATTTTTGAACCATGTTATGTATACTAAATACTGTCTATAGTTTACGTCAGTCAATCTCCCCGTGACCACGGCTGCTGCAAAGCATCGGAAACGTCGGGCCGAAGTTAAAAATCATTTTCAAATAAGTTTAACTAATATATATCGCGTTTTAAACCGTTAAAGTGTTTTATTTAAACGATATGTATACTGCTACGAGTATCTTCATGACCCCACATTTCTATTAAACCCCATTTACATTTAAACGTACTATTACTATATATTGCTTACATATGTTATCAGGGAAACGAGTAAGACGTAAAACGGCAGTTTTACGGCTTCTGGTTTAGCAGACCATTGACCGTGAAAAGGTTTAAAGTGTTATTCTGCTACAATATTAGCAATTTCTTAAGAGAATAGAAGTTTTAGCTAAGACTTCATGTATCACAGATATTACTTTCCCGGTTAAGATAAACAAATAAAGTTTTTTTTTTACACTTTCTATTGGTTAATTTTACCTTATTTCTGGATGGTCAGTAATTATACCACAAATAATAGTGATAAGTTAATTAAAGTCTAATTGTGAAGTGAATACTGTCTATAGTTTACGCGAGTAGTACACATTTAAAGAAAACACTTTAACTCTCCCCGTGACCACGGCTGCTGCAAAACATCCGACACGTCGGGCCGAAGTTAAAAATCATTTTCAAATAAGTTTAACTAGTATATCGCGTTTTAAACCGTTAAAGTGTTTTGTTGAAATAATTGTGAAGTGGTCTGGTATTATGCATTAAATAAATCGCGTTTAACTGTTTAATACGAAACATACATTAGAAAATGGATTCTTCTGTACCATTAAATAATTGTCTTTTAAAAAGAAATTTTTTTACTATTTTTTAATAACATAAATAACTCTAAAATTCGCAAATTAAATTTGACTTAAAACATAATTTACTCAAAACGAACGATGGTTCCGTAGGTTTCACATGGCAAATAAGGTCCCCTTTACCATCTGAAATCTATAAATGAAACTAACTTGAACTTTAAAATTCAGGATAAAACACTAAAACTATATCGTAGTCAAACGAAGCCATAAAAATTACCATTTCTAAACAAAAGAAGCTCGTTAGTTACAAATATAACCAAACAATCGATAGTAACCACAGAAAGTTAAACACCTAAAAAGCCTTTTGTGTTACTACTTGCCCTCATCGACCTTCCCGCAGCCGTATTTATTGTGATGGAGAATGCGTTGAGACCACGGTGTGTCATGTAGTGCGGCTGTACGACTGTACGGCTTAGTTCAACGAACCTGTACCCCCAGACGTGCCTTTGCTCTATTACCGTTTTTATTACAGCGCTCAATGGCTATATAAATAAATTAAACCGACCTTCTTATGCTTTATTTTAACTATTATTTATAAAACAATTGTAGGTCGTAGTTAATATTCCATATGACAATATACAAGATTCAATCAAGGAAAGCAGTCGTGATCTATTGCGTTTATAGGAGACCGCAGTCTTATATAGTTATTTGTCCGCGCGCCGTCCTATTCCACTTAAGTCAAAAGAATAAATGCATAATCTATTAACTTGAAAAGAAAGAAAAAATACTTCTAACGGTTTATAAGGCGGAATATATTACAAGTAAAGGTTAAACTGAGTATACCTATCAAGTACTGTCTATTGTTCACGCTAGTGCATTTAAATAAAACACTTTTAACGGTTAAAAACTAATGCTTCTGTGAAGCTATTAATCTGATGGTAATTATTTTAAATAACTTTACATGCACGACCGTCTATTAAACAGTTAGTGAACTCACGATATTTTTAATTAATTACCTGCTTATGCTAACGGAAGAACAGAAGCAAAAAAATACTCGCAATTAATAATACCGTTCTCTGCGCGAAGAGAACGACGACGCGAGTAGCACAACAAAGAGACTACTGTACTACTGTAGACTACAACAAACGCGTGAGAAATCGCGAAGTCGCTTCGCCATTCGCACAGCGCTCTCTCTCTCTTCGTAGCCATACACTCGCTTCTAAACTCGAAACCCTGAGCTTTCTAAAAGGGTTCAAGTTGTTTTCAAAGCCCGCAGTACAGTTTAGATTCCGTATTTTTTTCGTAGTTTCAAACATCGCATGCAATACCCAAGTTAGTCAAATGGCGCATTATTTTGCGACCTCGAACGTTCCACCCCCGGATTCGATTGGACGACCTTGACCCCCCATTCACCCTCTAATTTAATCAGAGTAACAGTTCCGCGAAGGTGGACATGTCTATACGTCGGCATTGACATTGTCAAAGGTGCGCCCCTGCTCCATAATGCAACTACGCATTTAATGACCACGCGCGCATTAGGCTCTTTTCTGACTATGCACTATATTTTTTAGCATATAGTTTATAACTCGCCCATAGTAAGCCTAAAATAAAATAATATGCTAAGAATCGTATTTAGATTAAACATTTACGACACGAACAAAACTGCTAGAGAGGTGCATGTAAGTTAATTTATTTAAATTACATAAAATTCGTGACAATGACGAGTAGGATACGGTAGAACAATTGGTTAAAGCAACGGTACGGAACACTGAGGATGCCGGTTCAAGTCTTGCCCGTGTCGTAATTTATTTCTAAAATCGATTCTTATTTCATATAATTCTATCATCTACAATAACATGTGAAGTTTTCGGAAGTTGTTGTGACATGAACTATTTGCTACTTTTTATAACAAGACAAACAAGTATAAGACTTGCTTGATGGATCAGCACTTTACTATCTTATTAAGATGCGATGCAATATTTTCTCTACAGATGAATAGAAATCTACCGACTAAAACCAAACGACCAAAGAGTATAAGGTTTTCCATATGATGACGGTAGCTCTCAAACCTGACGGAACTTTGATGTTCCTGTCATCTATTTACTATTCAGAATTTTACTATATTTTACTTTATTATAAAGAATAAGATGAAGATGGTTATGCCAGAACATTTTAGATATGTCTAATTAGCCATACTACGATACTAAATGCCATTATAACCCTAAGACCATAAGCCAGTAAAAAATGAAGTTTATTCGTCTGAAAAGAGCTTAAGATTTCAGTAATATAACTATGCTATAATAAAAAATGGTATGTGAATAGCAAGTGCGCGTTGCTCGTTTAAAAATTACACTCATGTGAAACGTGTTTTGATTTTTATGGTGTTGGCTTTTATGTTGACGTCATACCTTCTATTTAAAAAATGTTGGTGACTCATTGCAGGCGATGTCTCATGTTGCATCTTCACATTCTTGGTATCCTACTTTTCGCGCTGTAGTAATTAAATAAGCGATGCTATTTTAATCAATTCGCTGACATTGCGAAAGAATTTGACAATTTTCGTAAGGGCATATTCCCATATAGCGGTTTACCGCATTGCAGTCAACCGTCCGGTTGGATAACTCGAAATCTGGATATTAAGTGGGTGGTACGATTATCGAAAATCCTACTGGGTCAACCACCAATCATTGATGAACGAGCCGTCAAGTTTAATCGTGTTTCGATTTCATTTCGGATTTGTGAATATCCAAACCTCAAGAGAGGGTAAGCGGGACAGTTCTTAGAGGCACATTACGGTGTCAATAATGACCGGACGGCTGACCGGTTGGTGTATATGGGCCCAAAGTGTGTTAGTTACTTACAAATAAAAGTATTTAAAATAAATTGAAATAAACCTAAAATTCTGGAATGTTATCATTATTCTGCTTAGACTTACAATATAATAATAAATTTTCAGCATTTCTATATAGGGCCTATGCCCTTCAGGATCAAAGGACTCCTACGTCACTCAAGCCGGCGTTTTTTTATTATTCCTCAGCACCACTCCACCAGTAACGTAATGCCGCGAGAGCCTCTCGTATAGCCTTCACGAGTAACCACTCTCCTTTGCCTGCGTACATTTTAATGTCAAGTATGCACTAGATCGACATTTGTTTCTGACATTCAGGATCACGAAACAGTCCATTCCATAGTTTGTTGAATTATGCAAAAATGAATCATGGCTTAAGGTTAAGAGCACATTTGGGGTGTTTACCCTATATGGTCTCTTATCTTTTGTATCGTCAATGTGTTATTATTGTTAAATAATATTTTATACGTTATGTAGTTTTCCAAAGTTCACACAGAAAGCTTTAATACAACGCTATAAAGAGATGTTTCTTTGGGTTGAAAAATTAACATGTCGTAAAACTCGGTAGCTTTATATGTAACGTACTCTATGTTTGTGGGTTCGAGTCCATTGTAATATTTATAATTAAATGTCAATAAAAAATATGCTATCCTAAGTAGTATCAAAAAAAATCAACAAAACTATGTTTTCCGGATCAGCTAGTACTAAGTCTACTAGTAAATGACGCATTCCGGCGTATAGATTTTGATCGCCTGCAGTTGCTGAACTAATATTAAAATAATGCAAAGTATGCAGGACCGTGAAGCCGAGAATGACCCAATTCGGATCCGCAACGATGCGTCTAGACTGCGAGACACGTTCTGAATGTACCCCTATCACTAAATATTTAGTCATATGTACGTATATTAAATGTTTACCATAATGAAACAAAATAATTATTCCGTACGTCGCTCTGAAACGCCAAATATATAAGCTAATTTAGAATATATTTTAAGCTCTACGATTCGACGTTCCGTGTGCTTTGCAGCCATGGTAACCCCGTTTTAAACTGTTAAAAGTGTTTTATTTCAATGTGTACTACTTGCGTAAACCACACACTTAGTGCTGTCTAACTTAGCTTTGGGAGAAACACGTTTAACGGTTTAAAATTCGAAATATATTAATTTGTTCACAAATTATATTTACTACGTCCCAACGTTTCGAATGCTTTGCGGCAATTTTGAAAGTGTTTTTTTTTTCAGTAAGTTTCTAAGAGATTCTTCTCTTTGAGTTAAAAAATGTCAGCAGTACAATCTTCTGTCTCGTTCATATCTCTTTGTTTACTTCCAGTCGGTCAGACCGTGCCATCTGTTACTTTCGATACACGTGACTTGTCCAATGCCATATAAGAAATCAGGTTACTTACTCTTTGTCATGTCAAGTAAGCATGCTCATTGATTGTTCGGTTTCGTCACACACACAAATTTATAATCGTGCTTGAAAGGCAATTAATGCAGCGGTGTCGTTAACATAATGGCAATGATATAATAAAACAATCTAAATATCAAGCAAAGATCTAAACTCGACATACGTAACAATTACGCAATGCTTTTACGTAAGCTTCTGATATTGTGAAACTGAACACTTATCCGGGTTTATCTTTCCATTAAATATGCTTGATACAACGAATTATTGTCTGTGGCTTACGCGAGTAGAAAAAATAAAATTATTTTTAACGGTTCAAATCGTAAAATATATGAATAAGTTATTTATGACTGCGACCCGACGTTTCGGACGATTTGCAGCAGCAGCGTGTGAGCACACGAGTGCAACACTTTTAACGGTTTAAATCGCGAAATATATTAATAACTTATTTATAGTTACGACCCTTCCTTTCGGAGGGTTTCGGCACCAACGTTTGATCGCCAAAGTTAAAATGTTACCTTATATAATTCGCGTTTTAATCTTGTATGTGTGTCAAGATTGATCTAGATTTTATAAGATAACCATTTCGGTAGCATTGCGCCCGTTTTCGTGTGTGGGTTTGCGATTACTTATTTAGACTATAATTGAGGTTAGGAAATTAAAACGAAACAGATTTATAATATTACAAGTACACCAGGCCAGCCTCGTGCTTCAGGGATCTCCAAGATCATCTCTAATTTTGCCTTCGCCTGGTTTGAAACGGGCTGATGGTGTGTTTAGTGGTTCTGGTCGGGTACTGTTTCCCAGGAGGTCTTAGTACGATTTACCACACTCTCCACGTCACTGTTACTCGTGTGTATTGTGTATTCACAACTTCAGATTAAAAAAGGGTATGTTGTAGGTACTGTGGCGGTAACTTTTTTTGTAAAAGCTTTCATTTTGAATTAGTCAATTTCTAGTTGGAAATAAACGGTTAAAAACACGAAAATTTTTTTATGTCTTTTATTACTTATTTATTTTTTACTAAGCTGTATAAAAACATTTTAGCAGCGGTGGTCTCGGGTCGTTTAGATCATTGTCCTATAAAACTTTGACCGGATCTAAAAGTGTTATTCTTAAATTTGTCGAAAATTTTATGCTCTATAACTTTGGAATAGATAATAAATCAGCTGCTATAATCGCAAAGATTTTGGTTGCCATGGAAACGCAATGTTTCTTAAATTTCAATTCACCTGGTGAAGTGGCTAATGTCGACTGTGGATCAAAAAGTCCCGCAATCAAATCTTGGTCCAAGCAAAATGTTGCTTTTGTATTTGGGAATATTCGTCGAAATATTCCAATACCAGCCCAGGATTTCAGAAGTAAGAGGCGTGGCATAAGAACGTTAAGCCGTCAGGCCCAATAACCAGTTGTCATCACTAATTTAGTGGCGTTAGTCAAACGCCAACCCGCACTGGGTCGGCGCGGTGTGCTCTGAACTTCTTCTGCTATGTAAACCGAACTTTATCTTTGGAACATTAATTAATCATTTGAAATCAATAAATAGCTACCATTATTACACATACGAAAATAAGCCAAATGTTTCTCTCTTACGTATTGTACATTTTTCCATACAGCTGTACTGCAATTACAATCGAGTCTAAGGTCTTTGAATTGACGAAGCTGTCTTGGTGTATAAACAATGTAACATGTTGATAAGATTATAGGCACACTGTTTGCATAACCTACTCCGGATTTAAGGACTAATATGTTCTTTGACTAAGCAAATAGCTTGCTAAGAATTAGTGAGCAACTGTTGTTTTTTTATCTGTGTACGTTGGCATTCTGTAACTAAAATTTTGCGGTTTTCCTAGTCCGCTATAACCAGTAATATAATCGTTTCTATAGTTTAGAAGATATGTTGTGACGGGCTCCTTCGTATGGTAGCAATGTATGGCTAATAATCAACGGGTCGTGGATTCGATTCCTGACATGATTTTAAGTTTTTTTTTGTTGGCTTCGTCTGGAAAATCTGGATATCAACGACCGATACCGATAACGACGCCCTCCAAAAAAAAAAAAGGCGGAAAAAAAAAATTTAAAAATTTGGGGGCTTTTAAAGTAAAAATAGGCAATAAAGCATGTACTTTGGTTGCTTGCAAGAGGTTATATGGTTTTTCACGCTTCTAGTCAAGGGATCCCCATGATTGTAAATCAAAGTTTGTATGTAGTATAAACTTCTTAATATATTAAAATAATCTTGACCATATAAAATAGACATGAACTAGTTTTACCTACTTAAGACCGCAAATAATTTGTATAACCTCCCTTTCAAATAATCTTATATGCCTAGCGGACGTCATCTATGTTCAACTAGCTGTGCCCGCGACTTCATCCGCACAGAATACATTAGGGCATCATCTTATCTATTTTTGCAAACGACCTTTTTAGTTTTTTAACTATTCATAACCACGATTTTGTCCGTGTCCCGTCGTTCGGAAGCCCTCAAACGTAAATAATTTTTTCCCGTTGTTTTTTTTTCACATTTCTCACTATTTCTTGGCTCCTATTGGTCGCTGATTTTTTATATACCACAAAGCTTTTCTCGATAAATCGTCTATCCAATACAAAAATATTTTTTCAATTCCTATACAAAGCTTAGCGCGATTAAACAAACAAACTTGTCTGGTTTATAAGTACATATAGATAGTTTATAGATATGTTTTGTTCACAGGTTGTATGTACAGTATGGGAGCATTCGGACCAGTTTTAGGATTCCTGCTCGGAGCTTATCTACTGTCTTTCCATATGGACTCTCTTTCTGGTGCTCCAACTATAGGTAAGTTCTTATTTAAGATAAAACCTGCCTGGCCGAAATAATTTATTATTTTCAGAGATTCGAGTCCAGAGCTCTCGTGCTTAGTGCAATGTTAGACAGAGTTAATTGAAGTGGATTTAAAATAAAATTTCATTTTAAGTTGAAACGTATGCGAAAATGTGTCCGCCCTGGACCTTCAGGGGAAATGAGATTTCAATAAGTGTGCGAAACGGATATAGTAAAACGCTATTGTGTAATGTACGACGTATATACGCGGAAATCCGTGTGTTGACACAGTATTGGAACGACTAAATTACATCGGTATTATATCTGAGATCACTCACGACATTGCAATATTATTATAATTAAAAAGTCATTTAAAATTGAACGAAAAAATTAAAATACAAGCGGGACACAAACCTATTGGTACGCCATATTTAAATTAAATCAGTAGTATTAGTAGTTTATTTTATGATGATGAGATGAGATGCTTTTCAACAGCGGGTGACCCGTAAAACTAGCTACAATAATAATTTGTGTTTTAAACCATTAAAAGTTTTTTAAGGGTCTTAAAGTTACCCGTTTTCTCACAAGAATCAACCTTTCTCCCTCTTTTAAAGTACTTCTTTTGTTTTTCAAAATAGAGCTTTAATTCAAAATTACAATACATACAAACTAATCTACATATTTGTTACTTTTATTTCCAGATCCCGGCGACCATAGATGGGTAGGAATGTGGTGGGGCGGTTTCTTACTCGGCGGACTATTGCTCATCCTAGTCGCAATACCATTCTTCTCCTTCCCCAAAGTGTTGGTTCACGAGAAGGAGAAGATAAGACTGGTTGAAAAGGCAGCAGCAGCCAGCGGTTCCGGTACAGCGAAGCCTCCACCAAAACCTCAGAGTGATATTAAGGACACAGGATATGGGAAAGATATTAAAGGTAGACAACACATTACTATAGACTAGTAGTCGTCGATTACGATTTACCATCGATAACTGAAACTTGGTGTCTGTAGCTCGTGTGCTTAATATGACAAAAATTCACCGGTTCTGTAAAGATTTTAACAAATTCCAACCTCTATTGGTATCATGAGGCAATTGTGATAGTATGACCTTATATTCGTTACAAACATAGTCTGTAGTTGACGTGAGAAGTTACCATTTAGATAACACAACGGTTTCAACTATCGCCTGACTTTTCACGTTTTAAACCGTTATAAGTGTTTTATTTTAATATACGTTATAATGTAAAATTGTTTCGTATTTCGATTCTTCCTCTAACAGAGTAGAGCCATTCTACGTTAATCAATTAATGGTTGACTTTCGTAGAAATTTAAGATTTATTTAATATAAGTAATTATAGTTGGTTAGATAGTGCCTTGTGTGTTTAACTAAATGAACACTATAGAGTTAATGAATATAAGTAAAGTTGTTAACAATGTATTCATAGTTTACTGTGGGAAACTGAAAAGTATCCACAGTTCTCACAGAAAGATTTATTTTTAAATAACAATCTGCGTATCTGCAATTTCACAGAGAAACATTGATTCGTTTCGTTAAAGAAAGGTAATGTTTTCCAGTGAGAAGAAAATTCGTGTATGTAACAATTTATTTTTACGTACTATTTATTTATAAATACTTAGAATTTTATGTGTCTGAATGTAAATCCGGTTTAATCCTGTAGGGCATGTAACGAACATATAACTGCGTCCGTTTTATAGTCGATTTTATTTACAGGCTAGTCATTGCTCAGATTTTTATACTCTGTTCGACCGAATCTATGTATCTTTAGATTAAAATGGGAAACTCTGCCTTCTACCGGTGTCCCCAATAGGAAATAACAATAAAGTATGTACGGTTTCCCCGGGAAACGAACCCAGCCTCTTTCTTGAGTAACGCAATACATGTTTAATTATTAAGCACTGAATGATTATTTTTAAGTTTAATCATAAATTTGAAAAAAGGAAGAAACAAAAAACATTTTTGTTGTTGTTTTGTGTTGGATAAGACATGAAACCTTTATACAATAAATTTGTTTCAGACATTCCAGTGTCTATGTGGCGTCTCCTGAAGAACCCCGTCTACGTGGTGACCTGCCTCGGAGCCTGCATGGAGCTGATGATTGTCTCTGGGTTCGTGGTGTTCTTGCCAAAATACCTGGAGACACAGTTTAGTCTCGGAAAGAGCCAAGCCAGTGTGTTTACAGGTACTACCTTCTCTCTTCGACGTTGAGATTGTTAGTATGACCATTTTCGTAAATTGTATGAGAAATTATCACCTTGTGATGCCAATTAGTTTTGCAAGTAGAAACTAGAGCGAAGTAAATTGGTTCCTGTTTTTTAATTCGGTCTTTGTTTCTTCTATAATCTTAAGATGTCACAGTATCAATAGCACGCACAATACAAAAAATTAAAGATGACAAATTTGAAATCCATAATTAAACACCATGATAATATAGACCTCAAAATGGTCTGTTATTCGGTCCCTGATAAGAATGACGTAACTGAATTTAAATGTTAAAATCATCACCTGAGACTATTCTTCATTAATCAATCTATCAACATAGTAATAGTATATATTTTTTTCGGCTGATAATATACCTAAGTGTTAAGAAGGAAAATCTGGCTAACAAACAACCAACCACAGATGAAAAAGCCGTAATCGCGTTATGGTTTCAGTGTACTTATTTACAAAGATCCAAAGCGAAATTAGAAAAATGTATCATAGAAATGTGTGCATATGTGTAACATTACACTTTTTATTTCTAGGATCCATAGCGATACCTGGCGCATGCATCGGCATTTTCATGGGAGGCTGTCTCCTCAAGAGGCTCGAACTACGGCCAAAAGGCGCGGTGCAATTCGTTCTGATATCCAACACCATCTGCCTCTCTTGCTATGCTCTATTATTCTTCCTTGGCTGCGATAACATTAAGATGGCTGGCACGACTATACCCTATACGAACAACAGGTAAGATAAGACAATGCTGTCTGTAGTTTACGTGAGTAGTAAATATTTAAATAAAACCCTTTTAACGGTTTAAACGTAAACGTCTTTACAATTCTACGGTATGCTAACAGTCATCTGATGGGCCTAATCACTACATTCGCTTTGACCAGCCAAAAATCCTTACAAAAAAAAACTCGATTCTTTGCAATGGTACGCGAACTAATTGAAGTATATATATTACTATTTTGGAAACGTAACAAAACAAAGAAACACTTAACCTTAAACCTGGCAGTTTCACTTATTTATACATACTTGACGGAAATATGACAAATGTGTAACACAATAATAGAAATACTAAGGAACAAGAACAGCAGAGTACCTAGTTAAGAGTACCAACTTTGAACGTATAACTTAAATACTAAATTAGATCGTTGTATTTTAAGACCCCACTACAAAATAATTACCACTGCATAAATTTTTTTATTACATACACAGCTGTGTGTGTGTATTTTTATATATAATATAAAATTTTATTACAAGCTTCCAATAATGAAACTATTTTTCTCGTAGTTAAATTGTAAATAAGTTAACTACAATATTGCGTTAAAAGTCTAGTCTCATTCATAAAATTACAATTATTTCCCTAATAAAATGTAATAATGCTCAAATTTCTCTCATCCACGTCTCTTTAGCAATCTGGAGCCGTTCAAAGTGAACCTAACAGCTGCGTGCAACTTCAACTGCCTCTGCACTGAGACCGACATGGAGCCGGTCTGTGGTAACAATGGTCTGACTTACTTCTCGCCCTGTCATGCTGGATGCGCCGCCTTCTCATCACGATCCAACTTTACCAACTGTGCTTGTAAGTGTCCTAACTTAATTAATATACAATAAAAAATATAATATTAAAAAAATATATGACACTGGTCATGAACTGGCATCCAGAGCGTTCGGTGCTGTTGCTCTAAACAATTGAGCTAACGTGTCCTACACGTTTTCGGCGAATTTGTTATCGCTATTGATACTCGCACCTCTAGCGTATTGTAATTTCAACCTTAACAATTGTGTTGTCATTTCTTTTATCGTTTAAAACAATGTCAATCCCTCGTTTTAACCTTCCTAAAACTTAATACTATATAAGTGTTCAGTTAAAGTCATAATATATAAGAATTATAGAATTTGTTTAATATACCATGAAATCGCGTGATATCGAGGAATCTTTAAGGATTAAGTAAAAAGTGCTTGTGTGACGTATATTATAACACAACCTCGCATCGTCTTCCACAGACACCGATTCCCACATATGTCGCAATATCTTTACCCAATTCTTTCTTAATGCAGGTGTTCACGAGAACAGCCGCGAGGCATTAGGTATGGGCGCGGTAGTGAACGGTGCTTCAGCATCCGCTTTGACTGCGGGCTCGCACGAGTACAGCGAAGTGACCGTGGTGCCTGTGGCCACAGCGGGCGCATGCAACCCACCCTGCACAACCATCTTCCCCTTCCTCGTGTTACTCTTCTTCATGACCTTTGTGGTAGCTGTAACGCAGATGCCACTGCTGATGATTGTACTCAGGTGCTGCAATATACTTTAATGTTACAAAAGTAAATAAAAAACAAATAGTTATGTTGGTGGGTTTTTAGCTGATCAGCCATAATTGAGAAATAGTTCTCGACGTTTAGCCATCCCTAGCGAATGATAAGCGAAGACTGATGATGCCGAGAAAACTGAAAGCCCAGAAGCTATATAAGTTTAATAATCCTGTTCAGTGTGTTCAAATTAAAGGCATAAAAATATTTCAGATCTGTGAGCGAAGAGGAAAGGTCGTTCGCGCTCGGTATGCAGTTTGTTATCTTCCGTCTGTTCGGGTACATTCCCGCGCCAATCGTCTTCGGAAATCTGATAGATTCCACCTGCCTGCTGTGGAAACAAACTTGCAGCGGTGTAAAGGGCGGTCGCTGTTTGCTTTACGACATAGAACAGTTTAGATACAGGTAAAATCATCTCTTATCCGTAAGAGCTGTTCAAAATGAGAATGAGTATCACGCAGTTGATTCAATCATGTTTATTATAATGTTACAGATATGTGGGTCTCTGCGGTGGAATCAAGATTGTAGCGCTGGGCATATTCTTAGTAGACTGGTGGTTGGTACGTCGTCGCCGACATCTGGAAACTGTACCACCTCTTGACCCTCACAAGGATATAGCCGGTTCCATCATCAGCCTGGATAAATGTAAGAATACACTTTGGCTTTAATTCTTTCAAAAAGAAATAGAAGGGTAAATATTTGACTCTATGTTTCAACGAACTTAATTTTCAGTGTTCGAAGAACTGCCCTCAACAGACAATGCCAGCGGATTTCGGTCAGGGCTGACCACTGGTCCCAGCTCAGCAATAACGTCTCCCATGGACCCAGACAACCTGCAAACTGAGCACCACGGTAGTAAGCTGCAACGAACTGATTCCCAGTACTCGCAGGACTCTCAACCTCGCACGATTGGCAAAAACTCGAGAGTCCTGGTAGCGTCTCGTCACCTGCGAAACGACTCCAAAACCATTCAACTGGAACCACGAGGCAGGCAACACTCAGCGGACGAGCCGGAACGTTCTAGAGCGGTCCGCAGCGATTCCAGGCATTCGCGTGACGCCTTCCCGCGTTCCACCTCGCGGGACTTCCCCGGTCACTCGAGGAATAGCTCACGTGACTTCAAAGTACACTCGCGCGCAGACTCTCGCGACCTTAGCCTCGAACAACTCAAGCAGCTAGCCATCAAGAGCATGGAAAGCCTCGACTTGAATGTCCTTCCGCTCAATAAATGCATAGACGAAGAGAGCAAACGGCTCATCGAGAGCGGAGGCGTCCTGCGACATAGACGGACCAATTCAAAGGACTTGAAACCACCCGAAACGAAGCATAAGCGAACTTCCTCGCACCACATCACGATGGAGCCCAACGACCTGAGCCTTCAGATGCAAAAGGGTCGAAGTGTCGATCAACTGTCCGTGCCATCTGACCCGCGAGCTTGAGATTAGGGAATAGAGCAGGGTTTAGCTAGCTTAAAATGTACCACAGGGATTCAATTATTCAAACTGAAAACAAAGTTTCAATAAACGTGCTAGCCTCGGCTCCTTACGAATAAGAATCTCGAATCGACTACGCGAATTGTGTTTTCAGAGGTGAAAAAACTTTCTAGTGAAATTTTGATAAAAAAGACAAATATTAATTCAAGTGAGAAACGAGTAGGGAAAATAATTTCTATGTTCTTCACTGTCCTACGAGTTTCACTGACGTATAAAAAAAATGAATAAAACAGAAGACTGTACAAATGATTTCTTCTATAAAGCTGAGAACAATGCAAGTGATGAAAACCATATCTTACTAGATGTAACAAACGCTTATCTTTGAAACTTGCTTCACGCAGTTCTTGTAGTGCCTAGTGATCTGTATTTATAATCTGAATGATAATTTTATTTTGTGTTCACTTTAGAAGAATTTTAGTGCAATTTTATAGCGTAAATTTCGAACAATACTATTAAGAATCACTGATTTGCGAATTATTATCATTGTTTTAATTAGTAATATTAGCAAATAATAATGATACATTTTTCTTTATGCGATACTGTAAATACACTTTATGTTATTGTGCTGTACTTAACTCCAAAACCATTAATAAGCAATAATTTCAACGTTTCAATTGTGATAGCAGATTGAATTTTATATTTTGACACTTTTAGCGTGTCTAAAAATAGTATTCACAAAATAAATATTTACACTATTACAGAAATAATTATCTCAAGGCCTTAATTAAGAAATAATTGGTAGAGAACAGTTTGTTGGATGCACTATCAATTAATATTATCTATTGAAATACTAGAAAGTACAAAGTAAAATAATATTTGGTTTCTAAGAAGCGTCTAATTGTTTCTGTAGATTCTCATTTCAATGGGTAATTTTATTTTTGTAGACAATATTTTTTAGTGCATTTGAGGAAACCAACTGAACTCTTTCTGTTCTGGAGAATGCCTACAATTTTAAAGTTATCTAATAGTAATTGATAGTAAAACACATAGTTAATAAAAACCAAGCTCATAGAAAATTCTAGATTATCCTGCGCACACACCTATTCAATTATTATTAGAATATTTTGTTTGTATATTCAAGTAGAATTACATTCCCATGTCCATTTCCCTTAGTACTAATCATCATAGTCTAGCAAGATTAACATAGAATCCTTACTAAGATAATTTTTCATTTAGATTTTAATTTCTTTTCAGTTACATGTTCCTTGTAAACGTGATTCAATTATTCTAAACATTAGTAATATTCACCAGACAAATTGTATGGTAGGTCTAACTAGAGATCTCTTATAAGTTTAATTAGCTTATTATAAGTCTCCTAAATCCATGAAAATAACAAATAAACTGCCTTTATAACACCAAGACAAATCAACCGTTGAACTGATTGTGCTAACAAATTAGCTTTAGTTAACTATGGAAAAACATATTAAAACGATGATTGTGTACTGTTGATTTGTTGGAAATGTAGATTGTAATCTTGGAAGACCGTTGTGTGGATAAAAGGCTAATTCTAATATGAGCTATTCTTTCTTTTTCTTTGGCACAAAGTTCCAGTATCTGACATGTTAAATGAGGTTTTACTTTATAAAATCTGCTTTTCTTTATAAATGTAACTTATCTTTCTGTGTTCTTCTCTAAGTAAAGTCCAATATTCTTGGAAACCCTGTTTCTTTGATAGTAAAAATATTACTCTTTTTGCAAAAAAAACTGGAATCTGTCAATTTAAGGGCTGATATTTCAAAGTTCAATTACTAATGTGGTAAAATTATTTAAGTGTACTTTTAAAAAATCTCAAGAGATTAGAAAAGACGGTGACAAGTGTGTGTAAATTTTGTCGTATGATAATTATTACTATTGTTAAGAGAGACATAGTTTGATATGAATAAAGTGTTTATCTAAAAATGCCTTACAATAGCCTTAAGACTTGAAACTGATTTAGCTGTACTGTTGTCACATCAATCACAAACAACTGTTTGAAATTGATAACATCTAATTTGTTGCATTTAGTGATTAATAAAAATTGCATACATATTTTATACTGTCACTTTATTTAAAACGACTTGTATATGGGAGTAATTCAAGTCAGTACTCAGAAAATACTTCTTCATCCATATCACCTATAAAACATACCATTATTTATTAACAAGAATAATGAAACAAAGAAGAAAACAATTTTGTTAATGATGTACTACAGAATAAACTTACTACTCGTTGCAACATTAATTACTTACATGACTTTACTCTAGGGTTCAAAATAAAACAAATCCAAACCTATAACAATATATAATTAATATCTACATTGTATACACTACATGATAGGATTTTACAACCAGTCTAACATATATACATAAGTCAGTCTAACTCACCACATTCTGAAATCACCACCTTTTTAGATGGTTTACCATTCTTAGATCCTAAACTTTCCATCTTTCTAACAACTTCCATGCCTTCAACTACTGAGCCAAATACAACATGTTTTCTGTCAAGCCATGGTGTTGCTGCTGTTGTAATAAAGAATTGCGAACCGTTTGTGTTGGGCCCAGCATTAGCCATTGATAACATTCCTGGTCCAGTGTGCTTTAGTTTGAAGTTTTCATCAGGGAATGTGCGCCCGTAAATAGACTTACCACCTGTACCATTGTGGTTGGTAAAATCTCCACCCTGACACATAAAGGCGGGAATGATCCTATGAAATGAGGAACCTTTATATCCAAATCCCTTTTCACCTGAACATAGTGCTCTAAAGTTTTCGGCTGTTTTAGGGACTTCATCTGAGTTCAATTTCATGACTATTCGTCCCAATGGTTCTCCATCAGCAGTTACGTCGAAGTACACCTTTTTATCCTGCTGTGTTGACGCGAAGCGCAATGTAGCAGCGGAATACACCGTCCCATTTATCAGGGTCCGGCGTAACATGGAAACAAGTGCCATTGCAGCGATCTGTAAATAAATGATTTGTTTAGAATTTTTTTAGTAAAAGTGACTAACTTGACTAAGGATAACAAGCTAAGTTGAGTTGATATTGATATCGCTATAAGTAAATATAACCTTATGTCCTTATGAGATTGTTTTAACCAGCGAGACTGCGAGACAGCGACATTAATTCATAGACAGGGATTTTAATTTATAATATAGAGCCTTGGTGTATAGATAATATTATTGAAAGAATAGCTGTTGATAACTGACTGACAGATTATTTATTGATTTTTGGCTCATCTGTTTGACCTATATGTTTGTGTTTCAAGTTAATTTCTTTCTTTTTAATCCATCCAGTTACGAGTGTAGAACGCAATTTTAAAATATCGTGATTTTGCTTAATAAAATAAAAATAACACATAACATTGGCAGACTCCATTTAGAATGGGAAAGCTATTAAACTAAGAAAACGAAGAAGCTAACAACTACTAGAAGAAGAAGAAGATTCATGAAGCTATGCTTACTTTTCCCTATAGTTTATTTTGGCGAATTACCACAGGTGTATAAAGGAGAGGTTAGATATAATCGCCATGGAAATTATCGCTCGAATATGGTGCACCGTATTGTGTGCTGACCATTAACTGGACTTTTCATATACCTGTGGTTCTTTTTCCTAATTTTTAAATCATATTAACTCCGACAGACCGTTTGTTTTTTACTAGAGATGGGCTGAATACTCGGTTGATACTCGGTGCTTAGCGGGTTTTTTGATACTTGTACTCGGCCGAAAAATTCGGTTATACTTCGCTATTTGATAACGAGTAAACATTCTTTAAGAAAATTTAATCCATAAGAATTTATATAGAAAATCTTTACAAATTTCAAGTAATAAAATCAAAATTACGAGAAGATGAGAGTACGCGCGCGAAATGGGAATTTGATTGAACAGAGTTAATCGGCCAAGTACTCGGTTGAAAAAAAATTGAGCTGAGTAAAACTCAGTACTCGTTACTTGGTTAGTATTTTTTACTTATATTTTTATGAAAACTTAAGAAAGTTAAACTTAAGTAAATAGACAATAGGTTCATTGTTCTTATTTAGACTATGGTCTTCTATAATCTGTTATAACCCAAAGCTAACTATATGTCAGTTGTCAAATGTTTTTATGTTGGCGATACTGATAATGCTATCAAGTGCGCGTTTCTGTTTTGGTGATTTTGGGATATTTTGATTATATCTATAAAGTATTTGCATATATAATGTATGTTTTTGTCTCAAAATAAATGGTGCATTTATTTAACAAATAATAGTTTAATTACAAACGTGTTAAAAATATATGTTGGATAAACTGCTTGGCGTACCCATTGTGGGGTAGTGCAAAATGGCGGCGAATGTTTTTATAGACAGACGCAATGGATTTGAAGTAAAAGTGGGTTAAATACAACCTTTTTTCAGTGATAAATGTGCATCATAAGTGGTTTAAGATGTCCAATACTGTGATAACAAATTACACGGACCTTAATGGACCTTCTACCAAAACAGACAATTCCGTAGTTGTTATTGTAAACAAGGATGGATCTCTTTCGGTGGATCAAAAGCTACTCGGGACTTTAATGGGTGAGATATCGATAAGTTCCTTTTAAACTCGATAGATAAACAAGTCAGTTACCATTGCATTTTGCGTGGTTGTATTTATTCTCAAACGAATTAATGAAATAACCTTTGAAGTAGAATTAGAATTAATCTATAACCAACAAGCTTTTCCATAGTAATTCAATGATAAAAGCACTTATATTTTAATTTATTTACCTAAAATACTTGATAGGTAGAATTTTCGCTGTTACAATTGGTGCAACATTGTTTACAAATTTTTGGCGGGAAATGATATTGTCAATTAGAAAATGTTTTAATTACACATTATCATTAAGGGTAGTTAAAATATTATTATGGTTAATAATTTCAGGGAGTGATGGTTCTCAAGCAGCAGGTATAAGTGTTGTCAGAGTTGGTCATGAGGGAAGACCTGATGACGCGACTGATTCTGAAAATGAAGACGACAAAGTTCCACACGTAACCCTATCTGTTGATAGTTATTATGATGAACCAGACAGTATCATAAAATATGGTAAGCAATCTTAATCAATCTTATGTTTGTTATAGGCATAATTATATGTTCAATATAGTTCTAGTATTAAGAGGTATATATCCTTAATTTATAACATATTGTTACAGATAGTGGAGCTGAAATGTTGCAATCATTAAGAATTGAAACCAGAGAAAACAGTTTAATTGGCTTCCACAATGACCACTGCTACACTCCACTTACATCTCCGAGTCAAACATTGCCACAAAAGAGTGAATCATTTACATCAACATATGATGATCCTGTCATTGAAATCACTCATCAGCCACCACCAAAACCAGTGACCACACCGAAGAAAATTGCAATATTAGATCAAAAAATTATTCCCAAAGGTAAAAAGATTATTCTTACACCAGCAGAGCCAGCTGTTATTCTCAAAGGTCATGATGCTCTAAATAAACCTTTACCAGTATTAGCAAAAAGTAAACCTGTTTCTACTTTTGAGAAGACATTGGATTCATCTAAAGAAGATGAACAAAGTGAATCCTCCACACAGAGCTCTTCAGGAGAAAGTATTCCAGACCGTGACTCTGATTCAGATTATAAGGATACAAAAGACAGATCCGTTCCTCAGAAACTAAGAAAATCTAAAACAAAACCTAGAATACTGAAAAATGCACAATTGTCTAAAGCAGGTAAATTGGATCCAAAAATAGCATCACGACTTAAGTCAGGTAAGCACTTACGAAAAGAAATCAAGCAGAAGGTACTAAGTAAAAGTTTAATTTTGCCTAAGAAGCAAATATTGGCTGTACCTGCACCAAAAGAACCTGCACCAACATTGCAAAATGTACAGTCTGACCAGAAAGCAACTCCAAAATCTGTTCCTAAAATAATTAAGAAGGAAAAGAAAACACCTGCGCATGTATCTGCACTCTTGTCGGACATGACATCACTGTTTTCATCTCCAGATGTCATAAGAAGAGTTTCCACTGAGACCAAGATAGTCCCTGGGAAAGATCAGTCTGGTGTAAAAAAACCAGAATCAAGCAATGAAAAAACAATGGAGGTGACAAAAGGACTGGAAAATATTGAACCAAAAACATCTATCCCTAAAACTTTGACAAAGAAAATTACAGGGAATGTCACTGAAAAAGTCAAAGCTTATGATCCTATACCGCAACTTGATGATGCCAGTCTAGCACAAATACTTCAAGATACTACAACAAACAAAGTAAACCCTAGTATAACAGCTGCCAATGTTATCAGTCCTGGATTGGCGGGTCCACTATCCCCGACTTTGGATTTGTTAGCAGGTTTACAACCAGAAGAAGATGGTTTGACAGAGGACCTTCTTTTGCATGTAGCCCAGCTGGTCGAAAGTTCAGAGAACCTTCAAGAAGTACTGGATAAGCAAGTACTTGGAAAAGTTGATGCAATTGCACCCAAACTAGCTCAACAGCCACAAACATATTCTCAAACACAGATTCCAAACACGCAGTCTTCTTTGCACATGCAGATGCAGACACCGTCTCAAGTTATTTACACACAAAGCCCAGTGAAAGCTAAGACAATGGTTCCTCGTAAGGATCCTATAGAGATAGTGCGACGAGATGGTAGAGTGATAACTTTGCCACCAATTGAGGCTCCAGCAACGAGATCTTCTAAGAGGAAGAGCCAAGTAGAACCACATGTTATACAGGAAACTCCACCTGCTCCCATTCCACCAGTATCTGTCACTCCTGAGCCAATCGTACAGATTGTTTCAAAACAATATACTAACAGAAAGTTGATGAAAAAGCTGGAGCAGTCACCTATCATGGAAAAATCTGCAGAATCTCAAGAAAGTTGGAATTCTGAAGATGATCCTAACAGGTATAATATTTAGGAGTTTTCCTAGCCCTAAATTAGTCACCACCTTAGTAGCATAAAGGTTTTCCACAAAAGGAAAATGATAATTCTTTTCAGTTGGGGAATCATAAAAGCGATTCGTGAAACGATCGCAAAATGGGTTCGTCCCATGCCCCTTAGGGGGAATTGGATTTCATTGTATCCCATTTATGATACATATTGGAAATGATTGTAATTTAAACACCGCCCCTCAATGTTTTTTTCATTTCTTAATTAATGTTTAAAGATGTTATCAATTTTGTAACTGATAATCAAAAACGCATTAAAGGTTATGGTGCATATGCAAACAACCACATAACAACCGCTTCATGATATGCTGTGATGGTTGTGAAGACTGGTTCCATGGGAAGTGCGTTAACATAACCAAGGCAATGGGCCAGCAAATGGAGGAGCAGGGCATAGAATGGAGGTGTCCAAAATGTGTTAAGAAGACGCCTAAAGGCTCTTCCAAGGTAAATATTGTTCTATACTTTAAGATAAAAGTAACATAGTATTAAAAATTTTTTTGAAACAAACAACCAAACCCACGATTTTTACTTAAGCATACTAACCTCTTGACCAACACTAATGTATATCAACTCATTTATGGCTAATCTAGGATAAGTTCAATGTACACTAGGTTAAGTCTAATGTAAGCCTGATGGCTTACATTAAATAAAGAATTTTTAAAATCAAATCTAGACAAACGAGGTTGTTAAGAAATATTTATAGTTACTAGTCTGCACTATAGGCGGTATGGATTAAACACATTTTCGTGACTGCCTTTCAGATTGATTTTTTTATACCTGAGTCACAAATAACTCCACAGATAAAAAAACTTTCAGTATCATTCTATGGATATTCACATGTCTAAAGCAAAAATAATTCGATAGCACACCATGATCGCATTACTACATATACTACAGTAATTTACTTTCTATCAAGCGAAGCCTACTTCTCTACAATTGAATTTTACAATCACTTAAAAAATGCAACTCTTGCGCATTGTTATTTCGACCTTATTACACACAATATTTTATTAATTGATTGGATAATTACTGTAACCAGGTACCCACTGTGCAGAAAACAATAGACACGACGCCACCCGGCGGGCTAAAGGACTTAATGAAAGCTGGTTGTATAGTCTGCAAAAAAGCAGCACGAGCCAGTAGCATCTACTGCAGTGATGCCTGTATTTTGAAACATGCGCAGGATTCCCTCGGCTCAAACAAATCAGATCCCTCCCAAGGCAAGACAGTTGATAAAGGTGCTGAATCCAGGGTAAGTAACTGCTTCTTATTTAAATAAAACACTTTAACGGTTTAAAACGCCATATATTAGTTAAACTTATTTGAAAATGATTTTTAAATACTGTCTATAGTTAACGCGAGTAGTACACTTTTAAATAAAACACTTTAACGGTTTAAAACGCGATATATTAGTTAAACTTATTTGAAAATGATTTTTAACTTCGGCCCGACGTTTCGGATGCTTTGCAGCTTTTTTTTTTGTTATTACAGACCTACTTTGCTTTCATCCTTGAACCTCAGCTTGTCCAACGTTTTCTGACTGGACGTGATTTCGATAATCCTCTCATTTGGCCTCTCATTGGCATTTAAGATCCAGAATATAATATATTCAAAAAAAAAATCACTTTTAATGTTTAAAACGAAAATATATTAGTTAACGGCCCCTGCATACCGTCCGAAACTTCGGGGCTTAATTTAAGATAAGTTGCGTGAAGTATACTTATTGGGCCTCCTGGGAATCCAACCCTTGGTCTGATGGTTTTGTTCCACTATTATTCCAACAAGCTCATACAAATAACAACCACGTTTATCACGAAATGCGTTAATTGTCAGATTTTGTAATAAAATAAAGTCTATATTACAAAAATGTACAATGCGCGCCGCTAAAGAAGATTTCTCTTAGAACATACTTTTATACTTTCAGTGAAATTGGTTAAAGCATGACAAAGTAACATACATTTTCAAGTTAACCACCCAATATTCTTAAATTATTTATATAATTATTTCTAGGTTATAGTATACGAGAGAAAATCGGGTAGGTTATTAGCAGGACCAAATGCGCCGACACCCGAAAATTTGAAGAGTTGGCTCCAAAGGAATCCCACATTTGAAGTGGTTAGACCGGGTACACTGAGTGCAATAAAACCGAATGTTATGCGCAAGAGGTCTCAGGATGCGTCAAATAAGATACAAACGACCCTCAACTTTGCAAAGATACCAAGAAAGAATACAGATCAGCCGCCCATGGTCAAATCGCCACAGTGGGAATCAAAAAAGGCAGACAGTGCCCCGTCTGAGCTGAGGCAGTCGGAAAAGACTAAATCCGTGCTGTCACAACGGGAGCAGACCAAAATAACTCTTACACCACGAGGCACCCTAAAACTTCTAACCCCGAGAGATGAATCTAGAGTGACACCCCATCCGAAAACTCCTACAACGCCCAAGCCTAATCAGAACCTTCCAGAGACACCTAAAAGTTCGATAGAGAGTAGGAAGAACCGAGCAGTGAGTAGATCAATGGCGTCTGCTGAAAAGGTAAGCAAACTGATTTTAATTGCTTGAATTGTATGTGTGTAGTTCGTATGTATTACTTTTAAATAACCTATACTTGGTCTAATATATAGTTGACTGTTATAAAAAATATAATAGTTTAACATTTTTTTGTTACATATATAATACAATTCGGTTATCTAATGGTTTAACATATTTTTATCCTAGTAATTAAGCCGCAATATTTTATTGGTATATAAAGAAATAGGCAAACCGGATAATTTTCGGCTCAGTGCGGCTTTAGAATTTTAATCTACTGTTTATGACTGAAAACTTCCATGCCTTTATTTATTACTCACCTACAAGCATGGTCAGAAATGACGTAACTTCTACACGTTTGAAGGATATATTAGTTTGTTTAACTTTTGAATGACATATTTAACGGTTTAAATTGCGAAATATATATATATACATAAATATATATATATTTATTATTCAATGCTTTTTCCGTAGGCAGTGGGGGTTGTTGTACTAACACTGAAATAATTAAATCATTCAGTTATTGTAACTGACGCTTATCGATTGCAAAGTGCATCATAATAAATAAATCACGTTGGTAGGCGTCTTCAGTTATATTATCTGGCAACACTGACCACGCGTTGTTTTATTTATTCAAACTACAATTAAAAAACACAACACAAGATGGCCCAGTCTCGCCCGACGGTATATTATACTCTGAACATCAAACACATCCTTATATAATGTTACTGACCTTGATTTGTTTGCTCTTTGATTACAAGTTAAAATTTGCGTGTTTACGATAATCATTACATCGCAGGCGAGCGCAGTGCCACAACTCACGCCGCGCCGCAAAGATTCGCAGGACAAGAAGAAAATGGACTCGGAAGAGGAAATACGGGAAAACGTGCGGAAATCCCTTCAGGAACAAATCAGTTTGCGGATGGCGGAGAACGAGGGGAATAAACTCAGTGAAGACGAAATACAACAGTACGCGGTCGATACTGAATCAGAACTATTCGAATTGTTCAACTACGATGTCGGAATGAAGTATAAGGCCAAATATAGATCGCTCATGTTCAATATTAAGGATCGCAAGAACTTGTCGCTTTGGAGGAAAATATGCGAAAAGAAATTAAAGCCCAGTGAACTGGTAAGTGATTAGCTCGTCGGATAGTAAACTGTGGGATTCAAAATAATAATAAATAATATTCAATTCGTGCAGGTACGTCTTTCCCCGGAGGAACTGGCTAGTCAGGAACTCGCGCAGTGGAGGGAGGAAGAATCTAAACATCAGTTAGAACTCATAAAGAAATCTGAAATCGATCTCTTGGCCGCCAGCAAAACTTATGTCCTCAAAACACACAAGGGTGAAGAGGTAGCTTGAATGATTACCAAAAAAGATCAATTATTTTTTAATTCTAATAAAAACACTTCATTCAACAAATCATTATATTTTCAGGTTATGGAGACTAAAGAGTCTGTTTCCACTGAATTGGATCCGAATGTACCCGTTGAGGACTTGGTTACGGTTCTCAACGATGCCGTCGGTGATGGTCTACCGCCCCCCTCTAAAAATGATGAAACGTAAGCGGAATTACCCATTTGTCGTAATGATCATCGTAAAAATGTCTTATTGTGAATGTGTTTTTAGCAACAAAACGAAAGACACAAAGAAAAAGTCAAGCAACGGCCGGAAGAAGGACAAGAAATCGAGTCACTCCAAGAAGGAACGGGAAACAAAGCGGGATTCTGAGAAGAGGAAGTCCAGGTCTTCACGGTCGGAGGTCGAGAGGGAGCACCGATCGACGCGCAGTTCTAAGAAGTCCAGGTCTTCGCGTTCAGAGTCGAAAGAGAGAAAGGCTCAGGAGAAGTCGGATCCCGAGAGATCAAGACGAAGATCACGGTCTCGCGGGAAGTCTAAGAAGCGTTCCCGGGAACGTTCACGATCGGAATCTCGCGACAGCTCCAAGCGGCGTCGATCGCGTTCAGTGAGAAAAAGCATCACCGATGACAAACACCGATCTCGATCACAGGAAACAACTAAGAACAAGAATGAGTAAGTCGATAGCAAAGTTGTGAATAAATAAATAAAAACGCTTTTATCTTTCTTTATAACTAACGCCAGTGGTAATAATAACGTTTTCGTATTTCCCTTGCTGTTTTCGCACATTTAAGTAAATTAATAACTACTTTGAATTTAAATAAAACACTAACGGTTTAAAACGCGAAAAGTAAAATACATTTTGACATATGTTCTATACACTAGTCAAATTGATCTGGGTATTTTTGTTATTGCTAACGTATTGGGTTGTCTTCTATTATAAAGGTCGCGAATTATTTTTTCTCTTTGCATGACATAGCAGTATTTTTGACTTCTACCCTTTCGAATTGTAGCAAAGTCTTAGATACGTTACAGTTAAATACAAAATACAGTATTTTTAGTTAGCTAGTTGGGTTTCTGACTTCAATTATAAAATTGGTAAACCCATATCACTTTCCAAAATTACCGTGAAAGCTTAATAAAATTTATACATCGTACCCTAAATACTGTCTGTAGGTTAAGCATGTAGTACACATTTGAATAAAACTTTAACAGTTTAAATCGCAAAACATTAATTAAACTCGTTCACACATTATTTTTGAAACGTCGGGCCGTAGTTTCTGATGTTTTACAGCCGTACTCAGCTATATTTTTCGCGTCTTCAACCGTTAGTGTTTTATTTAAATCTCCTCTTGTTCACTACATTCGATAGTAACCCCTTTCTACAGTTCAACAGATTCTGACTCAATAGAGCGGCCCAAGTCTGCTATGTTAAAGGAGGTACATCCAGAGTACGACCCTCATGAACCGATGATCACCTCGGCTTTCTCCGAAGACGATTTGCAGAAGACCCGCGACGATACAGACGAAGAGGCGTACAAGAACGAAATCAGCGAATATGGAAACGTCGATATCGGTTCCATTAAATCGTTTGCTGTTAAAACTGAATTGCCGCTACCCAAAACAGTAAAGGAGAAGGCGTCTGGTATGTACGCTACTTTTATGATTGAGGGCAGATAAGCAAGGAGTTCGCTTGATGAAACGTGAAATATCCTAAGCTTTATAACATCTAAACTAGTTGCTGACCAATTTTGGCTTTGGACTAGGGAATCTACAGGCTGAAGGTTGGCGGCTTTTTCATTTCTGGGCCTTGTCTGAGTTTTCCAGACAAGGGCCAACAAGTTTCAGAAGAATTAGAAACATGTTGGACCCGACGGGGATGAAACCCACGGCCCGTTGATTAACCATACATTGTTAGCAACGAGCTTGATGTCGTTCAAAATATAAAAAAAGATGTATTTTAGATTTTCTTTAAGAAATATATAAAAGATCTAATTTAACCATAACAAACACCACCACCGCTCCACACTTACTTATTTTTCTATTATATTGATATTTAACACAAACAGTTGAAGTTGAGAGCGACCAGGAGCCCAGCAGTACTGTGGAAAATGCAGCAGCAACCGTTTGGAACGGATGCATCAACATGGTGGATGTGGCTAGATTCTATGTTGCTGCACATGAGGTACTGGTCTTACTTTATCAGGTGTATGGTTCAAGATTGTTCGTTTAAAAAATAATAAAGCAAACAATAGTAATATATTTCAAGAATATGTTGTGAGACTCCAAAGAAACGAAGTTCTCTCGTCAGCAAAAATAATAAACTCAAACAATAATAATTATAATTAAAGAAAATGTTGTGAGACACCCAAATGAAACGAAGTTCCTCTCGACTAATTAGCGAAGGAATTGTAATATTTTTTTTTAGATTATAATCAGATTATTTATTATTATTAACAAATATAATATAGACTTAATCAGTAAACTCTAAAACTAACAAAAATAATTGTCGCTATTCCACACTCAATGCTAAATAGAAGGACTAAACTAAAATCATTGCAAGACAGTTATTTTATTTTTATTTATTTCGTCTCTACGAGAGAGAGAGACAGACTGAGAAACACGCGTACGCCGCGGAGCTTAGAACTACGTATATATAAAAAAAAATCCGTCTTTCGCACCCACACAAGGGACTTCCTTTCAAAAAGTTATTATAAGATGCCAACTCAGCCGTAGACATTTTAATTTCAGGTATCAGGAAACGCGACAGATTTAGAAGACGATCTCACGGCGGAATTGGACATAGTCGGGCGGATAAACCCGGACACAGTGTGGGACTACATCGGCAAGATGAAGCGCACGAGTAACAAGGACATCGTCATATTACGGCTGCAGGCGGCCAACGACGAGGAGAAGATGCAATACATCGCCCTTTATAGCTATTTAAGTAGTCGTAATAGGTTCGTTCTAATAAAAATTTCCCGCCAATGTTTAATAGATTTAAAATTTAGAAAAAAAAAGTTAAATACAGATTATATTCTATATAGGCCTACAAAGATCTATGGAGTTTATCGAAAGTGTTATCATACGATTTAAAATGATATATTTATATTTTTTATTACGTCTCGACTCTTTGGGTGCTTAGAGTCGGGTCCTAGTTAAAAAGTATTTTTTTTTGTGTTTTGAACCGGTAAATGGTAGTTAATTTATCGATTGAAAAATTCGTTTATGTGATAATTGAATAATCAATTTATTCATAAAAACATACTTAAATCCTCAATTATACCTTTTCCATTCCTTAACCAACTAAGTAATTTAATTATTAAACGCGTAGACTAGCATTTAGCGCGAGAGAGATCCTACGATCGAATCCCGGGAAAATAATAAATTGTTATTGGAACGCATACAAAAATGTCTTCGTTCCATGCCCCACAGAATTTCACAAAAATTAAAGTTAAAATGGGAACAGTTTTCCTAACACCGCAAGCGTTTCACAGATTGGGCGTAGTCAAAGTGAGAAACACGGCCACCGTCAAGGACTTCTATATTCTTCCGCTGTCAGCGAACACGGCTCTGCCGCCCGTGCTGCTGCCGCTAGACGGACCAGGCCTCGGCGACGTCAAGACCCACCTCCTAATCGCCATTATCATTAGGCAACGCAAGAAACGACCCTTACTCATGCCCAAAGATATACCAGCTAAGGTCAGTTAACGAGAACATGGCGGTTAGATTAAGGAGACATTGTAAATAAATAAAGGGTATTTATTGTTCAATTCATTTTATTTTCGTGCGGTATTTGACGGATATAGAAATGTTATTATAAAGACGACGAATTGTGATTACGAAGTGGAGGCAGAGTCAGCTCAGTAGGACGGCCAAACAGGTCGAAAAAAAAGCATATTTTAGCACAAGTGTTGCTATTTTGTACACAAAACACAATATACATATTTTTTAGACATGTGTACAATTATATATTTGTGTAACATTACTAACAGTTATTTACATACATTAAAAATCGATTTTCGATTTTTAAAAAATATTGCTGGTTCAAGCCTTGGACAATCCACAGCGTCCTTGGCGTTACTTTAAAGTAATTATTTTTAATCTAAAATCGATGTTTAGTTTATATAGTGCCAGATAAATTTGCGTGTATTTTCAGTATTTAAGGTTATGTAAAAGGAAAAAATGTTAGTTCTTTGATATTATATGAAATAACTAAACTATTTAGCAATTTAAACCCTGCTGATTTAGCATGCGCCTTAATACAGAAAATTTGTAACATTTAAGGTTTGTCCCGTAGTCATAAACGTCAAAACTTATATTTCGCATATATTGGATAATGTGGACGTGTTTTGAATTGAAATGTTTATAGTTTTATGTCTAGTGCTGTGTCTTCGCCAATGTGGTAGTGCTTTATCTTATTTATGACTGCAGAAATAAGTCTACATCGACAAAATGTCGAGTGGATATTTCGATATAGTACTCAATACGAGCAAAGTTTATTGCGATAGAGATCACATATTAGACTAGCTATATTTTGCACCTACGCCAAAAAGGCATATCAAAGACACAAGTTACCCATTTAAAATTTGTGACATATTTTTAGATTTATTAATATTTGAAATTTAATCGTCATTACAGCGTATGTGTATGCGTTTAGTGTGTCTATTTATGTATATTATATACCATCACAATGTTTTTAACTAATTTTTATATATTTAGTAATAACAAATCTCTACGTCCGTATAGTTGTCGTATAGCAATACGTTTTTATGTAACAGGTTGCTCGAGAATCGCGCAAGAAATCATACACCCCGCCATTATCCCCTCGCAGCCGGCCGATGACCCTTCCAACTTACACGTCCTCTGCTCTCTCCTCTACGGTCAAAGACAAAATTGCTGCTTCATTAGGTAATTTAAGTATGTACATGTTTTTAATTTTCTTTAATTTAAAAAAAAAACACCAAAAGCCGTCTTAGTACACTGGAAAGCAATTGTTTTTTTTATTAATATTTGTTTTAATTATATAAAATTGTAAATAACCATCTAAGGTTATCATAATGCAGAGAGGAAATGAGTTATTCTTTCTCTCTAGTTCTGGACCCAATTTCACCCTGCCGTTAAGTTAATAAATATGTATTAGTGTTTAACTGATTTTTTGTATAACAGCCGCCGATGACGATGAGCCGTACAGTCCAGGTTCTTCGAACAGCAGCAGCGGACTGCCACCAGCTGCGTTGCCAGCCCACAACCTCCGCAACAAAATGGAGGAACTCAACAGACAAATCGAGGAACAAAAGCAGCAGATATTTAAAATGGCACAAGCCGATTCATCCATACAGAGTGCAGATGTAAGTTATCCAAATTCAAATAATTTTATCCGTAACAAAGAACATACAAAAAATATACATACTGACTATAGTTTACGCGAGTAGTACACGTTTAAATAAAACAATTTAACGGTTTAAAACGCGATAAATATATCAGATATTAACTCTCCCCGTTACCACGGCTGCTGCAAAGCATCCGAAACGTCGGGCCGAAGTTTAAAATCATTTTAAAATAAGTTTAGCTAATATATCGCATTTTAAAGTGTTTTATTTAAATATACATACAGAAATTATATCATGATACAAAAAAAGGGGTTACAATTACCACATACACTAACTTTGCTGTGGTAGGACACCACTCAGCTGTCGCTACTGCGCCGACTTTCAGTGATGACCCAATTTTATTAGCAGCAGACTAGGGACTATACTGATTGACATATTATTTATTTTCAACTCCAATTATTTTGTTATTGTTTTAGAATGAAGCTTATTCCCCTTCGAGGCCGCTGTCACCGGCGGTACCAGTGCTGCCCAGCGCCAATCCTCTGGCAGACATTTCCCTACCTTCCAACCTTCAAGAAATACTTGCCACAATCAAACAGCGGTCAGAAACTACCGCCGATGTCGATATGCGCACAGGTCACATGCCCTAATGGTGTTATTTAAGTTTATATATAGGAATTTCTCGTTGTATTTTAAGAATTAATTCAAACCAGTTTACATAATAGTAATTTTATTCCCACAAATAGAATTTTATCAGACTTAAATATTCTAGACTAAATGTGTAGTGCATATTTATCATTGTGTGCAATAAGCAAACGTTTATTTAGAGAGAGAAGCGAATGACAAATTGTAAAAATCTGTTTAAATGAAATCAATTTACTACGTGGAAAAATTAATATATTCGAGAGGACATTATGTATATAATTGGTATACATTTTTAGTGTATGTTTTTATTTGTTTAATGTACAAAATTTAGGATAAATATTTTTACTTGAAAATTATACTTAAAATATAAGTTTTATTATGTTGGAAATGAAATAAAGACATAAGAATAAACTTAATTCTATATTTCGTCGTCGTCATACAACGATTGGCGTGACCGCTGTCTTCTATCCTTGAAAACATTTCTGTCAGCTACACGGAGGTTCTTAAAACTCCTCATGTCTATATCATGGCGCAAAGAGGAATCTTGGAGCTTTTTCTGCATTGCCATTATTTTTGTTTGCATTAGTTTCCTTCGAGGTATATGCCGTAGCGCAAATTCCCAATCCCCAGTAGTCTTGAGGTCCAAGAGAATTGGAACCATATGATTTATATTCAGATTCTTCTTTGACCCAGGTGCCCATTCTAAGTATCGATCTAAGGGAAGTTTTGCCATTTTTAAACCGTCTTTCTTTGCTTTTGCTAGTGATAGTGGGTCATTCACCGTCTGGAAAATAACAGAAAAGAAAAATTAACAACTATTCAAGTTATTAAAAATATATTGAAGTACCTATGGTTCACAACTTTATTTGTAAGGAAAGTAAATTACGGCAATTGTTAATAGATTTCTAAAATCTTAATAGGTTTCCAATTAGATTTTACATTACCCACAGCAGACACAAAAATTTTAAATTACTTTTTTTCTAGCATTTGACTTCAAAGCATTGTTGTGTAGATCATCTTACCTTGTCAACCATACACCCTATAATGTAAATGGCATCATGATCAAAGTGTGTTAATTCATCTCTGCAATGCGGCGTTAAATATACTAATTTCTCCTGTGGAAAAATGTTCATGTAGCTCTCACTATGAATGTTAAGTGGGAACCAGGGTTCATCAATTGATGGCACATTTTTTCTGAACTGTTCCATAAAAACTCCTGATTTATTTACATTACATAAGTGCAAATTGAATGGTTCCTTATGCAGTCTGTTGTCGCCAAAGACAAATGTAAGCTGTTTTGCAGCATTTAAAGTTTCCCTTTTCACCATGTGTTCTTCATATGAGCAATCTATTACAATAGATTGACCATGCATCAAAGCACGAACAGCTCTGTAAATGTACCAATTAAATCTGAATATTATATGTATTTAAGGAAATTACCTTGATAGGTAAGTACAATACCTGTAGTTGTCAAAATTATTAATTGATTGATCACGAATACGTAAAAACAAAGATCGATGTTTAATACCATAAAGTAGGTCATCAGGGAACTCTTTTAAATCCTCTTCATCAGTCTCTTCTAACTCTCTTCTCCGTGCTTTTTGCTTTGCCTGAAAACAGAAATGAAATATTTTTAATTCATGGTTTTGTTCATTTTAATTCACAATATTTGCAATGTATACATATGTATTGTAATTTTTACCTTTTTATTTTCTCTATTCTTTTCATTCTTCCATAAGTAGGTAAGATAGCTAGCTCTTTGGTTTCTGGATTTGTATTCTAGCAGATTTTCCCATTGAGAAACATTCAAATAATCAGGTGCTGTTCTGCCATCCTGTCGTATCACTTCTACTTCTAACATTAATATTCTTAACTTCTTTTCAATTTCAGGATCACCATTACATATCTGCTGTATTATATCTTCTGCAAAAGTTTTACCCGATAAGTTACATACATACTTTCTCCTCTAGCACAGCAACCCAAAAGAAGCCTCTGCCTCTATGTAAGTAATATAGCAATAAGTAAATTTAAGTGTGAGTTTTACCTGTATCATCATCACCATCAGTTATTGAGGACATTTGTCGAAACAATGTGATCACATTATTATTAATATATTTTCTAGGTTTTACTATAAATGCAGATTCCAACGCTGGACGTTGGATTAACCGTGAAAATAGAGATTTTAAGCAATACATAGCTACAATATTCTATTTATCTTCTGTTATGATTTTTATTTAAATAGCACTGGTCATAAGTAAAGTTGGAACATTTATATATTTTAGTAAATGTTTTCTTAATTTCAATATGACTGACTCTCTAAAGGTAAATATTTATAAGCTTAAATTAGATTCTAGTAATGTTTGTACATTACGTATTTTATAATTAAAATATTATTTCAGTAACCTCTCTTATTAAACACTGTTTATTGCAAGTTTTTTGTTTACAGCTTACACATGTGAGTTAGCTTTGAGCAGTGGACAGATGACGTTTATGGTCTTCGCTGTATACATTTAAGTTCTGTAGTTTTTGACAGAGTCTGTGGTCAGGACTTGTGCCACCGGTCATTACAACTGTCATGCGTGCCTGTGTAATTGTCATTCCTTTTCATTGGTTACTTGCTGTGGCAACTTGTTTCTTGAACACGAGAGCATTTTTGGTTATTTAAAAGGAAATAAGAAAGTACTATCTGAAAATATGAGTTATTCGAAGTTTGACCTCACGTTTAAGATAGGTCAATATCTAGACCGACATCTTGTGTTTCCGTTGCTGGAGTTCCTAGCAGCCAAGGAGGTACTACAGTCAAATTGACTCAAACATTACAGAACAAAATATCTACGTTTTATCCCCAATAATGTTGTTTTCAGACTTATGACCCTTCTGAGTTGCTGCAAGCTAAATTGGAAATCTTGAGTAAAACAAACATGATTGATTATGTTATAGATATACGTAAGATGTTATACCCTGATGAAGATCCACCTGAGGTGATTTACCTTCCTAATTTCTTTAATTCTGTTTTAATGCGTATGTTCTCAAATTAAACTCCTTATGGAATCTTCTATTCTGCAACAGGAAATAAAAGCACGCAGAGGAGTTGTTTTGTCACAATTACAAGAACTGCAGGATGCAGTGGAACCAGTATTAAGATTAATGCAAAGGGATGATGTAATGAAAACAGTGGAAACTATGAGGGATCCAAAAACACTTATAAATTACTTAACAACTAATAAGGAGTTTGAGGTAAAGCACCTTAATATACTTAATTCTAAATCTACAACACATCTTACATCTTGGAGATAACTTTAACTTATTAGATATACACATCATTAAAGAATGGATAATAAATAGATGTAAAAATGTTCATTAGATCAGTATACTTTTCCAAAATTATAATTGTGTACCGTGTACTAATATTTATCTTTTTCCACAGTTCAGAATTGATATGATTGACAGCATGTACCGTCTGGCTAAATACAGATATGAGTGTGGTAATTATGTTGAGTCTGCATCTTACCTCTACTTTTGCCAGCTAGTTATGTCACCCACTGACAAGGTACATATTAATTTTTATAGTACTTTTAGTATCAATATCCCATTACACCAACACAGTATTATATATTTTGATAAGAACCTTAGTATTTTTTCAAACAATTTAGGAATTATAGTGCTTTTATGTCTTATAAAGTTATAATGACACTTAAAAGTTACGGCTGTTGTTAGTTGACATAAATAAATACAGTTACTAGTTACATTACTTTATTTAATGTTTTTTAAAGATCTAACATATTTTCTTATCTTCTGCTCAGTATTGTTCTAATATTGTGATATTACATTACATTGTAATTGAAGTACAGAAGGGATGACATTGGTTTTTGTGCATTTGCAATTGTAAACTTCCTTGAAAACATTGTCCGCAAGATTCACACTGATATTCTTGGCTATTGGGATTTTTATGACATAGCTTTGAAGTAAAATGGCCAACTTTATACCTGTAAAAATGATTTCTTAAGTTATTATTACTATTATTCAAGAATATGATCTATCATATTAATAGAAGTTGCTTGTCTGTTAAATTATATAATATATTAACTTTAAACGATCAATGTAAAATATGTGTGAAATGAGATCTCAGAAATTAAAGATTGATTTGAATAACCTGTGATTATACAAGTGATCATGATTTCTAAATTTACGATCACATGTGTTGCAAATCAACATTTTAGGTAATGCAAACTTGTAGTATACTATCAACCAAGGGCACATGACCCAGTGTTGTTGAGCAGCTTTATACGCATCAAAGGACACCTTGCATGCATTGCATTCATAATTTTTGTCAGTTGCATGACATCTGGTATGTTTTAAAAGCCTCGGTATATTTGTGTACACCTTTTCACAAAACTCGCATTGGAGTAAAAGAGATGTTTTTATTTCCCTAATGCAATCAGTGTTTCCTGCTTTACAACAATAGTTTGAATGTTTTAAAGCCATTTCTTCATGAGGCCACACTTGAAAGCATTCTGTACAAGTCCAAACGATTTGCCAACGCTGTAGTGTATCTAAATGACCATGTCTCATGGTATAATGCCGTCTTAGCCCAGTTTCATAAACAAATGCTGTGCCGCAAACTTCACAAGGATAGGAACGTACAGGCTTAACACATGTTATATCAAACATTTCTTTTTTTTTGGTATAGTTCAAGGTTTTGTTCAATTTGTGAATGTTTTCCATGATTCGAGCATTGTTTTCCTTTACTTTTTCTAGACTGTATTCTAAAATATTGATGAGCTGCTGGTTTTTTGGGTAGGAATTAATTATCTCACAACTTCCATTAGGAGAAATCTTAATGTTAGGACAGTTTATTTTATTTTCTGGCTTATTTGTCCATGCTTTGGGGACAATCAATGTATTTAGACTGGAACTTATTTCTTTAGCGCAAGGACTTATATCAAAACCACTTTCTTCATCTGATGCTATTTTAACTATTAATTGTGAATTTTCTATGTTCTTTTTTTTAACATCAGCATTTCCTTCTAGCCACTTTCCAAATTTGCATTCCTCATTGTCAAAGAGGATACACAATGACTTTGAACTTATCCCATCCTCCAATTTTTGTATTATTAACTTTGTTGACATTTTGGAAAACTTAACAATCTCATTAAATATCGTTAAGTAAAATCACTGACAAATATACATTGACAAGTTATGTTTTATTAAAAACCGAGTAAACTACAAAGGTTTCACTAAATTTGCAATTAGAGGATTTATTGATTAATTTTTTTTTTTTCAGAACTATTTAGCTGTGCTGTGGGGTAAATTGGCAAGTGAGATCCTTGTCCAAAATTGGGATGGTGCATTAGACGACCTTACCAAACTTCGTGAATTTATCGATAATGGAGCAGCTGGGGCCACAGCAACCAACATGCAAGCTCTGCAGCAGCGCACGTGGCTCGTACACTGGTCACTTTTTGTGTTCTTCAACCACGTCAAAGGAAGGGACCTTATCATCGAAATGTTCTTATACAGGCCTTTGTGAGTCATTCTCCTATTGTTTTTAATCTTTATCTTAGTAAGACTAGAATTTTTATTTATTAAAAAATTGTTCCTAGGTATTTAAATGCAATTCAAACTATGTGCCCTCACATACTTCGTTATCTGGCTACAGCCGTCATCATCAATAGATCCCGTAGAAACGCTCTAAAGGATCTTGTTAAAGTCATTCAACAAGAAGCGTATACATACAGGTATTACAGTTATTGAGAAAATAGTATTTGACAACTGAGAATTTTATGAATTATAACACTTTGATATTCTCCCCAGGGATCCAATAACTGAGTTCATCGAGCACCTATATGTCAATTTTGACTTTGAGGCAGCTCGCAGGAAACTGAACCAGTGCCAGGCTGTTCTCTCCACAGACTTCTTCCTTATCGCTTGCCTAGAGGAATTCGTTGAAAACGCAAGATTGATGATCTTTGAAACGTTCTGCCGCATCCATCAAGTTATTAGTATAGGGTAAGGTTAACAATATTGTTGTACATCAAGAAAAAGTTAACAATACGGTTATAAGTATCTATGGATATACTTAAGAATTGAACTATTTAGAGAAATGCAATGTAATGTTAATTTTTATTTCAGTATGTTGGCAGAGAACTTGAGTATGCAACCTGATGAAGCAGAATGCTGGATTGTAAATCTTATTCGTAACGCCCGTTTGGATGCCAAGATAGATTCGAAGTTAGGTCACGTAGTCATGGGTGCCCAACCCTTATCCCCGTATCAGCAGTTGGTAGAGCGAATTGATTCTCTCTCAGTGCGTTCGGAAGCTCTTACTTCATTAGTAGAAAGGAAACAGAAAGTTCGCAATCAAGACGTAAGTGAATCTTTTTGACGTGCCTTCAGTGAATTAGTAAATATACACAAAGCAAAAATGTTAACTCCACAACTTGTTGCTTGCTGCGGTTGTTGCTGGTTTCTTGCTACCATGAAACCCATACTTCTCCATCCTCTGTTGTCATTAAAAATAGTTAAGAGACTGTATATTACTGTCATTTACATTTAATTTCTCCAGTCTAATCACATCTTTGTCTTTCAGATTCGCTGGGGAGCTCAAGAATTCTAATTGAAAGAATACCAATTTGTCAATAAATTTCATTTTTGTAAATGAAAATCTTTTATAAAATATACATATTCCTACCACATAAAAAACAAATTATTTTATAATTGTATAGACCTTTATGTTAATCCATAACTCCATTGGAGGGTTTCTTTAAAAAATTAAAAAAATCTTCTAAAAATATTCTGTTTGATATACACTCTGATATTATATCACCATTTTAATATAGTCATGATAGTTATTTACTTAAATAAATACAATAAATCAAGTCATAATATTTATTATTTGGTACTATTCTACAGGTTTGATTGTTATAAATCTAGACAGAATAAAGGCGACCAATATTGTAGACATCACAAACAATACAACAAAAATATAGAATGTATCCTCTGAAAATACATCAGTAAATGCTGGGATTTGGTTGTAAATCTCTTCTACAACATGGAGGTTCCCCTTTTTAGTCATGGTAGATTATTTCTTCTTTGACTTCTTATCTAATTTGGTATGAGTTACGATTTGTTCTGGTGGTGCTAATGCAGAGATATGCTTGTTTAAGAGTTGTAAGATCTCTAAGCAGGTTAAATTTCCACTTTTCAATGTAACACTTTTTAAATTTGTAGATTCTGAAATGAGCGTTTAAAGTAAGCTTGTTAATATATTTTCTTTGTAAAATGTCGTACTTATCCTTACTAATATTATAAATGCGAAAGTAACTGTCTGTCTGTTACTCTTTCATGCCAAAACTACTAAACGGATTTGAATGAAATTTGATATACAGACCTTGAGAAAGGGCATAGGCTACTTTTTATTGCGTAAAAGGGGAGGTGAAAAGTTGTATGGTAATTCGTAGGTTTTTTGAAGCTTAATCAATAAAACTTTCTTTGGATTTTTGGGAATAGGAATGGGAGTGAGTGTGGGAGTTAGAGCAAGAGTGATGTGAGGTTAGTGTTGCGGCAAAATAGCACTTACAACATGGATTGGCTCACTTAAATGCGACCTTACATAAATAAATAAATGAACAAGTCACTATTCCACGTGAACGAAGTCGCGGGCACAGCTAGTTAAAAAAATAAATAAAACTAATTACCTGCTATTGATGGTATTATACTAATATCGACTGTAGGCTCACTTCTATCACAAATTATCTCTGTTTTCAATACACAGTTTGGATTTGTTAGAGCTACTTTAGGTGAACTGATGTAATGCAAGAAGTTCCTAAAAACAAAAATCACTACATTTTCTTGATTCTATATTTTAATTAAATTCAATAAAATGAAAAATCGAAATTTCACATTCTTTATAGATAATCAAAACATACGCGGAAATTACAGTAACATTATGGTGAAAATTACAAGTACAAAGAAATTATATTATTGTCTTTGTGACATAAATATTATTCTTCAGGCATATTGTATCTCATATTTATTACTATACCTAGTGTGAGTAACGTTATCGCTAAATGGATCGAATTTAACAGTTATTCTTCTTGCAGCTTTCAGGTTTACGGCTCTTAATTGTTTTCCTATTGCCGATACCACCCCTCCGGATCTCCTGAAAGTTCCACTGTAGGGGATGGACATTTTCAGGATTTCTCTAGTGTTCTTAAAATAGATAGCTATATGAATACATAATATACGGGCCAATGTAAAGTGCTGCCAGATATAGACTGTTAAAATTTACCTAGACTAAATATTTGTTACACAACAACCTGTTTAAACTAAAGTATTTTTTTAGTAAAGTACTAAAAATCATAATAATTTTAATAGGGTTCTCAATTTTCTCAACAATGTTGAAACTTCCAAGTTTTATCTATCTATATAAAGACCACTTTCAGTTTTGCTGAATAAAGGGTTAAACCATTTCTGTATCTTTTTTACTACGATTATACTCAGCAAAAATATTTTTTAAAACCATATAAGAATGTTTAAAAAATATTCCACCTTTTCCAACAATTATGCTCTGGCAATATAATAAAAGTATCTGTATTTTTACTAACCTTTATTTTATCTGTCGGAATATTTTCATATCTATAATATTTAGATCTGTAGCTTAGCGTTAGTCTCTGGTCATTAATCAAAATAGAATTGCATTGCATTAGAATTTAGACGTCAAATTGCAATTTACAGCAACTTTACCTAGATCAAAGCCAACAAATTTTAATGTATTCTTGAAATTTTCGAACTTGTTACTTGTATAATCTTTATTTTATACATTTTAATTTATATAAACACATTTCAAGATGTACCCCGTTGGCCAACGTAAGTATTCTCAGGTCATGTATTACGACCACGAGTTAGGACTTCTGCCTACATCCTTTGTTTGGTTGTCCTAAATAGAATTATTATGACATTTTTGCGTTATGCGCTTTAAAAGTTTAACTTAAATAGTCCTTGTTATTGTTGAGTTAATGATTAGAGAATTGTTATGGTTTTTAGCTCCAGCGGGGGAGGCAAGTGCTGGAGCAGTGGGAGTAACGGGTGCCTCAAGCGCCACACCTGGAGCGACAGGGACGACCCCCGGTGCTCCAAGTGTAGCTGCTACGCCTGGAGCAACACCTGCAGGCGTCGCTACGGCTACTGGAGTTCTGTCCCTCGTGTCACCTGTCGCGCCACCTCCCGACATGCCCGATGTACTTACGTGTCCTCGACGGCCCAACTTAGGTCACGAAGGCAGACCTATTATGCTTCGTGCCAATCATTTTCAAATATCTATGCCTAGAGGATATGTTCATCATTATGATGTTAATATACAACCAGATAAATGCCCCAGAAAGGTGCTAAGAATGTTCAAACATCATATTTTTTCACACAGTATAGCGGCATTATTAACACCTGGTTAAATGTTATTTCAGGTTAATAGAGAAATTGTTGATACTATGGTAAAGAGTTATAATAAGATATTTGGTGCCTTGAAACCAGTTTTTGACGGCAGAAACAATTTATATACAAGAGACCCCTTGCCAATTGGCAATGATAGAGTGGAGTTGGAAGTTATTTTACCTGGTGAAGGTAAAGACAGAGTATTCAGAGTCACTATCAAATGGGTGGCACAGGTATGTACTTTTGAGTTACTGTTACATCATCAATAAGAGTTATTTATAAGTGAAATATGACCTTATGCAGTATCAGCAAAATGTTTGCAAACTAAATGTGAAACTGATATATACGCAAGCATGAAACATTTAAATAAATAGGAAAATTAATTTCTCACATAACTGTTTATACATGTAAAATGTCAGCAATTATTTTATTCTTGACGTTTTTAGGTGTCATTATTTGCTTTAGAAGAAGCTCTAGAGGGCCGCACGCGGCAGATACCATATGATGCCATATTAGCATTGGATGTAGTTATGAGACATCTTCCATCAATGATGTACACACCAGTGGGTAGATCTTTCTTCTCATCCCCAGAAGGATACTATCATCCACTTGGAGGTGGGCGTGAAGTCTGGTTCGGTTTTCACCAGTCCGTCAGACCTAGCCAATGGAAGATGATGCTAAACATTGACGGTATGTAGATTCGTAACAGATATTTTGACCTATGCTTTTGCCCTGTTAGTCTGCATTCATTTACACTAAAACTATGTCAAACACCTGTGTCATAACACCAATAACCAATTGGCTAATATCTCAGTATTGTACTTTGAGTCTTTCAAACTAATGACCCTTTAGGCAATGAAATTACAGTCCAATGTAAATAAAAGGAAAACAATATTTATTATTGTTATTTTACTAAGCTCTGTTACTCTTATCACTGTTGACATTGTGTTAAGGTAAAAAGTGTTTAATGAACTGTATATATTATGGGCATTTATGTATATACACATATCCAGTGATTTATGACTGTATTTATCCTCATTAATTTATGAGGGGAGCAGTGTTAGTCTTATGTATACATTAATTCCATTTATGCGTTTGGGAGTTCAGTCCCCAGTTATGCACATTGTGAGGCAACAGACGAGCCTTGTAACATAATATTGAACAGCTCTAACATACATTACAATAGACTAACACTGAATCTGAATTATAGGATCTAATGAAGTGCTAATGATAAAGGTGTTTATTACTAAAATTGAATGTATTTTGTAGTTTCCGCAACCGCCTTCTACAAAGCTCAACCAGTCATAGAATTTATGTGTGAAGTACTAGACATCAGAGATATAAACGACCAAAGAAAACCATTGACTGATTCTCAAAGAGTAAAGTTTACAAAAGAAATTAAGGGACTCAAAATCGAAATTACCCATTGCGGTGCAATGAAGAGAAAGTACAGAGTCTGTAATGTTACACGAAGACCTGCTCAGATGCAGTCGTAAGTATACAAGAATATATATTGGGCTACATTTTGCTCAATTAAGTCAACAGTGAAGACAATATTACTGATCTTTAAGATCTAATATTTTTATTTCTTGTAATACGGTATTAAGCAGTAAGGCTCTTGAAATATACAACTAATTTTAACTTTATTACAACTAAAACATCAAGTGTCATGATGGTCCTTGTTACAGGTTCCCGTTACAGCTAGAAAATGGACAAACAGTAGAATGCACTGTAGCTAAATACTTCTTAGATAAATACAAAATGAAGCTAAGATATCCACACTTGCCTTGCCTACAAGTTGGGCAGGAACACAAGCACACATACCTTCCTCTTGAAGTATGTAACATAGTACCTGGACAACGCTGTATTAAGAAATTGACTGATATGCAGACTTCAACTATGATTAAGGCGACTGCTCGTTCTGCACCTGACAGGTAGGTGTATGATTAATCTTTTTCAGGTTTAAAGTCAAAAATCATTTATTCACAGAGATAACTAGGTACACTTATGAACGTCACACCAGTTAAAATCTAAAGATTTCTTCATTTGACACATTTTTTGAGAACTGGTAAAAAACTCGCCTCCACTTCTTTTATCGCCCAGTTTCAGTCATTTTTTCCTTGTTAGAGCAGTTTCCTCTAAACCCCAAGCATCTATGTCGTTTAAATATTGATTAATGTCATAATAACCCTTTTCAAGTCATTTTTTGTTTTTCATATGATTTAAAATTATTTATTGATAGTGCTTGCTGTTTCCATTCTTCAATATATTACAGGGAGCGCGAGATCAACAATCTGGTCCGTCGGGCGAATTTCAACACAGACTTATATGTCAAGGAGTTTGGGCTGACGATTTCCAACAACATGATGGAAGTGCGGGGAAGAGTGCTCCCTCCACCGAAGCTACAGTATGGTGGCCGCGTTTCCTCTCTTGGCGGACAGGTAACATGTTTCCTGGTCTTTTATGTCAAATCATTAAAGTGGGATCAAATCGTTATTTAAATAAATAAATTTTAACTGTTTCAAACGCGAAGTATTTGATAACCGAGGAGATATAGATAGATATAGTCAGTCAGTCGGGCTGGACGCTTTGAGGTAGATTTCACACCAACTGTCTGTTGTTACAGCAAGCTCTACCCAACCAAGGGGTGTGGGACATGCGTGGGAAACAATTCTTTATGGGAGTTGAAATCCGTGTCTGGGCTATTGCCTGTTTTGCGCCGCAAAGGACTGTTCGCGAAGACGCACTCAAGTAAGCAAATGAAATTATACTTTATGTTTTTTAATAGAAGGTACATTATTATTTAACCAATATTTGTATATACTATGTGTCAAGTATTTTAAATATTCCCGATTCGAAGTCGGTTTACTATTAAGATATTTTTTCTTTACAAATATATGTTTGTTTTTCAGAAATTTCACTCAGCAGCTACAGAGGATATCGAATGATGCCGGCATGCCCATAATAGGCCAGCCGTGCTTCTGCAAGTATGCGACTGGCCCTGATCAAGTCGAACCCATGTTCAAATACCTCAAGTCCACCTTTGTTCAGTTGCAGCTAGTTGTTGTTGTGCTGCCAGGGAAGACGCCTGTATACGGTACGAGGTTTTTATCACATCTTGGCATGTTTCAAGTTTACTGGATTCTCTTAATTGAAATTCTATACGGTCACGAACCACCGTCCACACCTCACGCCATTCAGTTAAATCGCGTTTCGGTTTTAGTCTGTGGATTTCCGGAAATCTAAAGCAAATATAGGTTAACAGCGCAAGAGATATTTTATGGCTGGGCGGGCTATTTCACCTTTTTTCAAGTGAATCCCTTTCCTAGTCTGTCGTCTCACATCGTAAAACAAGCTATATTTTGGCTATATACGTTAAAAATTATTGCTATACTACCGCTGTAAACCAATGGCTGAGTAGGAGAGGCTTTTAGTTTGAACCCTGGAAAATGATACATTTTCGGTCGACCACGGCGCAGGTGTATAAACGGGAGTCTTCTCCCGGCAGACCTCTCCATTCCAAGCGTCGTCTCACGCATGCTTCGTAGAGACGACGCCTAGAAAGAGGTCATCACCTTTTGCGAGCTGGTGATGCAGAAGAATGAGGCGATCCCTAATCTCTGTTTCGCCTTATCTGAAATGGGCATTGGTGCTGGGAACTTTGGAGTCGTACAAACGTTATCCCAGGACTCCCTCAAAGCACCGTAGAGGGCTGGTGGTGTGTTTCTTAGTTCTTGTCGGCTATACGATTTAAAACACTTCCCACGTCACTATTGCACAACTTGGGCGGGCTTTCACACCGTCAGTCACAATCGCGGTGAAATTTTATTGACAGTTTACAAAAAATAATAATTTCTTAATCCATTTTATTTTAGCGGAAGTGAAACGAGTAGGCGACACAGTACTCGGTATGGCAACACAGTGTGTCCAAGCAAAGAATGTGAACAAGACATCTCCGCAGACACTTAGCAATCTCTGTCTAAAAATCAATGTCAAACTGGGCGGTATCAACTCCATTCTCGTGCCGTCTATACGTCCAAAGGTATTTTAAAATATCATAAAAAGTATTTAAAAAACCCCTTTAGGTTTGTAAATTGATCTTTGTTTTTATGTTCAACGAACATAATCACTTTGTAAGCTTGCGTTTTTGAAATTATTCTATTAGCCTATTATGTATATGAATACAGGAAAGTGGAGGGGTTAGTTAGTTCCTGGGCAGAAGATTTTGCAATCGGTTTTAAGAGGTATTTAAATGGATGTCAAAATCTTATCCGGGTCACCAACTACCGATCACGGACAGAATAGTCGTGAAGTGTAAATCCCTTTTAATCCGTGGATTTCTGAATGTCAAAAACAATAATAGTTTGAGAGCATATCTTAAATGTTTTACAAAAGTTTATTTGTCAAACATTTAAGAGTCTGTTTGAAGAAAAACAAAAATATCTTTTGTGTAGGTATTCAACGAGCCAGTTATATTCCTCGGTGTGGATGTAACACATCCACCAGCCGGCGACAATAAGAAGCCGTCCATTGCGGCTGTTGTTGGGTCTATGGATGCACATCCTTCAAGATACGCAGCAACAGTCCGAGTACAACAACACAGGTAACATCAGATTCCGACATTACCATATAATCCTTGTGAAAGTTCTCTTTTGTTTCTGAACGAATTTTTCATAGATTTGGAGTAAAATTGATAAACAAATACATTTCAAATGGAAACACAGCACGTTTGTTACGGGTTCGAATCCCGTATGTGCCAATCTTGAAAAGTATGGACTGTCTAATTAATATTAGAGATTTTGCCGACTTCATGGTTTTGGAAAAATGAATTGTTACATATTATATTGAAGATGAATTATTAATTCTACAGTATTAATATATTGTAGGAATAATGAAGAGATAAAAGGATATGCCAGGTAGTATATTTGTATCAATACTTATTTTTTAGTATAAACAATTTTTTTTTTTTAAAGATAAACATCTCTAATACCCTATGCATTGTTGGGTGTTTTTTATTGTTTATTCCTAATATTAAGCAAATGAACAGGTTTTTTAAGTGGCAACACTCATATTTTTATTTTGTCTTCAATACACTGTTGAGGCGATTTATTTATCATTTTGTTCATCAAGCCATTTGCTTTCTTTCTCCATCAAAGGAATTTCGAACACACGCTAAAAAAAAATTCTACATAATGTTAAATTATTAAGAATGTTTCAAACAACTTTTTTATTTATTAATACTAGTTTAATTTATTATAGTTTTGTCTCAATATGTCCCTTAAGTTTTTGATCAGGGATGGGCAAAGATTTTCTTATGACTAACCTTTTGGAGGGTAGAAAGAAAATACATTTTGATTATTCGATTATTTTTGTAAGAAACTGTCTGTTAACTTTCTATAAAACATGATACTGCTGTAAAGTCTAAGAATTTGAAATGTTTGACAATTTTCCCATTCCTGAGTTGAAACATATTTCCCCTTTAGTTGTAAGCACTGGACATAGTCCAGATCCCAAAATTGTGGTGTACTATGGCAGCAACGGGTAACCATCGATTAATTCAGTGAGAATGACAGGCAGGAGATAGTGCACGAGCTGAGCAGCATGGTGCAGGAGTTGCTGATGATGTTCTACAAGAGCACGGGCGGGTTCAAGCCGCACCGCATCATCATGTACCGGGACGGAATCTCCGAGGGGCAGTTTATACATGTGCTGCAGCACGAGCTCACAGCCGTAAGGGAGGCTTGCATCAAGGTAAGGACTTACATGAGGATAAATTATGCTTTCAGTGGGACTCAAGGCATCATTTTTTTTTAACGATTTGACGACGGCTTTGGTTATTCGGAAACATTCACTGAAAATACCTAATAAACAGACAAAACTAGTATTTGATATTTATATGAGTGTGTGTCATGAATCACCACACACACACACACACAGCAGAGATGGGAAAGCCGTGAAGTGTAATCACGTTTCGGTTTCAGTCTGTGGATATCGGACATCCACAGCCAAGATAGGTTGTTAGCACATTTAGTGAGATGTTATATGGTTGGGTATGTTACCTTCCATCAAGTGAACTCCGTATTTATTTCATCTCCTCTATAATAAAAAAAAACATGAAACCTTTACTATTGTATTGTAAAGTGTATCACATCACAGTAACATAATAATGTGTCTATAGTTTACGCGAGTAGTATATATTAAAATAAAACACTTTTAACAGTTTATAACGCGAAATATATAAGTCGACTACGGCTATTGCAAAGCATCCGAAACGTTAGGTCGTAGTCAAAGAAAATTGTAAAAATATATTACAAAGTAAAGTTTTTTGTAATAATATAAAGTGTGTATGCAAGTTGTTATTAAATACGATTAAAAATATTCACTAATTACCATTTCTTCAAACAGTTGGAGGCGGAATACAAACCCGGCATCACATTCATAGTGGTGCAGAAGCGGCACCACACCCGACTCTTCTGCGCAGACAAACGCGAGCAATCCGGAAAGTCCGGCAACATACCGGCCGGGACAACTGTCGACCTCGGCATTACTCACCCCACAGAGTTCGACTTCTACCTCTGCAGCCATCAGGGCATACAGGTATATACGGTATTTCCAACTTGGGGTAAGACCACAACAAATATGTATTTCAGGTCATAGATACCATTGCCATTGATGAAATAGTCAATTTTGACATTTTTCAGTAAGAATTATTACGAATAAGTAATACAAACCACTCATATATTTTTTTGGGAAAAATTTATTTAAAAATATTAACTAAACCTAAAATTCTGTTTCCCTTAGTGGATGTAAGGAAAACACATTTATCATCTGTATCTGTTATACTGATGATTTTATTTAGCAAGTAGTTCATCAGGCTTGTGTGCCCTGCCCAACCGAAATAACTTATTGTTTCAATGGGATTCGATCCAGGACTTGTGCTTTACATAATGCCATGTTTAACAATTAAGCTACAGTGGTAGAAACAAAGATATAAATATATATCTTTTTCGATTTCAGGGTACGTCCCGTCCGTCCCACTACCACGTGCTCTGGGACGACAACCACTTCGGTTCCGATGAACTCCAGTGCCTCACGTACCAGCTCTGCCACACTTACGTGCGTTGCACTCGGTCCGTGTCCATCCCGGCACCAGCGTACTATGCGCATCTCGTCGCCTTCCGCGCCCGCTACCACTTGGTGGAGAAGGAACACGATTCTGGGGAGGGAAGCCACCAGTCCGCCTGCAGCGAAGACCGGACACCTGGAGCGATGGCCCGCGCCATCACCGTACACGCGGTCACCAAGAAGGTCATGTACTTCGCTTAAAGGTTTATTGTTAAACTACTTTGAACGATGTTATTCGATTGAAAAGGAGCACACTACCGCCATCCGCCTCATTTATCCGTCTTCACAAAATGACCGGTTTATGCTATTTTATTATTATGACGAAAAAGTGTTTGCATAAAACCAATATAAATTTTAATGCGGCCTTTCGATCTATAGGCCCGTTCTAGCGTACTGTATCGATCTACGTGTTTATTAAATACGTTATTGACAATTTTTATATGTAGCTATTATAACATTAAACGACAGGTACAGCTTTGCTCCGATTCAGTGAGATTTGAGCACTTGTAGGGTTTGGTTCTGGCAACACTTAAGTGTTACCCTCATTATTCAAGCCCTTTCTACCCTCACTTTGTAAACTCGTCTTTAACTTAGAGGGCTTTCACGAAGTGGCGTTTTTGTTGCGACTTTCTACATTGCGGTGCAGTAACACGACTCGTTCACACCCATATGTAGCGCAACTGTAGCGTTTCGAGCGGTGGCAGTATATGCTACGGTTGTCAACAAAATAGTTATTCGCTGTGCAACGCTTCAGTCAAGCGACAAAAACGCCAATGTGTAAAAGCGCTCTTAAATTGTAATCAACTCGTATCCATAGCTTTATATATATGAAATCATGTATCACGGCTTTTCTATACACGATAACAAAAGTCGGTTATAAAATCATATTTATCTGGTAAATTAAGCACAATATTCTAAGTTAATTTGGTTGTTATTTATTAGTGACCTCAAGAATTTTTGCGGGCGTGGGGTATGGGACCTCGGTCCCCACTGATTTGTCGCCTTGCCCTACTGAGAATTGTAAAATGTGCACATACAAATTAAAATGTAAAAAAATCTCTCGAAAAACTCTCGACTTTAAGTGACTAGGTAAAATGGCGGTTGTAATCAAACCGACTTTTTTTTTTAATTAAAAATAATTATGCACTAAGCGTCTAACGTTAGTTCTTGGTTCTAGACGACCCTATGTTATGCAATTACTGCATCCTATCATCGTGATGATTAGGATAAAAGAATATCTTAATCACTCCGTTGGTTTAGGCCCAATTTCGTTAAAAAATATTAGTATTGGTTTATTTTAAACGGAACACCGATTAATCAGTGTCATTATTGCTGTGACATTTTAATTCACGCCGATCTGTTTGTTCAGGAACTATTCAAGATAAGAACCGACCAAATGACCGTAATAGGCTCTTATCGCTTTAGATCTCGATTTTGTCGCCCTTATCAGCAGATGTCGAGCGAACTACTTCATTCATGTATTAAACACTTGTAATAACTTTCCATATTAGACAAAAGTAATATAATATTTTTTTGAAACTGAATAGACAACGTTTAAGCAGCTAGTAAGCTTAAAACGAGATATAAAATGATATTGTCTCGAGTTCAAACGCGAATCAAATTTTAATTACAGAATTTTCGACCCGACGTCGATCTTGTCAAAAGTAGAATTCCGTGACTAATTTGATTTTCAAACCCGTTTAAAGTTTTATTTATTGACATAATAAGTGTCATCAAGGGACTCTGTAAACGTTGATACTGATTATTGGGTGAAGTGGAATTTTGTAAGAGCACGACAAACATAAAGATTCTACCCAAATTTCAGCTAAATGAAACGGTAGCTCCTAATGAATGGTTGCTATAAAGCATCTAAAAAATATAGCTTCATAAGTTCGGGCGTTCTAGGTTATAAGATTGTGTTGTATTTAAGGGAGAATATTTTTTTATTTATCTGTAATAATCAATTTATAATCCGTTCATATTATCTACAGCTGAAATAAGGTATTTGCGTTTTCGAGCTGTTCGTTGCCTTCGTAAAGTCGAGGAACCAAACCCGATTGAGTGAACAGCTTGAAATCCCAAATAGCTTTTCAAAATGGCCGCGAAAGCTTTACAATTTATAACTCTTAAGTTTGACAAAAGTTTGGAAAAATTTTCATTCATATATCAATCAAATTTCAGTTCGTGTTCAATCAAATCAACAATGTCGCAATATCGGGTAGCTATGGGTTACCCTATTATATTCTAATCATTATAAAAGGAATAATCATGGTACAGCTAATATTATTAAGACCGTACATTTGATCACCTCGAGTCACAGTACAGGTTTCCTTATTAATAGGAGTACACCGTAGTAACCTTTAAAATATATAATATGCCGGTGTAAAGGATACATCATACACATTTTCAACACACACGATCTCCTGGCCTCTTTGTATCGTATGTGCCACATATGATCACACATATATGTGATCGCGGGGAATACCGAGGATTGAGTATAGCAAGTAGATATTTAAAACTATTCTTAAGTAGCGTAAGTGTTAGATGTTTAGTCAAATATGCAATATTACACTAATTTCAAGACCACTATCCCCCTCCATACCAAAAGTAAGGTTCTCTGCCGCCTTTTAGTCGTAAGTTGATATTTTATTTTAACTATTGATTTATCTTTTATATTAACTGATATGAAATATCGCGTCCGCTCGAGCGCGAGCGCCGTTCGTGATCGGCACAAAATGGTGTGATTTAGCACAGACGTTACATTATGTATCGACGCTTTCTCTATGTGTTTCGAAGGTGCAGCAAGAATCTTCGGTCAAATATTATTGTATGTTGTTTTACTAAATGAATTCAAAAGTTTTATCGTTTGCTTATGTCGACTCGAAGCTTACGTGGCGTAGTGTCTAGTACGTACGTGTAGTAGTTAGATCATATTTTTATATAGCACGTTATTGTGTAAAGGATTAAGATTTCAACAGTTAAGGTTTCGATCTAGATTATAATATAGATTCCAAATTTCTTCGTGCAGGGTATTTCGTTGAAATAGAGGTCCGTAGTGGGGAGAGGCGACTCTGTCTTCATATTATAATGTACCACTCCATGTGTATCGATATAATATTGTTATAAATTTCAATTTGTGTATAAGTAGCGGCACGGATCTTTAGCGCTGAACGAATCCTGCGCAGAAGTCAAAAATAAGGTATCGAAGGGACGGAAGCGCGTGCGGGGCGAGTGAACGTCATGTGCGCTAGCGTCGATTGGTTCCCCAGTCGTGTTGTCTTTCCCGGACCTATACGACGCTCTGCTTGCTTCTCGAGTACAGTCACGTTTTCCAATCAATTGCCTGCGCGATCGCATAGATGCGCAACTATCCCCTCTACACTTCGTTCAGCGCTAAACATCCGAGCCGCGACCCATAGTTACGCTTAAATTATAAACGTAATCTAAGGTTCTATGTCGAGCGTGATTGTGCAAGGTTAAGGCTAAGTTAACTTATAATTATTTTACGCATTTTTAAACAGCCTCGTTTGTATGGAAATTATGTTTTAATCGTCACTATAACTTCAACATATCAGAACATAGTCGATCTCTACGAGACTCAATAATTAATTGTATATGTGCTGCGCAAAATCCTCGGAAGGGTTCATGTTCGTATATTTTACTATCTCTGTACTGTATTATATCTAATTGCAGTTATTTTTTAACTATCGGTATTAAGCTTAGCCGGGTTCTTTTACTTAAAATAATATTAAGATGTGATGTTTCTGTTTTTGCCTTAATCCCCGAGTTTCCGTTTATTTAATAAATTTTCGCTATTGATGAAATAATGGTGTGAAAGCTTATCGTAGCTTGCTTTTCGTGCACAGTAAATGACCAAAAAGCAAAGTCGGTTTAAATATATTTATGCATTGCACAAAATATAAATTTCTAATTGTTTATCGCCAACGATTCAAATTAATTGTTTTCAAAATTTTTGTTATTATTTAATTTTGAAATTGGATGTAGACACGTTTGCTTTCGCTATCATTGTAACAACTTTTTATGTATATTTCTAATATAGCTCATGACGAGTATATATTATGTAATAGGTTTTAATTAAATCTGTTTCTTTAAGTACAGTTTTTCTTTCTTTTCCCTCGAACGAAATAAAAGCCAATTTCCATTTTAGTATATAAACTTTATTTTTCATTTAAAGTGTAAATAATGGAAATATAAGGAAAGCTAAGCGTTTTATAAAAATAACTTCACTTTTGAACTGCGCTCAACACGCTTCGGGCAAGTATAGTATAAATAGACGTTACATGTGATCTCAACGAGTACAATATAGTGTATATAAAATTCTTTGCGAAGCTTCTCAGAATGGTATTACCCTTAATTAACTCGCGTTTATACATTGAGAGATTGTTCGGAATGCAAGTGTTGGTTTAATAGCTTCCCAGCCACCACGTCGCGTTGAATATTAGAAGATACAGAGCGCTGATAAGACCCTAAACAATAATCTTAAATATAATATTGTAATTATTGTGGGGTTTAAGATGCTCTCGCGGAGTTCTTATCTGATTGTAGTAATTTCCAAAGTGATGCCTTCCTTTTTATCAAGTTATTTCTATCGATAGTTCATAAATAAATAATTGTAGTGTTTGTAAATGATTTAATTAGAAGTGGAAACAAGACGTATAAATAGCGACGGTGTGGCGTTTCTAAAGGTTTAGGATTAAGGCAAAGGTTTGTTTTCGGGAATGGTCGGCGAGGTGGCGCCACTTGCGCTACGGCTCGCGTCGCGCAGGGCCTCGTCGAAGCTTTGAGTCGAATTCGATCTGGACGATACTTTACCCTGAAATTACAATACATACTGTCTATAGTTTACGCGAGTAGAACATATTAAAAAACACTTAAACGGGTGAAAACGCGATTTATATTACTTAGTTAAACACACCAAAAAACATTTGAAAATTATTTTAACTACGGCCTTTTCGTTTCCGATGCTTTGCAGCTGCCGTGATCCATGAATAAACTTATTACTTATAGTATATATCCTGTTTGAAACCGTTAAAGTGTTTTATTTAAATATAAATAATATAAGAAAATATTACAGTGGGTTTGATGTGAATATAAGATATTAGAAAACTTTAATATTTTGCACATGTAAGGTAATCATAAATCCATTTTTAATTATTAAAAGATAGATTACATTGCATGCTGTCTTAAATTAAACCAGTAAAGAACTGTTGTTATTTCTTACTTAGCAATAATATTACTTGTTGGCTTGCCATGAACAAGTGTTCAATGGCAAGCCAAACAGTTGATGGATAGAGGAAGTCGGACTTCAAAAGCAAAAGTTAGGCGATACGTAGCCAAACTAGGACGGTCCGAAAGTTTTAGACCAATACAATGGATGGAGGGTAGTTTACGATATATACCTTAACGTTTTCATAGGCGAATCCGACGCGTTCCTCTATCGAGCGGAAAGAGTCGGAGTTTCTCATTTGTCCAATCTTTTGTGTTACGCCGGCGGTGAGCCCTCCAAATATGGAAGTCGTCTTCTCCGCCGTCGATTTTATCACAGATTCAGTTTTTTGGTATCTGTGAACATAGAGAAAATTACTGCATTTCCCGCTAAAATTTCCCAGCCTTTAACACCTATTGAAGATGAGCTGTCACCCATTTTTGCCAAAGTTCATTAAAAAAAAAGACATGCTCATACGCATTTGACATCTATGGCTTTTCATACACGCTCTATATATTTGTAAATTGGTATTTTAACGTTCCACATACATTATATTCATATGATTATGTTATCACTATTGTTAAAACGGATATGAGTGATATTTTTTTGTAACACTTCATGTTGTTTCTGAGATGAATAAAAAAAGAGATTAATCCTTACACTTGGCTTTCTTTGACGTTCTTCAATCCTTGATTGACGTCCTCGGTGATCTCCTTCCAAACGGTGATGCCAAGTTTTCGTTTCAGTTCGGAGCTCTGACGGATCTGTGGCACAAAACAAGTAATGATCCAAACGTTTTGTTTTGTTTATAATCTAAAAAGTCTTTATTTACACGGAATGAATTCTCCGTTAATTTTAATAATAGAACGAAAATGTTATCGATTAGGAATTGATAATTTACATGATGAGAAAAGATTATTAATAATATATACTCGGTTAAAAACAAATAATCCTTTTTATTTATAATCGGTTTTCCCCTTTTATTATGAAGAAAGATTTAATATTCAGGTAGAATTAGAAACGTTTTAAAAACATTACCAGTAAGTAGTGCTGAAATATAACAACTTTCACTTTGTGCATTTAAAAAATCATGCAAATCTTTTAACCCGTCCAAAGGTCGTATAGATAAGTGACCAATTAGTTATGAGTAGTTAGTTGTTTCAAAACAATTGCGATCGAATATACATCAATGCAATGAAAACCTTCAACTCTAATTCAATGTTAAAATGAGTGACCTTATCGCATTTCCATTCGAAATATTTTAATAGTTTTGTGCTTTGCGTCTACACATTAGCACATTGTGGGTCAATATGCGACTAATAAGATTATTCACACTGAAATTACTTAAGATGTTGAAAGAAATACTGCGAGCGAAATAATTGGATATAGGATTTATGACGTTTTCACTAATGCTTTATTTAATTGGTGGTAAACAATATGAATTTCGATTATTTTGTCTCGAGGGACTCAAAAGCACAAAGATTACATATGATTTCTACATTATATTAAGTTTAAGTTTTATTTTATTAAAAGCACGATTTTAGCGTGGTTAAATAGTGTGGTATTTTTATTTTTAAATACCCACACTACTTTTTTATTTGCATTTCAGATCTGAAAAATTATATAAAACAAAATGAGCATACTTTACTCTGCAGCACAGTGCGCAGCGTGGCGATTTCATCCTCGACTCTTGCCAGTTCCCGGCTCCACTCGGCTTTCAGTTGCTCAGCTTGTTCAGGCGTGAGACCTGCCAACTCGTCGACTACATGCACGTCGCCTACGCCTGCGCCGGGCATCGCCTCTTCAGCTAAAAAAGTTTAAATCAAAATGAAAAGAGCAGGCATAACATTATGGATCCGTTTCGACACCAGAAATGAACTGACACGAGTCGGATCTTCTTTGTTTTAATTTTTAAGTGTCTTATGAATATCATAGTTGCCTTTTTTACATTTTTATAATGTAAGTAAGTCAACAAGTAAGAGAGCTTATAAAAATAGTGTAGGAAATGTTTGTTACACCTAATAGATATTATGGATTCAAATACCTTAATATTGACGTTAAAAAACACACTTCGACCTAATTCATAAAACATAGATGATTTTACTCGTACCTTAATTAATCTACCAGGAACTATTTCTAATAAGAAAAATATCTCTTAATAAACATCTACGTGAATTAACTTTCAATAAAAATTAATCAACGATGATGTCGCTGTTACGTCTTCATTCTGCTGTCATAACAAAAACTAGTCATCTTTTAACAAATATGAATTGTAAATGCACATATTTACAATTGAAGTGCATTAGCTATTCATTTGTTTCCGTAATGTTCGCACACTGCTGACGATGTTAGACATACTACCAACATTGCCAAATAAACAACACAACACAATAATATTAGTGTGTATAACTCGATTCTTACACGCATTTAACTTTATAATCTATTATCGCAATTGCTACCCACACAAACATACGATCAATGGTAAAGAGATACATACATTTTCTGAAGTTTGAAGTCATAGCGACAACATGCTCGTAAGAAAACATATTTGCCAGAGTTTATACAATAACCAGTTTCGTAAACGTAGCGACCCATAACTTGTTTGGCCGCTTGCACACGAGTGACGTGCAATAGCCAATTCATTAGTTATATTCTGTGGTACAATTACAGATTAAAAATTTTATTTCGAGCGGTCACTCACCACCTGGCGTGATCCCTAAAAACTTTTTGTAGTTCGTGTGGCTGGACACTTTGGCGAGATACGGTTTTGTTAGATCTTGAAACGTGACTCGGACTTCGCGCATTTTCTTTCGAAATATGCGAAGCCGTCTGCGCCTGTTGTCCATGTAGAATTCCGTTTCGATGCAGAGGGACGATTCGGCCAGTTCCGGTAGCGAGCGCCATACGGCCTCCGTGTCTTCTTGCGGCCAATTGACTATATCTTTTAATTCGTCCAATTCATCAACTGCCACATCGAAGCTGGGAGTAGAGTCATCATCCGGGGGAACAAAGTAGGGGTCCTCCATGTACTCCAGGCTCGCCGGACCCGCGCTTGCGTCTCCACGGCCCGCCATTCCGACTATCTTCCTCTTTCGCGGCAATGGACCATATTTTCAGTCACCACTTTATCAAGAAGGTTCTCAAAGAGCCAGGAACACTCATTTGCGTACGACGGTAACACTACGCGGACACGGGTTAATCGAGGCGGATAATCTGTGTTAAGCGACGGCCATATTGTTGTTAATCACTAGAATTTAATCGAATACTATTGAATATCAGTTTCAGTGATAAAGCGAGCAATATGTTTCCTTTCTTCCGCCACGTCGGGACCCGTTAGCGCAATCGCCCGCGTTCGTCTCGCGCTGTTGCTCGAGTGTTCGTATTCGCCACTTTCACCGACCACCACGCGACTACTATTTTTTAATGATCTTGACCTTAAAGCCACAAAAATGTTTGCAGGTTTTGACGAAAATCATCTAATTTCAATCGGTCGAATATAACCGACGCGGCCATATTAGCGACTATAAAAATGACAAAAAACCTGGCCGTATATACCTAATATAAAAGCGCTCGAGACGACATCGTAAGCGCTGGTGGTGGTTCGTCGACATTTCAACAAAGAATTACGTCATTAAGCCAGCAAATGTTTCACAAAAAACTTTGACTGCAACAGAGCTGTATGATTCATGATTGGAATATTTCACAACCAACAAAAAGATTTCTCTTAAGTTATTTTATCATTGACTACAATATAAATAAATTTGCTTAAAATTATATTAAACCAAGGTTTAATCATAACAATGTCAGTGCACTTCCATAAATTACTTAAGTGATACATGATGTACCTACAAGATTACAATTAGATTTAACTATGTATATATTTTGCACTGTAATATATATGTGGCACAATTTAAGTGACAATTGCAAGTTCATATAGGTAGTAATTAACTCAAAAATTATTTTATAGTATTTATCCGTTTATTAATTAATAATCCGTTACCCTCATATGCTATATATTCATAGTAATTTATTTCTTTTTGACCCTTTCTACTACTTACTTGGCTACGTAAGATACATATGTATATATTTTATGTAATTTCTTCTTATGGGTACCACATTAGAGAAATGTCACTAGATTCACACAGATCTTATTGCATGTTTTATTTGTTAACAAGGGAGAAATGTAGGACACAGATTTGTGATATGTAACAAATCCAGAATTCAGGTCAAAATTCTTTAGGCTTATATATACATGTGATACAAATTGCTATGCTACAAATATAACAACAATATTGGCTATACTGACCTTGCTGAACGCCGCTCATCTTCAATTTAATTAAACTTAATCTTCCAAGTAAACGTTTTTAACACACTTTCGTGTAGTGTATACTTAAGCACAAACAACTGTTGAAAGCAAAGAAATGTGAAATATGTATCGTGATAATAAAATTTCTAAAGCACAATGTGACAATAGGTATATAGAGTTATCTATAAGAAAGAATAGTATAACAATGATGGACAAAGCACGAACTTGGAAATCATGAAAAACTGATAAAATTATACTGAATTCTGAAACCAAGAAGCACTTGACATTCGTGACATAAACATCCGTGTCGGTTCTGTTTTTTGACAAAATAAAAAACATGTTGTATCTTTATGACACAAACAGATAAAATTGCTTGACAGATAAAATATGTCCCTGAAATTTATTTAACGATTTCAACATATGATTAAAACATATGCCATTGCATTATTTAGAAATTGACAAAATAAAATAACAATAAAACAACAATAAAATAAACAGATATTTTACAAAACTTTAAACAATCTGTGGTAAAATTTAAAAATAAAACAGTTAATAGAGTCTATGGAAAAATAAAATCAATATGGTGAATAGCCAAGTTTTTTGTCAAGTCATTTTCTTTTCAGTCAATAACAGTTACCACATTGTCATTTCTGGCTTACAATTCAATTAATTGAATATCTTAAATCTTAATACTTAATACTCAATTGGTATTCATTTGTTTAGCTGTTCCTGTTTTACGATAAGGTTAGTTTTCAAATTAAGTATTTCCTAATTGTAACTGAATGTATCTTCGAACGAATTATTTTGTTTTTACAGCAGAACAATGTCGGCCACTGCCCTATTTGGTAACACTTCTGGTTTAGGGGGAAGTTCGGGGGGTAACAAGCACTTAGTTGAATTTCGGGCTGGTAGAATGACATTAAAAGGTCGTATGGTGCATCCTGACAAGAGGAAGGGGCTGCTGTATGTATATCAAGGAGAAGATTCCCTCATGCATTTTTGTTGGAAAGATCGCACTACGGGCGAAGTAGAAGATGATCTTCTTATTTTTCCTGATGATTGTGAATTTGTACGAGTCAATGAGTGCACTACAGGCAGAGTCTATGTGCTTAAATTTAAATCTTTTGCTAAGAAATACTTCTTCTGGATGCAGGTAAACTTAAGTAGACACACAAAATTTTATGTTAAGAAGCAGGTTTTAGGTTCAACATATTTTGAGCTCTCATTCTCTGGTCAAGGCGGGTAATTGTTGCTTGGTGAGGCTAGACACCAATGGTGATTTTGTTTTTAATTTCAATCTTATAAATATAAGAAATCAGGCACTTTTATATAATTTATTCTTATCTTTAAACAAACAGTTTAATGGAAGCCAAGGGAGCTAATAGCTGATAGGTTGTAGATTCAACTCCCATTTATAATCACAAAATCATATTAAATTAAACACAAATATTAATATATTGATAGCTTATCAAAGTATGTTTTTATGATAGAGGAAGATAAACCAGCATGAGGCTCACTTGACGGAAGGTCCACCCTAGTCATATAACATGTCAACAATATGCCCAATTCAATCAACCTATTTTTGGATTTACTACTATAATACTGTCTTCATTTGAAACGTTAATTCTTTTAAGCATGACTTCATATGTTCATGAGCATGTAAAAATTGAAATTTAAGTATAAGTTTGATTGATTCTAGGAGCCAAAGACTGAGAAAGATGATGAATTATGTAGACGCATAAATGAGGCTTTGAATAACCCACCTACATCTGGGGGAAGAGGTGGAGCGGGTAGTGGTGCTCAGGACGGGGAGCTTCAAAACTTGCTCAACAATATGTCTCAGCAGCAGCTCATGCAGTTATTTGGAGGCGTTGGTCAAATAGGCGGATTGTCTTCACTGCTGGGAACAATGGGGTACAGCTTGCCTTTCAACCATTTAATTTAACATAACATCTGTGTTATCAATTGTGTAACACTTCCTGCTTGCACTTTTATTATGCAGATTATATGTCACTTTATTAAGAACATATATCAATTCAGAAAGATCCGTTAATCCGAAGAGAGTTAAGCCTTCAGTTTATGTGAATAGTAGAGATTTAAAGAACACAAACACTGAACAGTTTAAAAGGCGCAATATATTAGTTAACTTATTTACAATTTATTTTAACTGCGACCTGATGTTTCAAATGATTTGTCGCAGCTGTGGTTATGGGGGACATGTGAATTTACTCAAAATAAATAGTAAATAAGTTAAATAATATATCTCGCATTTTAAATCAATAAATAATTATATAATTTTTTATATCATAAAACTGTATTTCAGGAACAGTAGTAGCAGCAACAGCGGCAGTGGTAATACAAGCAGCCGCCCATCTGCTGGGAGCAATAATAGTTCTAGAGGTGGAAGTACGCCCCGGACTCCCGCTAACACAGTTGAGCCAGCTGTACCCAGGGCACCTGCCCGCACCAGAGAAATACCCACTACCAGGGAGGTATCTACTCCCACGGCTACGCCCCCTAACACTGCGACGGCTGCTCAATCTAGAAGTAAGTAAAAAAAACCTTAAAATTTCTAGAATATTATTACTTTGGTTCAATATTATTATCAACATCTTTTACAAAACTTTCCCTATCTGTGTTGTAACTTAATTATAGCTAATTAATTTATGAGGCCATTAATCAATAAAAATAAAACATTAAGCCACAGTGGACATTGTATATGTGGTGTGGAATTATTTATATGCCAAATTTCTTTATTTCTTTTGTACCTCTGTTTCTTTCCTGCAAGCATTTTAAGTTGTGTTGCAATAGAAAATGGGGAAACTTATAATTTTCCTGTTCACAACTATTTAGTTACATAGTTGTGGTTAAATTCCTAAACTGCAGTGGTTATGATTTGTGGCTTCATTTCTTCCTAGTATTTATATTATGTACCTCGGCTAATCATACTTCTAGCGACGTACTTATATTAAACAAAATATTATGAAGACTTAAACCTAGTATATAACTCATTGTAATATGAAATTACAATTAAATAACAAGTAATAAAAAAAATATTAAAATGGCCGCCATTGACGCTGGACCTTGCCACAGATAAGGTCTTAATCTGTGCCGTAATTAACCAATAGGTGGTCAAATATTTCTATCGGACCTCCAACGCTACTTCTCAGCGTTGGGGAATGCTCCTGAAGGAGAAGGCGCATCGGCGGGCGCTGCGGCACCTCGCGTGGATCTCGCGTCGGCCTTGAGCGCTCCCGAGGTGATAACTGCCGCGAGCGAGCCGGGCAACGCTCAGCGCCTCGCGCCCCACATGCCGGAGACCGATCCACAGGACGATGTAAGGACCACCCTGCTCTCACCGCAGTTCGCTCAGGTGAACCCCCATAGTCTTGCACCCTTCCGGGATCCCGAGTCTGCTCATTCACGAGTGGTAAATAGCAGAATTGGGACCCGGTTCGCCGCACTAGAACGGTCCACGCACGCTGCCGTCTCGCTAGGTAACGCTTACGCATGAAACGGGATAACCTAGCTTCTTTTATTCATTTTGTACTCGTCATTTCGTAACCATCTACCTATCTTTTGTCTTACCGTTCGGGGGAATGATGTGTGCAAGGCTTGGGTGGTTGTGTGTGCTATTCCATTACCATTCTGTTCTTCTGTTTTGATGCCGATGTTGATATGTGCATCTTTTTTATGTTTCTTAGCTTGGCTGGCGAAAGTTACAGATTTCTCTTCTGTCACATTTCCAGGGAAGTATATAGCAACATCGAAATTTGAAACATTCTAGCATTTTTCAAATGTTTAAGATTTAAGCAGATTCCAACCTGTAATCAAACTAACACGAATAGCAAAATTACTATAGCTTACTAACCTTAATATGTCGTCCGAAAGGCATATTAGGGCAATTGCTTCTTAAGACTAATACTTAAATCATCTAAATGGCGCCGTTCTTATATTATCTACATTTACACCTAAGGGCTCTTACGCACCAAGATGTGCGTCCTTAGAAGACATATAGGTACATATAATATGTAATAAACTTATGTCGATAAGCTGACAGGAGGTTGAATTAATTTGACAAGGGTAATAATGGCCATGTGAATTAAGCATAAGTTTACCACTTAATGGTGGTATTTTTTCAGGCCGCAAATGAGTTTTCATCGGCGCTTTCTTCAGGGCAAATCGGACCAGTAGTGTCCCAGTTTGGTTTACCCCCAGAAGTGACATCTGCAGCAAACACTGGAGACATGCAGGCCTTTTTCAAGGCACTCGAGTCCAATTCTAACTCCGATAGCAACAAGAGCAAGGAGGACGAGAAAAAGAAGGATAAACCTCAAGACAAGAACGACAAAAAAGATGGCGACGCTGGAATGTCCCTCGACTAATACACAGTCCTTAAATATATTTTTTGTAAATTTTAGATTATCGACGACGCCTGGATATTATTAAGGGGCTTACTGTTTTATTTTCGAAGAATAGCATATTATGCTAATAACAATAGCTGAAAGTGTATGTTTTAGAAATAAATTTGATGTGAAAATTTTATTTGAATTAATCACGGTTCACGTGCCATTCGACCTCAGCTTCGTCCGGATTATTTTCGGATTCGAATAAATTTATGAGATTGGAAAGAAGTACGGTATATTTATCAAATAGAATTGTAGGTTCTTAGTGGATAACCAGTTACGGAGGAAGAGCAACATTGCTAAGGAAATTTTCAAAAAATATATCTTTCAAACGTAAACAAATTATATCCTAGTTAATATAGATTGCGCAGGTTGAACCACCTCACATACATCCTTTTATGAGTAGAGCGCGTTATCATCTAATCTCTATAAAAAGTACGAGTTCGTATTGTGCGCCGTAAACGAGGTGTTCATGGTGGGTTAGGTACGGCGTGGCGGGTGGCGGGGCGCTGGGGAATCCTGGCGCCAGACCGGCATCGCCGTCTGTCCCCGCGCGCCGCCCCGCACCGACCCACTCGAAATAGATGCGGTGATTTACGCCTCGATGTATGAGTAAATATGTTGCTCGCTCGCCTGCCTTGGCATGTCCGCCCGGCCCCCTCCGCCCGCGCACTCCCCCCACGATTGCGCGCGAACAGTGGAGCGATCCGATATTTTGCACGCGTACTGAATGACGTACCGAATATTTTACGTGCAGAGAAAACTGCTTCGGTCGCACTCAAGGTGAGCTCTGCAATGACTGTTACTTTGGACTCACGAATAGTAGAGATTGATTGTTTTTTTCTATAATAAAATGGTACATACTTATTTAAAGCGATCACCTAAGAATCATGTTCTAAAGAGTCATAATGACTTGCTCCGTCCGTGACCTTTGACGATAGCTTAAATTATAAACGCGATAAGTGCGAATTTTTAGGAATATTCAAATTTAAGTATAAAAATATATATACATATATGTGGTACTGTGTGACCGTCACTATAGGCATATACCTATCAACTTTTATATTTTGAAAATGTTGAGTAAATATAGCACTAACTACAACACAGGCAACAATTATTTTGAAAGGAAAGAAACGTTTACATCTCTGCCGTTATACGCTTTTATCTCATTTATCCATCAATTTATATTCAGACGAGATCGTTCATTAGAAGCGCGAGCGTTCTTAAGTAGAAAAGAAAGGGAACAAAAAGTAGGTACTGCCTGGCAACCGGTCCCGCTGGTTCTCTCTCGACTTGCGTCGGTCGCCCTTTCCTCCCATTCATTATATTATTTAAAGCATTTTAAAATATAACAAATCCATGCCTTTATCCCCACATTTGGTGCACTTTTCTTAACACCTTAAATAAATATTTAGGCGATAGTAATAAGGAAAATATATTACAGGTTTTCACTTGTGTCCACGGTGCAGATCTCATAAAAAAATACAATAAAAATAATATAGTAAAACAAATGTATCGTGTAATGATTCAACAAATTTTGAGTAAATTCCAAGAATTATCAAAGAAACACTGATAGCTACGTTAAAAACACTTGTAGTGATAATGTGTATTGTTTATAAATTGTCGCCCATGTATAACAGTTTTCGGAGATGGTGCCAATTCCGAATTATTGATGTTGGAAATATTTTTAAACCCAATATTATTTCTTATGACGCACATTTAAAACAATAAATGTAACTAAATGAATTAATCACAAATATTAAAAATACATACAAATACGATCTAGTTGAGTCTGTTTAAAATTACAGAACATAAAAAGTCTTATATTACATTTAAAAAGAAAAAGTTAGGTAAAATTCCACAGACTCGCAAGAAATGGAGAAAATTATTTCAAGGTTGTAGATATTCTGCAATTATACTAGTATTTCGCCGCCATTTCACAATAATTGAAGTTGAACTTGTCATTCACAATCGTTTTGTTTCTCGGTGTTCGAGTGGCTAACTTAATAGCCGGCAATTTGTTCGTAATAGCAGTAATCGATAAATTTGTAGCTATTTTTTCTTTTATACCATTATTTATATAACAAAATGATAGGCCTTTATTACGATAACTTAAACAATAGTATTTGACACAAACAATATATCGAAAACTAATACTAACTATTATCTATTTAGATTATTATTTTGTGCTCCCTATCTATCTATCGCTATATAAGCGGTCAAGAATTGTGAAAAAAGGTATGTCTGTAGTATATATTTATTTTGTCTTTTCTTGAGTTATTTCTGCCTATGCACTTTTACATAGGCAGAAATAACTCAAGATACCGACCCGAGTGTTCAATAACAATAATAATTTATATTTCCACACTAACCTGTTTATAATTATGCTTTGTTAACGCTAATAAAGTAATTCTTAAGCACCGCTATAGAAAAACAGTGTAGGCAAGTAGTTCAATTAAAAGATTCTATTACAACGCATGTAATAGCTATTGAACCTTTGACCGTGAGTGACGTAATTCGTGTGACGAGTATAAACGGCGGCTCATCGAAGTAATAATACCGGCCAAGCCGAGTTATTTATTAGTACCGAGGCGGGTTCTTGGAACTATGGGGACGGTGAACGTGAAAAAGTTGGTAACTTGACGCGACGGGTGGCGGGGTGAGCTCTACGGCGCGTGCTGTAGGGTGTTCCGAGAATTCCTCAACAGACTAGCTCGAGAGGTAATAATAATCCCACTCTGTTATCTTGTCGTTTTTTCGAGTTTAGCTACCTGATGGATACTTGGAAAATCGTCGATTTCAGACTAACGTAACGCAAAAATAACATTTATTGGTAATTGTCAAATCAAACTGTGTTTCCTTCAACAAATCCGTCTAGCAGATGATAATTCGTATAGCAACAGATTGCGTAATGGTTGCTATTGCAAATTAAATAATGGCTGCGTGGCAGAGTACGTTCGTGTGGTGTAAGTTTCTCCTTCCTAGACAAGGTGAAACTTTATATTTCTATTAGGACCCTAATACTTAAGCAAAGTCAAGCCATATAGTTTCCCGCTCGGAAAGTTCACTTTATCGGCAGAAATGATATTGCAAAAAGTCCATTTTGAGGCCCTAGCACTTTGAATTTATCCATGTACATTAGAACATACAAGAAGATAGGCTTCTTCACAATCAGTCAAATAATAACTTCGCAAGATTAGATAAAACATGGTAATAATCTTATCGCTTTCAAATTAGACCAAGAAATTGTTTTACGAAAGTAGACTGATTGATTCTTGAGGCGAATAGCTAGAATATTTGAAAATAATTAAATTTTATTTAATGTTAGTCACATTTGTGTATTCCCTACAAAGACATGCCTTAAATCTACAAGTCGGAGATTTTTATAGTAAATACTGAATGTAGGTATTTTATTACAAATTTTACGTCAAAAATTAAATCCCTTTTACTGATAAGTGACAAGTACTATTTTCACTTCTCAGATTATTTCAGGTGATGGATCACAATCTAATTCACGACATAGATATAGTTTTACCGGAGTGCTTATCAGCGTAATCATATCAGACAATAAAACAAAAGGCGAATCAAAAGTTACAGTAAAATACAAAGTAGTGTTAGTTGATTACCACATTTGATAATTACTTACGAAAATGGTTAATGCTATGTATACAACTATTCAAATATTCTAAATTCAAGTACATATATAAAAAAGGAGATAAACCATAAGTATTACTTAAATATTAGATGACAGTCTTTTTGAAAATTCCATCGATAGAATCCTATGCTTCTCGGTTCTGTGTCACAGAAAAAAAAGAGTGGAAGGCGGCCTTGTCACTAAGAAGTAATTTCTTCCATGTACATTATAAGTATTTACCAAAATATTAGTTGTTACTATCATAATGATATATCAACAATAATCAAATAATACGATAAGCCCTCACGAATTGTATCACGTAGGCACTAAAAATATAATTAACTGAAATTAGATAGTAAGTCTTTATTGTTTTGCTATTTGTGAGAGAAATTATTTCATTTCGTTCAAATAAACTTTTATTATGAGTATTTATGAAAAGAATGCTCGGAAGCAGGAACACCTCCAATTTTGAGACTTGGCTCGGAGCCAATTAATGATCTGCGCTCGCTTCTGTCACTCTACCATATTTTGCGATCGGCGTGATGTAAGGGAAGCACGCCAAAAGTATTTTAGGAACACACTAACTGGCTCGGTAAAGAAATGCAAAATCATAACAAGATGGCTCGGTGGTCTAATTGTAGCAATGTATGCCTAATAATCAACAGGTCGTGGGTTCGATATTAAGCTGGATATTAAGATGGCGGGAATATTGAAATTCCATCCTTGTCACGAATTACCGTCCACAGATGATAAAGCCGTGAATTTAATCGCGTTTCGCTTTCAGTCTGTGGATTTGCGAATATCCAAAGCCAAAATAGATCGACAGCACATCTTATGTAGATGTTATATGGCTGGGGGATCACCTACCATCACGTGAACCCCTTGTCTGTCGTCCTCTATCATTAAAAAAAATGATTTGTCACATTACGATCGCTGAAATTAACTCTTGGACTGTTTTCGACATATGCTAATTATACGATTATAACGAATACTACTTAAGTGGATACAAGTGTGAACGAATAATAATATTCTATTTGGTCAAGTGCGGTGCGCTGAGTCATATTATCGTCATACTCATACATATGGCAAAGTTTTGTTGTTGATAATCGCCAGTTGAATTTGCAGAGGATGACGCCATTTTCTCGAGACAGGTGGAGCATCGGCTCCTTATCCGCGTTTCTATTTCAAATATTTGGTATAAAATCGTGACTAAAGTGTAATAAAGTTTCTAATCAAATCTTCGCCTACTCAACTCATTTTTAGCGAAAAGATTGTCACAAAAGCTTAGTAAAAATAGATTCGATTAATTAATCTTTGATTTTGATTGATATAAGTAGTGTTAGTAGGTATTTATTAGCGGCCTACACCTTTGAATGTTACGCTTTTAGCTTGTTAGGCGAAAATGAATTTGTGTAAAAACTGTTAACAATTTTCGGTCACTATGCTCTTGTAGATTAACATATTAAGACCATGAATATATAATTAACTCAAGTCATGAAATCGCAGTTAGGCTACTTTGCCTCTAGCGGCCTCAATAAGTTATAATTGATATATAAGAACGCAAACTACAGACAATACGTAAATATAGCTTTGTACGTTTATAAAAAGGTCGTTTTAAAAGGTGATGCATAACAACAAACATTGGACCACATAATCGCATACAATTCACGTCATATATCCACCTGGCGCCGCAATAATACCGCATTTGCATTCCAGTTTAAGTAAACACATGCATTATTTTGGGAGGAGCCCTCCTGGTCCAATATTATCCTCGACAACATTGTATTGAGGCAGCTAAAGGGCACAGTAGCCTAACTGCAATTTTTATGACTTGAGTTATTAATATTGTCATATATTATTATATTATTGATAATATTATATTAATAATAATATCATGGACCGCCTCTGTAGGCTGTAGCCAAACGGTAAAACGTATTGCCTAGCATTGCGTTTCATTGTTCGTTGCATTCAAATCCCAGGGAAACTTAAAATTGTTTCGGTCGGGCAGGACACAGAAGTCTGATCAACTACTTGCCTGTTAAAAAGAACGGATCAATGAAACGGACACAGAAATGTGCTCGCCCCAATCCCCATGAGGGGGAAACGGGATTTCACTTTTTTATTAATATTGTCATAGTCTAAAAATATTAATCTACAAAAGCACAGTGACCGAAAATTATTAACGTATTTTTTACACAAACAATAGTACAATACAGTTTCAAAATCTTTTATTTTGTTATTAGGCCACTCTGCCTCTAGCAGCCTCAATTATCCTCCTTACCCAACTTTCCAAGCGTTACTTGCACGACGTTGGGAGAGTCCATTCTTAATAGGATAGCCGTTTTAATAATACGTACTGAGGTTGAGGATTAACAAGGAAAATGCTTGCATCTAAGAGATGATAAAAAAATGCACATACTTACTACGGAAATTGATAGTTACAGAGAATGGGTGAGGGCTACTGTTTAGCGAATAAAAAATTTAGAATAAAAACTCAGGTTCGTGCAATTGGTCACTAGGCTAAGCACTACCTTATGGTCACGCCTCCGTTTCTACTGTAAAGTGACTCAGGGCAACGATTGTTCTCCATAAAATCTTAACATAAACAACTTCTCGCAATAACTGTATTCCTTTTTTATGATAGACAATAGACAAACATGGCTTTCTCTCGATGGAAGGTGAATATGAATGAATTGGAAATCCACAGGCTAAAAGAAACTCGATTAAACTCTTTAGTCTGTGGATGGCGGTTTGTGACCTGGATGGATCTTTCGGTTTTAGATATCCTGTCCATGTTTCAGAAAAAAAAATTAAATTAATTAGAAACAGTTTGGACCCCGTGGAAATCGAACCCACTGATTTGTTTAGCCATAAATTACCATTACACCACCGAGCCCGTCAAATACATAATCAGACTAATGGAGCTGAATAATTTACATAGTATAAGTATTTTACTAAACTATATTGTACAAGTGACTGTGTGTCCGTCAAGGCATAGCGTCAACATAGCGGTCGAGGCAGTAAGACGTTGACCTGGTTCCTAGGGAAGCCCGTTTTAGGTGGGGGGAAGTTTCTAATGCACGTATTCCTTGGCTGGGACATTTAAAACCTCTAAATCCGGCACCTAATATGCTAACCAAACTGTTTTCGAACTTATTTACACAGTATTTGCAAATAGTTTTGGAAATAATTTGTCCTAAAGACGCTACTTATGTAATATTATGTTTATGTATTGTAACTTTTAAATCTATGGTAATATTATAAGGCTGAAGAGTTTTGTTGTTTAAAACTCGCTAATCTCATGAACTACTGGTTCGAATTGAAAAAATATTTTTATGTTGGATAGAACATTTACAAAGCAAGGCTCCTAAGAGCGAAGAAACAGAAGGAAATGTGGTAAAAACGTAGAAAACCATTCATCTTTGCAAGCTTTTGTAATATTAAAAATGTATACAAGAAAAATTCTTAAAATGATCTTCAAAAATGTCGCGGACAGTATATATTTTAATATTAATTCATAAAAACCGTTTAAATGGTAGTCAAATGCAGGAAAGAACCTTTACCAGGTCAGCTAGTAGATAATAAAGAGCAGTATGTGGACAAGATACATAATATACTAATTATTGTTGTGTGATCGTTCCAACGCTTACGGCCAAGACGGGTTTCCCGCCCACGCGACTCAATGGCGCCGACCGGACCAGCATTTACTCAATCGCCATTTCAAACGATGCTAAAATTAAAATTGCATCTCCCTTCAAATCGGCTAATTCACGTTATAATGATATTCATTAGGCGCAAATGGGGTTCGACTGCTGGCGAAACTTTCCCAAAAAAAACCTAGACGTCCCCAGTGGCGCGAAGCCCAAGGTCGTATTGTGACGTCACTTGCTCGCAGCGGCAACAGGCGAACGCCAAGTCAACTAAACAACGCAACAAGTGCCCCGCACAGAGCGCCCCCGCACAACATACCAATAGCGAACTCGGCACCGCTGTCACGTTATAGCTATTAAAAGCATATACACAAACGTGAAGTTGAATTCTTTGGGTTGGTGACGTTTTTACAGATGTAGAAGCCACAAGCTTTACAAGCTAATTGAACAGTGAGGTATAAACTCTGTAAAAAAAAACAAGTAACTCTCGTGCTTCGTCTCTCTTAAATATAACGCTGATAATAAATGATAATTTACAAAATGTTATATCTATCGCTCGTTTCCTGAGCAGAAATCGAGCGAGTATCGGCAATGCGCGTGCGTCATCGCTACCACACTCCTGATAAGCGTACAATTATCATTGCAAATAATATTGTTTTAACATTCATATTTATACGACTCGCGAGGAGTTTCTCTGCTGAGTTATCGTATTATTAACTAAATTACAAGATTATTGAGCATAATGACGCCAGACTTATTTGTCTTTCAACTGTATAATGATCGTATGTCCATACAGAAATTTGATAAAGGGGTCTGCAGTGATATAAAGAGTTCAAGCGATAAGTTAAATATAGGAAAATACCTATGTGATATTGACGATTTGTACGTAAATGTATTTAAATGTTCTTTATATATGTACAACAATATAAATTTTTTGCTATTGTAGAATTCATATTTTTAAAGTTACCTATTAGTATCATAGACTAGACCGATTTGAATATCTTAATTAATAATATATAAATTCATTAGACGGCTTCTGTTCTTTATGGCCATAATTATAAAGAGATTGTTCAATAAACGAAGGCACATAAAGCCAATACCCGTTCTAGTCGAGCGCAGCCGTTACGAAATTAATTCAGTAAAAATTTACATCATGATTGTTCACACAATTTTGAATAGGAATCAAAATCTTACCGATAATAATATATTGTGCTATAATTGATATCAATTTTTATCAAATTATAAACATACAATGTAAGTAAACATATACTAAGAACGAACAATATTAGATCTAGTTTAGGATTCTTAAGCCCTAGTGCAACAACGCACGGTAAACAATTGTTTTAGATTTTTCAAATCGAATAATGCATACATTCGTGTGTATTCTACAAACGGAGTAAAGTCCGCACATAGACAATATTACGTGTACCTAAATAATTTACAAAGACCGATCCGGTTGTTGTGAGCGAGCGAGATAGATGCAACGCGCCATGAATCACTTCTCAAGTCACAACAGGCGCAACTCGCAGCCGTGGAGGTGTGCGGGCGGCGAGGGGCTCGGATCGTACAGCGCCGAACGGAACGAAACGAACTAACGACAAAGTACAACTAAAAACAGTTGAACAGTCAGCCGCGGCGCGGTAACGTGCGTCTCTCGTTTCTGGAATGTGCTTTCATCCGATACAATCACAATAATTATTATTTGATATAAGCGAGTAGTTTTAGTAATTGTTTCACTCGAAAAAGAGAGAGGTTCGCCGATCACAGTGCGGTGTTGTGCGTGTGACATAGAGGTGTGTGTGTGGTGGCGTGGATCGCGCAATTATTAACGATGATTCACTTGTGCGCGGGTGAAATGCAGCCTATTGGACTTGTTGACATATGTTTAGGAGGTGTAAACAAATGATATCGAATTCACAATAATATAATGGTAGACTGATTCATAAATGCGCGGCAGGTGAGACACGCTCCTTTGAATACTTATTAATTTGGGTTATCAAAATGTTTTTGTGTTTAGGAATGGGGGGTGTTGTGTCACGTAAGATTACTAGTGATGGACGTTCGATCGATGGGTCAAGGACTTACGATTCACATGTCGATACGGTAGCGTTTCCAGTAATTTAATTACCCAATCGCTTTTTAGTTTTGACTCTTACGATACTACTGTCGACCCGGATACGAATTTTGTATTTGTTTAGTTAGCTGGCCCATGATTGTGAATGTTCACGACAATAAATAAATGTATGCATGTTGTAGAGTGTTAATTTTTTAATGCTAATACAGTACAATGACTACGTATTTAGATGCGATAATATGCAATACGATGATAACGTTTAAATTATTGTATAGTTCATAAATTGGAACTGCAACAAAATTCCAAACTACAATGTTAGGAAGCACTCGATAAAATTATCCGTAATTAATGATCTCAATTATTAATGAGACTTTGAATTGAGCAATTAAATACCACATCGTTTAAAATGATACAATTCCAAAGTAAAAAAAAAAAGAAATCATACTCAATGTAGATAGAAACTAGCAGCTTGTGATAACGCACTTCATTGCCAAACGTTATCAGAAGATAAGACATTTACATAATGTTTCGGTGTAGCCTGTGCTCGGGGATGGGGGGTGGCGGCGTGCTGGCGGCGATCAGGAACACAGGCGTCACCAGGGCCGCCTGGCCTGGCGCCAGGCCGGCGGGTGGCGGTCGCTCGTTGGGATTCCTTTGTCTATAATCAACTACTCGACCGCCTCTTTGGCTCAATGGCGAAACACGTTGCCGTGCACAGCGTTACGCACGATTCTTGGGTTGGAATCCCGGGGAGACACAAATATAAACAGTGTCCGTTCCGCGGTGGAAATAGCATTCCACTGAACATATTCAACGTGAACTCACAAAACATCTAAATAAACTACCCACAAAAAATCTTAAGCCTGTAACAATTCCTTAATATAATGATTTCTGATGAAACGAAAACAGCAATAACAATCTTGTTCATAGACGCGTATAAAGGGAATCAGTTGTGGAAAAGCAATGTACATCAGTGTGCGTAGTGCGTACTGCGCTGTGCCTATTTGTTCGCTCGTTATACTAGTGGAGCGGCTCGCTTGTCTCCGGTTCTCAGAAATTGTAACGCCTTCTTGGAACGCTGTAAACGCAGCCGTCCACAAATGCCTGTGAGCGCAAGCGAGGTCGCCATTCGCACAACTACATGTATCGGCGTTACGTCTACATTATACACACATACAAAACTTGTATTTTAACATTTTCTCTTACTCTTCGGCATACCGACACCATGTTTTATATTCAACGTCTATTTCTTGATATTTTGGTGGTCTTAATAAACTTTTAAATCCTTTAATAGAATCTGCATGCTTTATCCGTGAAAAGTAATTTACTAAATACATTGCGTTGCGTATTGCGTATTATAAAAAGACTGGGGATATCCTCGTCCGCTAGCGCGGTTACATACCTACGTCACGATGATGTCACATTGTACACTAATAGACTCAACAGCAGCGCACATGCGCATTGCGTCTACTTCTCATCGCTACAATTTGTTTAATAGTTTTTAATCATATTACCGATTATGAACATGAATGAAGTTTTAATAATTGGGTCAATATTGCATTTATGTTTCGACGATCAACCGAATTATATTGATATGTTATGGTTTTAATTACAGGTACTGAAGTCGCGGTAACGATGCCGTTGACTCAAGGGAAACGTCTCGATAACAATTTTACAAACAACAATGATCACAGCTACCTTCATAAGAAGTTCAAAAAAATGGCATCGACCATTTCAGTGCTTCCAGCAAACCCTGCAAAGGGGGAGGAGACTGTCCAAAGGGACTCTGTGCAGTCTGCTAGTAACACTTCGATCACCAATGGTAGTATCGCAGCTGCACATCCAGAAATTGAAAAAATAAAAGATATATACGATAATCATACTTTTAAAGCCGAAAATAATGTACAAATTAATTATAACGAAGAAAGCAGTAGGTTAAGTGATGTAAATAACTTTCATGTGTCTGGTAAAACCAGTTATTCTGAAGAATTTTTGAAAAAGACTGAGAACTATGAAAATGATTTTAGCAAAGATACATACAGTGCAGGTGCAGGGCGATATGTATGTCCGTATTGTAAATTACCATGTGCCAAGCCTTCTGTTCTGCAAAAACATATCAGAGCTCATACGAATGAAAGACCTTATCCTTGTGTTCCCTGTGGTTTTGCTTTTAAGACGAAGTCCAATTTATATAAACACAGACGATCAAGAACCCACGCATTGAGATCACAGGGAGCAGATATTAATACCTCTATTAACGAAGAAGACTTGTCGGGTGGTTCTGAAAGCGATACATCAGTAACTCCTGCTTCTATGTCTGATGCAGGATCGGACGCTTCAATTCTCCGAATGGAACATGCAAGACCTCATGACTTTTCTTCCCCTGAACTAGTGACTGACATTAGTGGAAACCAAGCCTTATATGCTGATAACAAGTCAAAAACGATTTATAAGCCCAAGTTTAGAGCCGCGTTATATCAAGGAAACGATGAGAAAGATAAGATAAAGAAAAATATTTCGACGAATGCTGACTTTCTTACGGAACATATCTCAAAGATTATATCAGATAATGAGGCCATTGTTGATGTTATAGAAACACCTTTACAAAAAAAATATAATAAGATTAAACAAATTGCTGAAAGTAAACAATTTTTAAATGAGCGTGATATTAAACAAGAGGTATCACCTTTGAATCTAACAAAAAATCCTTATGAGTTTGACAGTCTAGTCAGGAAAAGATCGCATTCAGAGAGTTTTGCGCACAATGAAGATGTGAAACATCCTTTGAATCCCGAGGGATCGATTATAAAAGACCTTTTATTAAAAACAAAGGCAAATGGCATAAGTTCCTTATTAGGTGAATTAGAAGACGGCGTGGGGCCTCTATTTATTTGTCCCTTATGCCAAATAATTTATCGCAGCGCAGATAATTTAGAAATACATAGATTATACTATTGTAAAGGTAACACTTCCAATAATGTAGCTGTAAACACTATAATACAGAAAGAAGCCAAACACGTTAGGCCAGAAAATGTTTATTTAAGGAGCAACTCAATTAATGTCCGCTTGCCTGAGGGACAAAGTCAATCGCCAAGAAACAGAACTCCAACGAAGTCACCGCCGTTAAAGAATAAGCCTGACAATTTGGTTATTATGAAACCCGAAAATAATGACATAATTGCTCCATTGCCTTCCCCAGGACCTCTTTTGGGCAATACGAGACTAGTAGATAGTAGATTACCTATTGAGTTAAATAAAAAGAATGAACATTTGCGAATGAAAGCAAAAGAGCCTAGCCCCCGAAGAAGATTTGAAAGCAGGTCCGACTCGTACAGTCCGCGGTTGATAGATAATAATTCTCCCCGATCTGTCGATTATTACTCACAAACAAAAATAAGGTGCGTCGATTCTAATTCTGTGATGTTAAGATCAATAGACGAAATGCAAATGAGGCATAATTCTACATCTCTTCAAATGTTCGGCGGCGAAGTCAAAATTGTCGATCACTCAGGCAGTACAACGACTTTACGCATTGAACCGAGTAAAAATCAGCTGTCACCAATAATGATACAACAAAGCCTTTCACCGTCGAAATTCGCATCAGATTCTGAAGCAAGCAGCGTCGTAGTAAGATCGGGTCTTCATTCCGGTGGGACCATTGTCCATAATCCACCAACACCAAAAGAACATATAAGTACTCCACAAACACAAAGAATAAATGTGTCCACACCGAATATTCAAAATACAGGATTCAATATTCACGATTTATCTCACTTCCAGTTTCCGCCGCTAAGCGCCATAACCGCCTATAATCCTCTAACATTACCTCCTCTGAGTCCTACTTCGTCACCGAGCGGAGCGACTACAATATTACACGGTGGAAAAATCATTCCCCATGTGCCAGGGATACCAGGTCCCAATACAACAGGAATATTTGTTGGTAATACTAGCCCGCATGTTAAAAGCATAGATATGTACAAAAGTATTGCAAAAACATCTGATAGTGTTCAAGATGTTTTGCAACGAAATATGACATCTAATATATCGGCAGGTCTTAAATTTGAGAAGGAATTTCACGTTAAAAATAGTAAATGTATCAAATCTATTAATGAAATAGAAAAATATGACCACGTTAAAGAAGCGCAAAAAACTAATGTGCCACTGATAACAGTGAAAGATGTCGACGAGCCTAACATATCCAGTAAAAACTTGACTCCTATTTTCCGACCAAATTTAGCCAAACAAGAGAACCCTCTGAAACGAAACGTGGAGGGAATTATTAAGGCGGCTTATTCAAAAGATGCTGCTAATTACTCTGTACATAAATATAAACAACGAGAGTCGAACTATTCAAATAAGAGCGTAGAAAAGAATTCAGAAAATGAAATAAAACAATTTAATTTTGAAAATCTAATAACAAAGGCGGAAATATACAATAATCAAATTCAAAGCTCAACTGAAGTGCAAAAAAATACTAATGCTCAAGAAACTGCGCTTCCTACATTATTTACTGAGAAATCGGAAAAATCTTATTTCCAAAAGAACACCACTGCCTCATCGTCCGATGACAGGAAGCCAAAATTTTTGAGACCGTCTTCCTTACCTTTAAAACCAGGAACTTTTACACCGAAAAGACATCACGGTATAACGCCCAATGCAAATACAATGCCGCTCGTATCCCCAGAAACTCCGCGACCCGCCAAAGCCTATGGTCAACTTTATTTAAATGGAAACGCTTATACGTACTTAGGACTAAAGTGTTCCACTAAAGTATTTTATTGCACTATCAATCGTCCGCAACCGACATACGTCCCGAACCAGCATTTTCTATCGATGTACAGTAACTGGCAGGTAATGTTATTTATAAGCACGATAGAATACAATTGTTTGTAGAAGTTCTGGTATTAAGATCAGATTTGTTTACAGTTATTATCTGAGCTGACGCCAGACCCACTGGGATTGTCGGCGTCGTCTGCTATGGCTTTGTATGATTCACGTCATCGACCGCAAAACTCAACCGTAGCTGTGTTGAAACAGGATCTTATCTTGACTCATTCATCACAGTGGAATAAAAGCTCTAGGGAAAACAAGCAGGTACCTGCAATAACTATTTAATCACTAAAGTTTTATTAATTAAAATTTAAGAAAAAAACATCCAATTGTATCGAAATAAGAAATATATTATATATTTATAATATAAATTATATTTAGTGCTTATTTTAATAATAATTTTAAAGATTATAATTAGCATTATTTAAGTCTCATTTATAAATTATAGGCTACGGTACCCTTTGATACGAAAAAAGAAGAGAATAAAGTTACATCAGATGGCTCTGTAATAACTAAAAAGGAACTAGCGGGCGGTTTCGAAAGCAACGAAGAATACACATATGTTCGGGGACGAGGAAGAGGGCGCTACGTCTGCTTAGAATGCGGCATACGATGCAAAAAACCATCGATGTTGAAGAAGCATATACGGACACATACGGACGTACGCCCATACACGTGCGTACATTGCGTATTTAGGTACGCATTTTTTTATCAGCTTATAATATCCCGTGCTTCCTATAGCTACCGGCCAATGTTTAATTATTATTTTGTTACAGTTTCAAGACGAAGGGAAATTTAACAAAACATATGAAAAGTAAGGCTCACTATAAAAAGTGTTGTGAATTAGGAATTAATCCTAATGAGGGCAACGACTCAGAAGGGATAGAAATGCCACCTTGTCCCGAAGAAACTGATGATGAAACTGATTCCGAAGGCGATGATGGCAATGAAGGGGAGACAGAGTCTAGTGGTATGTACAGCACATTGTTATAATGTATATCAGATGGCATTTATTAATGAAATCACACAATAAGTAGGGATCTCTAATATAGTGGGTTTCGTTTTTATTGCACTTACATGAAAATATATAAATAAATAGATAAAAGAATATATGTTTGACTTAAACTAGGGACCATTTTTAACGATTTTCTATTTTTAACACGAGTTATTTCTATTTGATTGATACATTAAAATCTTTTTTTTTTGTTTTTCAGATACAGAGTTTTATAAATCTCGGTTACCAGAGCACGAAGCGGCACATTGTTTATTGTCTTTGGGAGGTAACCGACTCACGACGTCGACGGCACCCGGCCTCATTACTAGTGCGAGGCCATCCACTTATCCTTATACGCCGATTATACCTGATAATACGGTTCTCGAATACCCCTCTGAAACATTTCAAGAGTCTAAAATTGTCGACTCAAGATTAGATACTGACAACAATGAACCCATGGATCTAAGCAAAAACGATTTAAACACACCACCGAGCGTTATGGAAATACAAACCGCCCGAGAATCGAGCGTTTTAGCGTCGTTAGCTTCAAATACAGCGAAGTTACCACAGCATCAAAGCCATTGGGTCAACGGAGAGCCTTTGTTACATACCTACTTAACCGAAAGGGCCCTCTTAGACACGAAAATTAAGCAAAGCCAATTAGCAAGTAACATAAGTAAAATAAGAAAAATTGAATTGGAAAAATCTATGTTTAATGAAAGTGATGACAATATAAAGGAAAGTAAATTTGCATCTAACAAGGACATAGTAGATTTAAAAAGTAATTCCGCTTCTACTACCAGCAATAGAAGTGACGCTTTTCAAACGGTTTTAGTAGCGGCATCGTTAAAAGAAGAAAACGTCGCTGTAAACAAAGATACGTTTAGTAATGGCATAGTGGAAACAAAAAGAGCTCGTACTCCCAATAATTCTAATTCAGAAAATGCCAAACAAGTTGTTTCCGAATACCTGAAACACGCTCGTATAAGTATGATGAAAACTCTCGATGAATCAAGCACTCACGAAAATTTAAGTGACGATAGCAACAGTAGTAAAGTCAATGCCGATGATAAAGCGAAAAAAGAAGGGGAATCAGAAGGAGAATCAATGAGACAGTTGCTCGATGACTCCACGCCTTCCAACATTGTCATTGGGGGCGTATCGTTCAAAGTTAATAGAGATAAGGACTTCGACTCACCGATGCCCTATTCGCCCAGCAAGCTCATGGATGACGGTCGAAGAGTGTGCGACTTTTGTAATAAAACATTCACTAAGCCATCTCAATTGAAGTTGCATCTCAATATACATTACATGGAGCGACCTTTCCGATGCAGTGTGTGCGCAGTTAGCTTTCGCACAAAGGGGCACTTGCAAAAACATGAACGATCTGGTTCTCATCACAACAAAGTTTCAATGACGTCCACTTTTGGCGCGGCGACTTCTTTCAACCCCAGGCCGTTTCGTTGTTCAGATTGCAACATAGCTTTTAGGATCCACGGCCATCTGGCCAAACATTTGCGCAGCAAAATGCATGTAATGAGATTGGAGTGTCTATTTAAACTACCTTTCGGGACTTTTACGGAAATAGAGCGCGCGGGGCTCAGCTTGACTGACATCGATACAACTGACTGCGCTAGCTCCTTAGCCAGTCTACAGAACTTAGCTCGTAAGCTTCATGAAAAAGATCCCACAAGATTAGAGTATAGAGAACCCAGTAGCTCTTCAGCTTCAGTTCTACCTGCGGGCAGGGAGTCTTCGGAAGATGATGAAGTTTCTATAAATTCGGAAAAGATGTGTGAAAATGAGAATAATGGTGATATGAACACTATTGAGAATAGTGAAAGTCAGGACTCTGAACGGAATGCTTTTAGTGCCACAGATAATTAGTGCCAAAATGTTTCTAATGATAATTCTATTTTTATGTGCAATTTTGTTTTTATTGATAAATGTATAATTTAAGGTATAATTTTATTCCGGGTGAAAGCTCGAAAATGTGAAAACAAAATAATGCGCTTTAATGATAAATGTATAAATACGTGTATCTTCTTCGATATTGTCAAAAGGGACTTGTAAATATTTGGAACTGAATTTGTTGTTATAGTTGCTTCCAGCGTAGGGCTTATGTTTATCTGTTATTTAAATAGGCCTTAAGTCATAAGTACGTAATTAAGGAGTGATTTTGTTAATGTTTTCTATTATTTTTAGGTAAAAACATTGTGGATTCGTTTTCTAAAATATTGTTATATGTGTAAAACATTTTTGTGGTCCACATATGAAGTCAAGAAAGCTTGAGATATCAATGAAACATATTATTACAAATTTTTAAAACTTGTAGTAAATCTTGATAGACCATTTATTGTAAGACTTTTGTATGTATTTTTATAAAATATATACTACGGTGTATTTACGATTTAAATATCTACTTCCAAATCCTTATCTTTAAAAGTAAAAATGGCATATCAACATCCACTAACGAATGTAGTAACCTGTTAAACTTAAAGTCTTCCATACGAAAATAGTTCTTGTGCTAGATATTTGTTTTTACTATGTAGTTATTCTGTCATAGTTTGGGTGAATATTTGACTTGTATATTTTATTACGTTGTTCTAACGTAACAAGTAGTTATAAATATGAATATTTATATTATACATAATTAAAAAAATAAAAAGATATAGAGTAACAATAAACAAAGGCATTTTAATTGTATGAATATGCAGTAACTAAAAAAACATGGGCACCCTTGGTTTGTATTTATCTCAAGAGAATGGATATAAGTTGTTTTGAGTTATTGGATATAAGAGTCCAAATTGTATGTCTCTTCTGGATTTTTTTTGTTCTCTGTAAAATGTTTGGATAATGTTTTACCTCCCACCACATGTGCATCTATCCTCTGTTATATAAAAAACAGATTTACTTGAATTTTTTTATTAAGTGTGTATCATTTTAATTTTTAATTTCATATCCATATTTTTCTTAGCAAAGTGCCCATGTTGTCAACCCCTTGTAAGACATAAAATTTACTACATATAAGTATTAACAGCCAATTCTAAATTGTGAGTCAATATTAATGAAAATTAGTTACTTTGAAAAAATAATTGGTACTTTTTAAAGAGCATGTTACTTCTCCTTTAAAACAAATATAGCTAAAAATATCTCTAAAATTCAATATCAATGATGTAGAAGTAATAAGTAAACAAAAATGATAGCATTGAAATATTATTAACATTGGATTTTAGAATAATACTGGTTTGTCAAAAATTTACAATTTATTATCTACAATACAAACATATATAGTAATAAATTGGTTTATGTATTGCTAGGATTAAAGACAAAAAAACTTACAGACTTGTTTTTATTCTAAATTAATTATCTAGCATCAAACACGACCACTGAAAAATCTATTAAGAAAGTTATTGCCACTTAAATGTAAAGATTGTCTGTAGCTTATGCAAGTAGTAACAGATTTATTATAAAAAAGTCAACAGTTTAAAATGCAGACCATATTAGTAAAATAATTTTTAACTACAATCTGACACTTGGCAGCAGCCATGGTCATTACGGGGACTATTTCAAACCTTTAAAGTTATTATTTAAGCACTTACTGTTATGTTGTTACTGTCAATATTGATTTTAAAAAACTATGCAAGTATACATTGATGGGCTTTAACTTCTCCCACTACTGACTTAGCCACTGCTAAAGTTTGGTTTAAAATCACACTTTTAGAACATAGGATTCGAACCCTGGGTCTCCGCATTCCATACTTCTGTATGTACGTATTCAGATCGACGATAGAGTTAGGAGTTTGTAGTAATCTAATAAGGTAAACCTGTAAAAATGTGTTGTATTAAAAAGGATACATCTTTTTGTGCGCTTCTTGTACATAATACGATATCCACATTCTCGACATCTGATAGGATCCCGTGGTTTGATTTCGTTTTCCCTATGACATTCTGAAATAAATGATAATTACATGCTGTAATAGTTTGTAGTACAAAGAAAACATTGCAATCGTAGGTAACGAACCAGATTTATACTAACCTCCACATACATATATCATAGGCACCTTTGTTGTGGATTCTTTATTAGCATCAGCCATTGCAATAAGAAACCAGGTCAATATGTGTCAGGAAAGTTAGTTATTCGCTAATTGTTGTATTCCTAAAGTTTTTGAGTTTTGTCGTTCCCTTGATAGCTTTAAATGTTAAAACAGTTGCATGTTATTTTAATGAATTGAATTTGACACACAGCACATGTCACAGAATAAAAATGTAGTCTATCGTGTACAGAATCCACCGACGTTATCAAGACAGTATTAAAATATTACAACCCTGTTTATTTAGTCGTAATAATTATTTAAATGTCTTAATAAACAGTTAAGTAGAAAATATAACTCAAATTATAAGTGTCCAATCTCTCGTTTATATACTCTATACTTTAATAAAAATAAACGAATGCAGAATCTTTACCACTTGCATAGATTATATTCTCATAAGTCATAACCGTAGTTACTTTAACTTATGCTTTAATCTTTGGCTTAATAATCCACAAAATATAAAAAAAAGGCATAATAATTGTTTATTTTTAGTGACTTATTAATTACTAAAGCGATAGAGTATTATTATTTTATAAATTAATAATAACGCTCATTAAATACTTACAATTTTAACATCAACTATGGTATTTCTTGACAATTTTGACCCCACAACATCGAACCGTGAAAGGCGAAAACAGAATCCTAAAAGCTATAACTAGTAAGTAATTTTTTAAAAGGGGGTTTCGAACCACGCAAGAAGTCATATTATGTATTGTTTAAATACATTACTAATGTTTTTGCAGCCGTAAACAGAAGAAGCTCTATAATGAACGTGGACAGATAGCTGCAACGGGCCAAGATTTTTGTGATTGTCTAGATGTAAAATGCCCTGGTTGTCATTTTCCCTGTCTCAAATGTAGTTCTAACAAATGCGGACCTGAGTGCAGGTATGCTCCATTTTAAATTTCCACTTGCTAAAGTATATATATTCAGGATTATTTGAATAGCCAAAAAGAGTATCTTTTTTGGTATGGTTGTATTGTTGGATTTGCTTCCAAGCCAAATAGCAGTATATGTAAATAAAATGATCATTTTCCTATACAATATATATATGTTGAATAATTATTAATTTGATTATACTAAGTTTGCCATTTTAACTAGTAATATGTTAATAACTGTATTATTTTTGTTATTTCAGGGTAAACAGGAATTGGATGTATGAAAAGATTGAAACTGAAGGAAATGACACTGTAATTATAAATACCATGAATAAAAAATAACAAGACTACATATCAGTCATTGGCTAATAATTTAAAAAAATACTCTACTTCCGTTTCACCATCTTCAGGCAAATCAGTACAGTGAACTGCATTGTGAAGAATAGTTTTTCCGTACTGTGCTCGAATGGAATCAGGGTAAAGCTGTCTTGCTAAATCCTTGAAAAAGTTGTATTGGTTAAATTGAAAAGGAGAGTCAATTTCTGAGACTTAATATAGCATATTTATTATGATTGTTTATTGGTAAAATTGCTTTGAAAATGCTATTTTTTTTTTATTTTGATAAAATGCTTTGTATCCAGAACTTTATTATTATTTTCTTTCGGGGACACCTGTGGTAGGACAGGTGATCAGTCCACGTTATCAGCTGACCATTTCACCCATTTCCCCATTTCCTCCTTAATCCAGAACTTAGGATTCATTGTTCATTATTAAAGTTACTAAATAAGAACAATTAGTTTCTATAAAGACATGAATTGTTATAATAGAATTTATAATGAAAGAGGAACACAACCTACTACAACCCTGTGTCAACTATTATTTTAATATCTCTAAAAAGCTAAATCCACGACAAACTTACTGGATCCCTGGGCCCACATAGTTTTCTAAATTCACAAACACAATTTAAGCTTGGTTCATTACATTTCACTTCAAGTGCAACACATTTCCCCTCAGCTAAATGAATGCACATAGCCTATAACAAAAATATAAGTTTAATTATTTCTATACTAATACAATAAATACAAAAGTGACTCACTCCTACTCTGACTCCCACTCACATTCCTACACTCACTCCCACTCCCTCTACTATTCCCAAAATGCCGAAGAAGAAAGTTGTATTGTTCTAACTTCAAAAACCACGAATTTCCATACAAACTTTCATCCCCTTTTTTGGCAATAAAAAGTCGTATGTCCTTTCTCAGGTTCTAAAATATGTGTGTACCAAATTTCATTTAAATCAGTTCAGTAGTTTAGGCGTTAAATCCGGACAGACAGACAGAGTTATATTCGCATTTATAATATTCGTATAGATGAATAAAGTATGTATCTCCACGTTTCCCACTGTTCTGCTCCACTGATCAATTGTATTTATATGCTGCTAGTTGACTTCTGTGCTCTGCCAAACTGAAAATTCAATGTTCTCCGCGCTTATAAAAAAGTTGATCGGTCAAAGCAGTACATACGTAGATACCTACGTCAAACCAAATCAAGACACATTTATTCACGTAGGTAACTAAGGAAAGTATTTGTTTGAAAAAACCATTGAACAAGAGGGACTTGAACGCACCACTGCATTTCGTGCTGCTGATCCAACCAATTTAGATGTTTAATTTATATAATATTAACATGTGAAGAATATTACAATTTTCAACCAAGTATACTTATTGACCGTTAAGAACAAAAGATTCCAAATTCATATTTATTATTTACTACCGTAATAGATTCATAAGGGACGCAACTCTGTATAAGTCTGCTGCTAGTGACGCAACAATCAATTATAGCAAACTATAGATAAATAAATATTTTGTTTAACATTCATCACATCCACAGAGCCTTCAATAATTTCAGTGAATTAATTTCACTCACTTCATACTCCGGCAAAACACCTTTATAAATTTCGTAAAACTCTTCGGCGTTCGTCAGTTTAACGGAGAACATGGCGATGGCTGCTATAAAGAATTTGGTGGAAGTCGCAATTACTTCTAGGATAGCACCCACGTTGCCATCTATAACAGCGTGTGGCTTTATTATGCAACAGCTACAGTCTTTAAATGTAGCCCTGAATGGGACTCTTGGTACCCCTTTATCATAGCCGAAGAACAGTTCTATCATCTGGAAGTTGTTAGTCATTTAATTATATACCTACCACATATTATAAATTTACTCAGTGGTAAATAAAAATGTGTAAACGTCAAATTAGGTAACGTTTGTTGTGTACGCTAGTAAGACACTTTTAACGGCTCAAAATGTGAAATATAGCAACGGTAATGTGCCTCGGAACGTGTCGGAATTTCAAAGAAATAAAAAAGTTAACAAATATACTTTCCGTTTAGAACCGTTAGGTGTTTTGTATCAAAATTGGCTCGATTGTCTATTTTTGATCTTCAATAAAACATGCAATCCCTTGATGAATACTACTTACATATTAGAATTAATTTTATCTTTTGTATGTTAATAGTTATATGCACTGAGTACATATGTAGCTAATACGTCTAAGCTCTATCCCTTCCTCCAAAGAAAGAGGGACTTATGTAGCGGTACAATAAATGGTTAGTAAGTATGATATAGTTTTTACTTTAACAACTAAGTTTATTCGAACATATTTTGTATTTTTAGGAAAGCTAGTAGGTTAGTAGGGTGTCAGCTATTGCGCACTACACAGATACTATATTTTAAGTTCATGTGGATTCGACTCCAGGAACATAATTTAACGCAATGCAACTCAGGTTTCCAATTGACCACGGACGCGGTTGATTGAGTTCCTTAGACGCGACAAAGTGACCCATGACGTTTTACGTTAGTATCAGAAAGTATTAAAAATTGTATGTAACCTGAGTAGCATCTTCTAAAGTGTTACAACCGTGCGCAACGTTCTTTAGTATATTTTCACCATATAAACTTCTCAGGGTTCCCGGTGCTGCCTCCGCTGGGTCGGTAGCGCCTAAACATTTGCGCCATTTCTTCACAGCATCTGGAGCCACCAATTCTAACCCTATCACTTCACCTCCAGTTACATAGTCTATAATAATGCTAAAAATATATTGTGAAGACAGCTAGTTATATAGTCATGACGTAATTTACAGAGAGAAGGCAAAATTCTTTACGGCATCATATTGCTCCCAGAAATGCTGTTGTAAAGTGTCATCGCGAAGTCCTTGGTTATTTTGCCATTTTTCATCTGAACAATTCGGAAGCCCTTTTTCATTATAAAAGTAATGATTTTACCATGAGCACTGGGCGGAACAGGTTTTATCATAGCAAAGGTGCTGTAAGATGGTTCTTAATTATTTATTTTGATTTGGGTTTGATTATACTTACATTCTTTTAATTACCTTTGTTGATTCTTAAATAACGTTCGTCGAGTTATCGGCGCACAATCCCTTATGTACAAAAGTTTCGAGAATATATTCACAATATTCCCGATTTGGAGCATTTCTAGTTTTAAGGGAGGCAGTTGAACACGTCTTAAAAGGTTTTTGCCTTTTTTCGTGTTGATTATTTGAACGGAGTTATCGAAAGGGTAAAAATTAAGTACAAGTTCGACTATCTCATCTCCTTCTTCGTCGTACATTTCACACAGAAATGTATATTTATCAAAGTAATCATACACCTACATATGAAAGTTAAATTATTGATTAATACAATGGCTTGTGATTGATTTAATAAGAATATTTAAGTAAGATATTTACCATGATTAATGTGCCACAATAGAAATAATTTTGTAGTTTTGCTTTTACAATACAATAATAGATAGAAAATCGAGACAAACTTGTTATTTATTAAACGTCGTTTAAAGTCAAAAAGAAAAATAAATATTTTTAAAATGCAAGACGATATTTTTTCGAACCGAAGATAATATTTTCTGTGTACAAAATTTATTAACGTGTATTATCTGCAAGATGACAGTGTAAATGCACATTTGACAGATTCTTGTTTCCATCGCGAAATTACAAACATAAACAAACGGTTTGAGTTTGAATTTTTTAAAGGATTTTTCAAAATAATGATGATGATTGTTGTCTTTCCTTTTTCCAATAACTTGTTGAATATGATGTGCTGAATCTGTCATGTACTTATAATATATATTCTAATGAAAAAGTCTAGTGATTTTGTAATTGTAATATTTTAAAATAATCAACATGGTATGTATTTATGTAGTTACTTATTAAAAAAAAATAGACATAATAAATAATAAAGTGCAGCGGCCGAAGGGTTCACACGAGTCTTATTTTTTTTGCAATTTTCGGTATATAAAAGTAATATTCTTACAAGATTCCTCTTTCTAATATATATAACATTTTCTTACAGGAAGGTTCATATAAAGAAAAATACTCGTTTATAGGCGAATGGTATGACAACCAAGCTAGTCTAGTGCGCCGATTTAATATATTTTACTACCCAACTGATGATACTATTGAGATGTATGACTTAAAGAATCGAAAGACATTCCTAAGACGGGTTAAAGTGAATGGAATAACTTTGGATAATTTCTTTATTGGAAGTACTCTTTATATATTAGGAAGATTGGTTAAAATAACTGATTTTGCCTGTGAGCACACCAAAGAAAGATTACACAAGGATATGGAAGTGTAAGGAAAAATATTTCATATGTAGTATACATAAACAAAATTATAAATACAATTTTTGATTGTACTCAAGTTTGTGATATTTCTATAAATACAATAATAGGTTTAACTTTGCAGAACATTTGCTATGATTAAACCTGTGCCAACTAAAATAGCAGGAAAGATTATTACACATTTCTTTGAGCACAATCTTAAAATAACTAAAATGAAGAAGGCTCTGCTAACTGCAGACGATGTTAATTATCTCTACAGAACCCAGGTGTCTGATCCTACTTTTCCGTAAGTGAAAGTCTACTTATTAATATATCTAAATATTGCTGTATTAATCATTTAAGAAATTCTATTAATAATAGAAGTAACTAAAGACTTCTGATTATAGCTACAGACACGTGAATATACAACAATCATTGCTTACTTAGAAGTGTATTGTTATTTTCTTTACCAAGGATTAGTAAAATGTTTGTAATGCATTCAACTTGATGGTTTTTTTGTTTTTCAAAAAAATCTTATTACGATGAGTATAATGCAGAGGAAAATTTAATAAGAAAAGTCTAGCAACATACATATTATGTCGTCTCAATCAAAAACAGACAAAACAGCTCATTTTTAGGTTTCTCTTGGAATACTTAACTGGTCAATTAGTCTATGGCATGGAACTGGTTGGTAAAGATGCAGTTGCTATTTCTAAAGAGCTCCTCGGTGATAGAGACCCAGCTAAGGCGAAGCCAGGTACAATCAGAGCTCTTTATGGCACAGATCCTGTAAAGAACTGTGTGCATGTCTCAGGATCTCCCAGTGACGCTGTTAAGGTAACTCTTGCTCAATTAATTTATAGTAGTAAAGTTTAAATAAAAGCCTTTAAACGGTTTGAAGCGCAAAATATATTACTTACTAATGGCCGCAGCCGAAATGTTGGATCGTAGGTTACTATAGATAATTTGACTTATTTATTTCCCAGTTAAGGTATTGAAAAGTGTTGAAAAAGTGAGTTTTCCTACATTTATTATTAAAAGAAGATTGTAAAAATTTATGGTATATTGAAGGATTAGAACCCACAAGAGTCATATCTTTGCCAGCTCATTAATGATGGTGGTCATCGAAATTAATAAATTTTAATATTGCTTGTGATGTTAAGACTAGATTGTCTAAGTTACGCAGTAGTACACATTTAATCACTTCAACTTCACTTAAAGGGACTCGGAGACCCGTCATAGTGCTGCAAAGTCCGAAACGTCGGGCCGAAGTTAATAACAATTTCAAACAGTTTAACTAATATATGGTTTTACTTTAGTGTTTTATTTAAAGATGTTAAGACTTATATAATAGTGTATTCTCAGGATGTGGAATACTTCTTCCCGCCAGCCCACATGCCCACCTCAAGGCTGCGTTTGACAGCCACACTGTCTAATTGCACTCTCTGTATTGTGAAACCGCACGCAATCCGCGAAGGCAAACTAGGAGCCGCATTAGAGGCTATAGATGAAGGCGGGTTCGATGTAACAGCATTGAATATGTTTATTGTGGAAAATATCAACGCAGCTGAGTTTTACGAAGTCTATAAGGGCATTGTGCAGGAATATAAGGTTAATATAAATTAACTACGATACTATTATTTGATTGCCTTTCTGATCTGGTCTCCCGGATCCTCAAATAATGGATTTCGCCTGGAAAATATCAAAATTAGGTCCTCACAGTAAAGTATAATCACGTTATGGTTTCAGTCTGTGGATTTCTGAACGTCCCAATCCAAAATATATCAAATGCTCATGTCTATATGGGGCTTCCACTTTTTGAAAAGTGAACGTCCCACTTGACTGTCCTCTTCTAAAAAATATATTGTGTAAATTATTATGGCTTTCTTAGTGTCTAGTATTATTTGTTAATTGTCTCAGTTCTGTAGTTAGCATATTAAATATCTTAATAAATAATATCGCGACGTTGCCTGTTGTTGTTCCGTCATCATCTCTTTTATTTGTAAATTAATAAGAAACGGAATGATAAAGTCCGATATTAAATTACATTTTATTTATCAGGGAATGGTGGAAGAGCTCGCAAGTGGCCCCTGTATCGCTATGGAAATTGTTGCCAAAGACAAAAATGTGAACACAGCTGTAGACTTCAGAAAACTAGTTGGACCCTCGGACCCGGTAAGTTACTGAACTCTGTTATATCCAAATCGCATTATTATTGAGAAGAAGAAGAAGAAGAAAATAGAATGTCACCTATTATTCTAGACCTTCGAGGGTTAGCATAAAACAATAGTAACTTTTATTGCTAAGATTGATGCATTAATAAGATTAATACATTAAAACAGTAAAAAAATATTTCTGTAATATGTTGTTCAATAATTTACTGAAGATTTATAAACGAATGTTAAATTAATATTGCTTACCTATAAAATTATTGTTATAATTAACAGGGATAAACTACTTTCTTCCTTAGTTCGCAAGAATAAAACTTGTTATTAGATAAGGAAAATTAGAATTCAATCGATATCAAACGTGCCATCTAACACTAACGAAAAGAATAGTTAATAAGAAACGTTATAGACATGTTTGAAAACTTTAATATTTTTCACATGTTATTACAAAAATGGCACTAATACATTAAAATATAATACGATTATAAATTGACCAAATTACGACTCGGGCAGGACTTGAACCGGCATCGGCACCGGCGGCGTTCTGTCTTGTTGCTCTAACCAATTGAGATACCAAGTCCTACACGAATTTCTTTAATCCATTGATATACCTTTTTGCACAATGTAATGTTATAAAAATAAATTTATAATCGACCTTTAATGTATTAGTAACAATTAAATTAACCTTCGACCGTTATCCTTCTTTATATCCAGGAAATTGCAAGGCTTCTTCGACCACACACGTTACGAGCAAAACTCGGGAACACGAAGGTTCAAAACGCAGTACACTGCAGCGACTTAGCCGAAGATGGTTTATTAGAAGTGGAATATTTCTTTAAGATTCTAGATTTATAAAGACTGGATTGTTTTTTCTGTGTGGTATTATATTATATAATGTGTGGCAGTTATTATCTGTTTTTGAACTAGTCCTGGAGGCAGTTTCTATAGATTCTTTGACGTTTGCGTACTAGTTTAGTCTATGATTCTATATATAATTCGATTCATGTTGGTGATCTTGGTATGTTTTTAGCTGAAGTTGGCTTTAGAAGTATGTATATCATAATAAACTGATTGAATGGAACTTTAACACTATACTGACACTTAAATAAATAAGTTATAATATGAAATACAAGGTTACATATATATATCTATCCAAAGCTATAGAAATTACTTTTGTAAAATGGGAACGCAAATTTTTTTGTTAAAGGCTTTATCTTATTTTATTCTTTTACAATAAACTTACAGCTACTACAATTGAAAATACAAACAATAAATAGGTACAGGAAGGCCAATTACAAGTTTTTACGTAATATTTGTAAATATTTCGATAAAAATTCGTAGGTAGTATTTTGTAAATGTTTCGCGAGGTAGAATGCGCATAATGGCTTAGATATGTTTTGTGTCAATTTTATTATAAATAATAAAGACTGATTTTGTTCTTATTATGCATCGTTTTTTTAAGTAGTTTCCTTTATTTTTAGTACCTATCCCCAAAAATCTTTACAAACCAGATCTCACTAAGTCAAGACTTGCCTTTATTCTTAAATTTTAAAGGTATTCAAGACAAGGGGAATACCCTTATTTACAAGTAAGTATTTATACTAAGCTAACATGAGATCGAACGTAGAAAATAAAATCATAAAATCATTGAATCATTGTTTAGACCGACAGACAAAGGTTTTATACTTATCTATACAATAAAATTTTGAATCAAGTCTTCTTTACAATTTTATTTTCATAAGAACATATTAATAACCCGGACCTACGTCATAGAACCTAATTTGTATGACGTACTTACGTCAGAAGCAGTCCTATGTATAGTTAAAAATTCTTCACATATTGTAAAGTGTGAATTGGTGAAATATTGCACTTCCCGTTGAATATTATTAGTGGATCAAATTACTTTTGTGAATTTACGATTTTCACATTTGTTATAAGAGAAAATATATTGAAGAATATGTAACAGCTTGCAAAAATCAGACCTTATACAGTTATACACAGGATCGCAAACAACGAATCGTGCAGATTATTGAAATCTTTCTTAAGTAATTGAACTTACGTATAACTCAATATGTAGTAGCCGTTTTTGTGTTTGCCGCTAATACGTTACTTGTATTTTATTTTATATGATAAAACGTACGGTAAAACACGTTTTTCGGCTATATTAAGTGTTTCGATGTCTTTGACCTTTGTGTCACAAACAAAATTGAGAGATATAACATTTTTCAACGCCTGTAGAATATTGTTGGCAAGAGTTTGTGTACATTAAGCTATTCTATTCTTAAAAAACCTAACTCCATACTTATTAGTTTAAAGATTAAGCAATACTAATAGGAGATGTGGAAGTGATCGTATTTACATAACGCTAAAACGATTTTGTTTACGACCCACCACTCGTAACCTTTCACTAGATTCGATAAGTCTTATTTGAATGTATACGGCTGTGACTCGAACAGTGAATTGTTTGGTTGTTCGATAGCTATACATGTGGAGAGGTGGACGAAGGATTGCAGTATAGCTTGTGGAGCCGTGTCGAGCTAAAGCACGGAGACGCTTGCGCATGTTCCTTCGCACACTACAATTCGCGCTCCCAAAAAACCGTTTAATACTCCTCAAAATTTCCGATTTGTAAATGTGATGTTATAGATCGGGCGATAACAATAAGATCGCTTAGTGTAAACAAGAACGGTGAGTAATTTAATAACAAATATTTTTTGTAGAAATAAAATGAATCGGATTTCGGATTTCGTCTCTTACGTTATAACGACAGATTGTAATAGTTCGATTCTTGAAGACTCATGACAATGTTTATAATTTACACAATAAAAAGAATATTTTTACATGTGTGTTTTACAATCGTGAGATTAATAAAATGTAGTAAAAATAGTAACCACGTTTGTTTGTCCTTTTTTTGGGATTGGATTAAATAAATTATCTCGTTATCTATACGAAATATCTAGATGAATGACTATTGGACTACTAAATACTCGCTTTTCTGGTCTCAAGACCGCACTGGTTCACATATACAAGTTCAAGTATTATCATAAGGTAATAGAAAGCAAGTGATAAGTCCTAAACAATTCCGAATAAAGTTAGATACATAGTTATTTGTTTACAATATTATTCTTTATAATGACAAACTCTATAACATATGTAAAAGGTGTCAAAATAATATTCACGCCAAATAAGTATTTATTACAATAACAAATAGAATTAGAATGGAAGTTTCATTTTTGATTCAAGTTGAAAATGTTAATTGACTCATGAACGTTTTTCTTTAAAAAAATATATAAATTTAATATTGCCATATATATACGCTAGGTTGAGTTTTATATAAGTGAGTATTAAAAAATATAATCTATATTGTATACAAAGATCTAGATCTAGAAGGTAAATTTTCAATTTCATCTGAGTAGTATTTGTAGCTTCTCTAATAAATCATTTGTAGCTCTGTCTTACTTTTGATATCGTTACTTACGTACAATATATTGTCTTCGTTAGATTCGAACATATACTTTTAATACATATACTACGCGTAACTATTGATCAAACTATTAAATAACGGTATTTAAGATCTTAGATAGTAATTATAAAAGAATGATTACCACCTATTATAGTCAACAATATAACAAATATTTGAAATGCGCACCTTTTAATTACATGATCATCCATAATATATGAGTTTGCAAAGAATGAAATTATAAGAATGGATAATATTATGAGGATTTTTATGATAAACCTAAATACATATTTATGTAATAAGAATTTTTCAAATTGATTCAAGTAACGTTACTGGAATGTTTTTATATAGAACAGCCGTATTGTTGTACAAACGTTGTATTAGTCCAGACTTTTTGCGGTCGGATTTTTTTATGCATTCTTAGGCATACAAATAAAATATTGTTAATACCAACATCGATATGCGTACTCCTAGGTGAAAGAAATACCCATAGATGAAAAAGCCGTCAAGTTTTATCGCGTTCAGTCTGTGGATATCCGAATATCCAAACCCAAAATAGATCGACAACGCACCTTGTGTATATGTTGTATGACTGACGTATTTCACCTTTAAAGTAAACCCCGTTATTGTCTTCCCCTATAATAAAAAAAAAAGAGTAAGAAAGATGTCGTGAGGATCAGCATATCCTAGAAATGAAGGGGCTACTTAAATATGCCCGAGGCCCAATTCTGGGAACTGCTAAAGGCTGGTGTAGATGTAATCACAGTCTGTATAAATATCGAACTTTTTTTTATGGATATATATTCAATATAGTTACATACTAGATAAATAAATACTTCTTTTTATACCGAAAAAAAAAACGCTTCGCAATAATTAAATAGCCGCTATCTAACTGCACTAAATTAGTGTTTTGTTTTAACTTTGACTTAATATTGTTATGAGAACAGCGACCCATTGTGTGACAGACAGACAGTGTGTTTGATACATGTACACAATGTGATGATGAAACGAATTTCTTTGTCTGTAACCTAATCTACCTACATACTTACAAACAGGTTAATGAAACAAATGATTGTTAAACAGAACAATTTACTTAGTGACAAAGTTACCACCCATTACGAATTGTATCAACTTCGATCTCATTTCGCAGGTAGACACTTGTACATTCTCATGAATGAAACACATCGGAGAGGGAACAGCTATATCGGGTGGATGACGAACTTTCCGACATAATTTTGAAGTAAACATCAGCATACAAAATGAATTTGATACGATCGTTCTTTAAACGAATTTCAGATGATCTCAAACAGAAGAAACTCATACCTCTCAAGATATTATGCTTCGTGCATGCTTCTAGTAAGTATAATTAGAGTTGACGACACTTAGGTAACATAACAATAGCTTACCAGTTGCTTATGTTGCCAATGAAAGCTTAACTTGTGTTGTAATGGAAAAGTCTTATGTAAGTACTTTAACAAATTCATTGTCGACATTTACCTACTTATCTAGGCACTTCTGCCAACTTTCTTTGAGAGACGCCATACATGACATTATCCAATTGCTTAAATAGACGCGATTGTGTCTTAAAAAGCGTTACCGATAACGAATATTAAAAGTTCCTAGTATTTAGTTTAGTAATTATCAAGAACTTGTGTTCATGTGTTCAAAAACTTATACGCTATAAAGAAAATTATTTAATACTGTTTGTAGTTAACGCGAGTAGTACACATTGAAATAAAACACTTCCACGGTTTAAAACGCGATATATTTACTTATTTGAAAATAATTTTAAACTTTAACTGGTTTAACTAATTTATATCGTGTTTTATACCGTTATAGTGTATTATTTAACTAAGGAATTTATTTTAGTTTTTTTGTAGCTTAGTCTCACATTGATATCGAACCCGCAATACATGTAAAGGCTTGTTATCAGCTTTGAGATGTAGAAGAGAAGTATAGATTGTTTTGTTCTGTGAACACTACTTCCTATGTGAAAACTTTTATCATTTTCACATGTTAATGTTAAAACAATTATAACAGGTTAACAATTAGAGCAGCAGCACGGAACGCTGTGCATGCCGGTTCAAGTCCTGCCCGAATCTTATTTTTTTTAATTTTTTATTTGTATAGATTACATCGTTTAAATTACTTTCAGCACAACTTGTGTTGTATCCTTACCTGACGATACACATGAGGGAATTGGGCATCAATGTCGAGGAAACGGCCGTGATGTCCTCACTAACTCCTCTCTTCCTGATCATGATACCACCACTTGCTGGGCTATTTGCAGATAAGATCGGTAATTTCAGGGTAAGTTTACGTAACGTACAGTTCATAATTTCGGGCTCGTTGGTCTAATGGTAGCGATAATAATGATAACCAAAAGATCGTGGGTTCGGCTCCCTACCGGGTTTAACATGTTTTTTAAACGATTTATAATTTTTCTAAAATATGTTGGACTTCCTCTAGAAATCGGGATATTCAAATTCGAAATATCGAAAATGCGTCCGGATTACTTACATCCACAGATAAATAAGCCATGTAGTGCAATCGAGTGGTTACTCTGTGTATTTCCGAACGTCCAAAATCAAAATAGGACGTCAGCGCATTTTGTTGATAAGATATATGGCTAAATACTGTCTATAGTTTACGCGAGTAGTACACATTTCAATAAAACACTTTAACGGTTTAAAACGCGATTAGTTAAACTTATTTGGACATGATTTTTAACTTCGGCCCGACGTTTCGGATGCTTTGCAACAGCCGTCTGTCGCGTTTTAAACCATTAAAGTGTTTTATTTAAAAGATATATGGCCGTTATATAATGAATCAACCTATTATATAAAACAAGATCATGATGTCATATATTTATGTATATCCCTATTGTCTTAAATAATTTAACATTTATTTTATATCACCGAAGTTCATATATCTCAAATAAATTATAAAACTTATCGCATATTAGGTATAGTATCGAAAAATATGTAATCACATAGCGACAAAAATATAACAACGACGATTTGAGCCGGAAACGTTCTGGACATTTATAATAGTGAAATCAGCAGAGGCATAAAAAATACATAATCGCCGTGATTTTACAAAACAAAATAGTTATACACGTATAGGCTAATTGACGAAGAAAAGTTTTAAAAACGTTTACGAGAAGTATGTAAGCAGTGGGTATTATTCCTTACGAAGAAGTCATAAATAATATGATTGTTTCCTCTAAACATTTAATTAACATGCATGTCTATAAATTAAAGCCTTTGCCATGTTCTTGTACTGTTAAGAAATTAAAAAGACAACATTTAAAATGCAAAGCGTTTCCCATCTCTACATAAACACACTCAAAGCACAAGATATAGAAACTAAATTACGTTTTTTAACTGTTTAAAAGTACCAATCAGTTCATATATAGATAAGGGTTTGTAGTTGACGGGAGTAGTACACATTTAAATAAAACATTTTAGCAGTTTAAAATGCGATATATATTAGTTAAACTTATTTGAAAATTATTTTAACTACGGCCCGACGTTTCATATTTTTTTAACTCAGCAGTTTGAGGTGTTTCACGGTATAATATTATTTATATGTTTGTTTAAACGCGCTAATTTTAAAAACTACGGTTTCCGGGGTGTGTTGGGCATTTGTTTAGGAAGGCCATAAAACATCACGCTGAGACTAATAGAAGCGGAGATACAGCGGGAAATGTAAACTAAACATTTTTCATCTCTGTGGGTTTAATATGTGTACGCTGCGAAAAGGAATCAAGACACCAAAAAATATGTATCAAATAATGATTCCTCTTATGTAATCTTAAAAATTGTCCGGAACACTTTATGTCTTTACGATTAACTTGCATAAACGACGGGACGCGAACGATGTCGAAGGCAGCCTAAATTTATAAAGATGTAGAGGTTTGCAAAAACGAATTTGGATGCCCAAAATAACTATTTTACGCAGACGAAGTCGCTGATACAGCTAGTACATTATGTATATCATATAATAAGTGATTGAGGGAACTAGGTTTAACTTTGATACCCTGTCGTTTTAAGTTTCAACAGTCCAAAGCCAAAATGGGTAATAGATTGCTTAGATGTTATATGTCAATTTCACCTTCCATCAAGTGAAAATCGATTTGCTATGCTTTTGATACTAAATAAGTAAAACAAAACGTGTGTTATGTTATGAAACGGTTGATATAAATGAGTATACCCGATCGTGGTCGTATCATTATTTTCGAGAGGCGATTTTACGGTCTCTGCACTTGAATCGATGTCTCTATTATTCAATGTCATGTCATTGCAGATGGGCACACAATTGTGGCTTCTATTAGTTTCGCTAATAATTCCCTCATACGCTACATCCTGCTTCGGTATCGGTAAATGCTTTGGGATGATTTTACGGTCACTGTTTAGTTAAATACCTCTTGTGTTCGTCAATGCTTAATACATACACTTGTAAATTCCTGTGTAGTTCGAAAATATATACTAATATATAAAGCTGAAGAGGTTGTTTGTTTAAATACACTAATCTCAGGAACTACTAGTGGGAATCGAAAAAAACTGTACACAACATAGGGACAAAAAATTATCTTTGGTTTCTGTTGCGTACGCTGCGAAAACGGTTCACGATGGCCAAGAAATAATCTACGAATCGTGAGTTCGGTTCCCCCGGGTCAAACATCAAAATTCCGTCCTGTTCACGAACCATCGACCTTAGTTTAATAGAGTTCAGGTTTTATTCTGCTATATCCAAAGCCAAAATAGGTCGACAACGAGTCTCGTTAAAAGTTATGTGGCTGGGTTATTTTATTCAGTAGTTCATAGTGAAACTGATTTTGGTTTATCCTTTTCTACCGTATAAAAAACCCTTTTTACAAACGAACCTTTTATATAAGACGAAATAACAGCATTTCCTTCAAATGTATGTACTATGATACATCACTACTCATACGTTACTTCACGCGAAGTCACACGATACTTACGTTAAAGCATAAAAAAACAAACACCAATAATGACAAACAAATAAAAACTTTTGAATTGTTATCTGTCATATTAATGTATGTTCATAAGAATCAATAAATTTAGGATCAGTACACGACGCGGGCCACAAAAAGTAAACAAAAACCTGTTTGAACGTAAATAGAATGTACTTAGTACTCAGAATTTAGGTGCTGAGCTGGTTAGGTGTAGAATGTCAAGATTAACTAATTACTATTAATTAAAAACTTAAATTGCTTGAACCCTTTGCTTTAGGTAAGGTCATTACTTCCAGTTCTAGCTCTGTTTTGGCGAGATATTTACATAAACGTGTCAACCGGTCGAGGTGGAAATGCTGTTATTTTGTATAAATTGACGGAAACACAAATACAACGCATTAAATTAGGATCTTCACTATTATACTACAAATATTACCTAAGTACATACTTAATATTTTGTGAGTATTAAACATATTAATACCGATTGTGCAAAACCAAAAAAGGTCGACAGCATATCGTATATATATGTAGGACTGACCTCATTTCCCCTTTCCATCAGGTGAATTCCATGCAAGTCTCTCCTCTTTTGTGATAAAAGACATTACAATAAACAAACATAAAGAAATAAGTATATTCCTCAAGTGTTTGAATAAAACACTATTGACGGGTTAAAACGCAAAATGTATTATTTCAACGAGTACATAACGCACTTTTATCAGTTAAAATTGTTTAATTTAAACGTATACTACTCGCGTATACTTACTCCAAGTGTCGTTTTGATTTTATTAGCTTTATTTGTAGATCTCAAAAATATAACAAAAGTCTTAACTATTAAGCTACCGTAATTAACTGGGCGTACGATAAAATATCTTCAACTCGTTTATATACGCAGGCAGACTAACACGTCTCTGAATACTGTCCAGCAATAATGTATACACAATATATTATATCCAGTGAAAAAAAATACAAATTTAAATTAAATCTCGATGTTTCAGTTACTATTGGCTTTCACATCGTCTCTGGGAGGATTGGCAGCTCTGCTGTTACTTCTTGTACCAGTTGGAAGGTACACAGTGACTTATCCACCTGCAGTCGAGATGGTTGCTACCTGTGATGGTAGTACGTTGCGTCTTCAGGATGTCAGTGAATATTCCTGCCTACCTCTTCATCCGTATGCTTATAACAGTAATATGACGTAAGTGTGGTTTAACGTTTTTTAAACACCTATTTCAATTGAAGAAACATTCCTTAAGTATTATCTGTAGTTTCCGCGAAAGGTACACATTTCAGTAAGACACTTCTAACGGTTTAAAACGCAAATTTGGTAGTTAACTTATTTACAATGTATTTTAAATAGAGCCCGTTGACGGTTTGCAGAAGTAGAACGTCGTATAAAAAATGTGAACCAGCTAATTAATATATTGCATGTTTTAAACCGTTAAAAGTGGTTTTATTTCGTTGTTCTTTTTTTCATTTAGTAAATAAGGGGTCCTAAGTAATAGTGATCTTTTTTTATAATCTGACATCCGCTTTCCTATTTCTAATTTTGTGTAAGGTACAATTACACAGATAATTTAGAAATCGAAAATATATTGAAAAAAATTCGACTCGGGCAGGACTTGAACCGGCATCGTCAGCGTTCCGTGCTGTTGCTCTCTCAACTTATTGATACATGCACCTCTCGCGCAAAATTAAATTATATAGTACCTTCATGTGCGATAACATGTGAAAAATATTAATGTTTTCAATTACACAGATGTTATTTAAAATTCAAATAAAGTATCTGTCTTGTCTTGTGAGCTCGTGATGTTTTCCCCTTTTATTTCCTCAAAAACGTACGTGTCATATACGTATCAACATCAGATTCTATACATTAAGAATTCGAGTTCCGAACATCATGATAGACGTAAGACGTGTCCTAATTGTTCCTCACGTCTCCGATATTGTAAAAGCTTTATCGGTTTATGAACTTTCAGAATTCTTTCCTGCGGTTTCCTATGCCAGTCACCGAACGAGACAACCGAAGACGAGTTAGACTCTCTCCTTGACAGTACTTCTTATACCGTAAATTTGAAGTCAGTCGCACAATCGCAACTCTTGATTTACCGAAATGTTTATCAATCAATATCCAGAGATACGAGTATAATAAAAGACCGAAAGAGAGTTCGCGCATTGACTAACGACCCCTTCTTCAATTCCACCATGACCAAGGTATCTGAGAGGACAGTGTTCTTTCCGACACCACAATTGTACAGCATAGACTGCTTACACGAAGGGAAGAACGCTACATGCTCTTTAGGCAACCCTGATCATATATTCGATCTGGATTCTGAAAACATCGAAGAATATAGAGTAAGATTTTCACGACGTGTTATTGACAGTGAAGAAGCGAGTGAATATTGGATAAATGCTATATTAGGAGACACGAACTCTAGTTTGATGAAAGGTTTTGGCGGAGTCGACAGTACAAATTGCAGGGATACATTAATAGTAAGTATTTTAACTCAATTTAAACATGATATAGAAAAAGATATTGATATATCTGGTCTTTGCCACGGATTTGGACTCATCAGGAGACAAAGCTTAGGCTAAGCTCTGTCTCGTGATGGAAACTTTGTTTCTTTTGAAAACTTTAATATATTTCACATATATTAAAGTTTTGGTAGTATGATGGTATTAAATAAATAAGGACACAGTAGTTCAATTGGTGACAACAACAACAGTTCAAGTCCTACCCTCGTCGTAAATTTTTTTTCAATCTAAAATCAACTTTTATTTATTTCAAACTTCGTTAAAGATATAATTAATAATGTTTAGTTTAATACAAATATTGTTAATAACGTGGTGCCTAGAGTCACTACTTAACCAAAGAAATGTGGCAGGATATAGCAATAGAATAATCATAATAACTTAAAGCATCATAGAATCTGATGATCATAAGTTGTGCAGTAACAATCACTTGTACATAATACTGTTAAAAGGCCAAGGCTAAAGTACAGAGACAATGGTATTTCATGTATCAAGACCGCAATCTATTTGGAATCTAATGAGAATTAAGTACCGTATTATAGACACGACCACGTTGCCACAGTGGTTAGTAAACTTGACATCATGACGTCCAGACTTCAAATCCCAGAAGTCATGTTAGATTGGTATTTAAAATTTCCCTATTTCTTTTTTGTATCAGCAAGGAATTTGGAAGCAGTAGTGGTAGTTGTTGAAGCCCGTCTGAAGCAACATTCATTCAAGCTCTAAAACGATTTAAAACGCCATATATATTTAGTAAAACTTACCTACTAAATTATTTTAACCACGGCCTAACGCTGCGGATGTTTTGCAAGACCACGAAACATCGGGCCGTAGTTAAATTAATTTTCAAATCAGTTTAGCTAAAATATACTCGCCTAAACTGCAGACCGCCTCTGTAGCCAAATGGTTAAACGCATTGCCTAGCATTGCGCTATGCGCGAGAGGTCCAGGGTTCGTTTCCCAGGGAATCAAAAAAAGATGTTCCGGTCGGGCTGGGCACAAAAGTCTGATCAACTACATCAACTCACTACTACAACTAGATCAACTACTTGCTTGTTAAAGAACGGATCAGTGAAACGAATACAAAAATGTGTTCGCCCCATGCCCCACGAGGGGGAAACGGGATTTCACTTTCTAAACTGCAGATAGTATTTACGGTTAATGGATTTGAAAATTTTCAGGCACAAGACGATGTCTCGGTATGGGTTCAAGTTGAGTCCAAAAAGTTTGCAAAATGCAGTTCAGCCTGTGCGGCTACAGTTCCTAGGGCGAGCCTTTGTGAGAACAGCCAACAGAAGGTTGATATTGATCCGGCGTTTACATTTTGGAGTTACATGGCTGTGAGTTACATTATCCGCGATATCATTATAAATTGTATAATTTTGTAATCATTCTCTTAATTCTTAATTTTTCTCTTAGCCTAAAAATGGCTACGAATCGTTTCACTTATTAGTGCTTATGTTATAATTATTAGATTTTATTATTTTAAATTAGTTTCATAGTTACGTTTAATATCCTCTGTAGCCAAATGGTTAAACGTGTTGCATTGCGTTAAGCGCGAGTGGTCCTGGGTTCGAATCCCGGGGAAACAGTAAATTGTTTCGGTCGGCCCAGGAACACAAGCCTGATCAACTACTTGCCTGTAAATAAAACCGATCAGTGAGACGGACACAGAAATGTGTTCGCCCGTGGGGTAATGGGATTTCACACTTTGTTTTACACTACTACTTTTTAGTTTGACTGAACCCAATTGAACCCACGACCTTCTGGTCCTTGGTACCACGAAACTAACGAGGTCGTCCAATAACTTACGGGTAATTTAACTACTTAAACTTGCAAGTAAAAGTTCATTACATAAAATGTTCACGTAACAATATTTATAACCTTGTCCTACATTAGTCAAAGCTTAGCGTTACGGACATCATTTGCTTAAAATTAATGTTTTTCCATAGGATCTTCTAAAAGGAGATTTATGTAACATTAAAAAAAACTTAAAAATTAACATTTTATGGCAACTCGGGACTCAGACTCAGCTGAATGCTACACGTAGGAAATCGCGCAGCGCTGATTTTCAGTCCGTTGTCACTGGCCGAAGTTCCCAGAAATGTATAAAAATAATGCGAATTGTAAAAGTGAAAGCCAACTTAAAAATATCCGAACCGAACCGAAGAAAGATATAAAGCAAGATTGAGGTTTTAACGCCGTTAAGTAACGAAGCTATTTCTTCTTAGTCTAAGGCAGTAGAAGGGGCATTCCCTTCCATAGAGCTTGTCTGTTCTTTATCATAAAAAAAAAACTGTTTTTATCGCCTTTTCTTTCTTACAGCTTCGCGTTCTGATAGGCATAATAAGCGGTACATCGTTCGCGTTGTTCGAAGGAGCTGTGATAGCGATTATTCGGGAACAGCGAGCTGACTATGGTATGCAGAAGGTGTACGGAAGCGTTGGCGGCATGATATCGTCTCCACTCTCCGGATTGCTCATAGACTACGCTAGTAGGGGAAAAGGTTATACTGACTTTAGGTAAGACTATGTCGACCTTTTCTCCGCGTTTAAATGCCTCGAAAATAACAAAAATAAAAACATTGCTTTAAATAAATAAAAAAATATATAAATAAAGAATAATTAAAAATAAGAATAAATTTAACGAAAATATTACTTTCTTAATTGCCCTTACAAATACTCTCAATGTTTAAAGTTGAGCATACATTCCGTTTAAATATTTAAATGAAACACTTTAAGGCGAAATATAATAGGTAAACTTATTTAAAAATTACTTTAAGTACGGCCCGACGTTTCGAATAAGTTTAGCTAATATATTTCGCGTTTTTAACCGTTCAAATGTTTTATTTAAATGCGTACTACTCGCGTTAAGTACAGGCAGTACATAAATTTTGTACTAAACTAAGAGATACTATTGTGTTATACACGAACTAATGGAGACAAAATGTTTTGACTTTTACTTTACCTAAAAGTGCATAGACATATTTTATTTTGAATAACTATTGCATTTACATACTTAGCTTATTTATTAACTTAGCCCTGAGTATGTCAAATGTAAAACCTAAATACATATTATTTATAAGATGCTTTTGTATGCACTTGTTACAGACCAGCATTTTACATGTACGCAGTATTAAAAGTCTTGTCTGGAGCCCTCGTACTGGGATTAGACCTCGAATTCAAGAAACCTGCTAAGACCTTAGTGAAGGATGTCGTCACGGTCTTCAAGAACTTCGAAATTGTCGCTTTACTGATTGTGTGCATCGTTATGGGTTAGTACTTTGTTTGCTATTTGAAAATCTTATAATTTCCTTCAACTATATACGCATAATGACAACTCGAATCTTCAACAATTGAAGTCAGTTTGGTTGGATGAGAAAGCTTGCTTATTCATTACAGAAGGGTTAAAATTTACTTGATGGAAGGTGAAATATTCCAGCAATATCTATACTAATATATAAAGCTGAAGTTTGAACGGGTTCGAATTGAAAAATTCTGTTTGTGTTTGTTAGAGCATTTATCTAGGAAGGCCATAGGCCATAACATTGCGCTGTGACTAATAGAAGCAAAGATACAGCGAGAAATGTGAACAAAACGGGGGAAATTTTTCATCTCTGGTGGTTTCAGATGCGTACGTTGCTAAAACGGTCTTGAACACTCCCAAAAAATATGTAAAAATGATTTTTCTTTAAATTATCTGAAAGTTCCCAACGTTATATGTCTATCTTTTAATGCATTGCTATGATTAACTTGCAAGAACGACGGGAAGAGGACGCGACTGACGTCGTGGGTAACAACTTAATTTTATAAAGATGAAGGGGTTTGCAAAAACGGATTTTGGATGCCCAAAATAACGATTCTCGCGGACAAAGTCGCTGGACACAGCTAGTAAACAATATGTCCAAGGTATTTTTGGTCTTTGACATTTGAACTCCACAGACTAAAAACGATAGATTTAACTCCACGTTTTTTTTATCTGTGGTCGGTGGTTCGGTTCGTTGTTTTTATAATAAAATAACTTGATTCCCTAATTTTCGAAATAAACTTAGTAAAATATGTTGATTGATAAGCAAAATATTATAATATAGATAATAATATATATATATATATATAGTGTGTATATATCTGTTAATTTAGAAGTATTTATAAGTCCAATTGTTTTATACGATCCTGTATCGTATAAATACAGCTCAAACATTATTCAGAGATCCTAATTTTAGCTAAAAGAAGAAGAATTGTCATTTAAATAAATTTAAGCGGTAACACGGTTCTATTCTCCACATTTCTAATTCTTGGTATTGAGTTTCACAGTGCTTTCACTTTGTCAAACATATTATGTGGCTTGCCACGCAATTAAACGAATAAAAGACTGGATAGACCACCTTTGTGGTGCAATGTTTATAGCACTGTCTGTATTTTTTTAACCGCGAAAATCTTTAGTTCAAATCCTTGGGAAACATAGTAAATATTTAAAGTCATTACTAATAATAGATCTATAAAGCACACAGAACGGTGCCACAAGCCCTATGTATAGAAAACCTGCAGTAAATAGAAATATACCCATTATTTTTTAAATTGTTGCAATTTGTTTATCCGAAAATAAAATTAAAATAAATAAATAATACAACTTGCCTTACCTTTAAACTTACCAGTTTAAACTTAACTTTACCTTTTACCGAGAGCTAGATAAACTTATGTACATCAAAACAGTTAAAATTTTAAAACTCTAAATTTAAATTTACACGAAAGAACAATGACATACATTTTTTAGAAATATCTAACAATTTACTTAGAGTAAATATACTTTAAATAGTAAAGAAATTAAATGAAACCGTTTAATCTTGAAAGAAACTACTCTATTAATAAATAATTATTTATTATAGTTACCTATTATAATAGACACCTACAAACATTTTAATTTGTAATAAAGGTTCTTCCTCATATTTCAGGTACAGCATGGGGATACCTGGAGAGCTTTCTGTTTTGGTTTTTACAAGACCTGGGAGCATCGCAATCTCTCATGGGTATCACCATCACAGTGGGTGGAGTAGCTGGCTTGCCCCTCTTAGTTCTCTCCGGTCCTATCATTAGTAAAATTGGTCATTCCAATGTACTCTTTATCGGATTTATTTTCTACGCCATAAGATTGTTTGGTTAGTATATTGTTTATCGTGTGTTATAAATAAGAGGATGTATGGACCTTGTGTGGTATTCGGACAGGTTATAGAAATCATATGAAAATTCCTAAATTGTTGGCTAGTTTATGCTAGATGAATCCGTTCTTGGGTTATGTAGTATATTTGAAAATGTTGTTATATGTAAATAAAAAAGAAGGCATAAAAACCACAAATTTACGTTAATTTCGAAGATCTAGGCTTCGCCTTTAAAACCGTTAAAAATGTTTTATTTAAATATAATATGTGTTTACTGTAATTTCCAGGTTACTCATTCATCTACAACCCATGGCTGAGTTTGATATTCGAAGCTATGGAGTCAGTGACTTTGTCATTATCGTTCACTGCGGCAGTCACGTACGCGGCACTCCTTTCCTCAACCACCACGGACTCTTCCGTACAAGGACTGCTGGGAGGACTGTACTATGGCGTTGGTGCGTACTTCCTACATTACATACTAAATTAATTACCATTGAATTGGAGTTATTACTTCCTTAGCAAATGAATGATTATGATTGGAGCAAAATACTGGATATGGTACGCTAAGAAGTAGATTTGTTTATTTTATTGACCATTAACGGAAACTAAATATTCTATATTATGGTAAAAACGTTTGCCATATTTATGAAGTATATTGACCGTATTTGGTATAAAAACCGTTCTTGTTAATCTTTAAAGATAGTTCAAAAAATAATAGCTTTTTATACATTTTTTGGGTATCCTAAATATGCCTAAGCCTAAAGCATTCCGCGATAAATGCTTCAACTAACACACAAATATTTATTCAAATTAAACTTAAATTTAAGCAAATTCTTCATCTTAATAATATTTGTATAGTTTAAATGTTATACATACGATAGAACTTGAAAATATTTTTAGATTGATATAGTAAAATTATTTATTTATTAATTCGAAATTTTACATTTAATTTGTAACATAAAAAGGCGTTCGGGTTTTTTAGTAACGCCCTAAAATGACAGGTACCTTCGTGTAACAGAACCCACGTCCCACAAAATACCATTTGCATAGTTTTATTGTCTCTGTACAGTCTTAACAAGTGTGTAACATCGTCTTTAATCATTCTCTTCGTGCATTTAATCTCAGTACATAATGGAATAATATTAACACATTAAATACGTACACACGATCTATGTGTTGCTTAGGGATAGGTATAACTTAATTTGGTACTTAAAATACAAAGTAGTATTATTATACTATTTGTATTCAACGTTAGCCATATTTGGCTATAAATGTTTTATACTTTATTAAGCATGATTTTGTATGGAAACTGTAAAGAATACTTATTCTATTATAAAACGATGCAAATACTAAATGCTTTTGTCATTTTTGTTATTAGGCAAAGGTGCCGGAAGTCTTATCGGAGGCTATTTAATGAAATTTTTCGGCACTCGACCCACTTACCGGCTTTTCGCCGCCGCCACGCTCGTCACCGGATGCATTTACTTCCTCTTCAACAGATTCTGTATAAGAAAGCTGGTTAAGTGTAGGGAAAACGACATCTCTAGAAAGAACGCTTTGCCGTCAGACGTAGAGTCACCCGAGAAAGTTGAGAAAGTAATGCCAACAGATGGCGCTGTTGACAAAAGTGAAATGACTATGGATCACTTGAAATTAGTGAAGGACAACACAGATGGCGGTAGTGACTCTGGAGTAGAAAAACCCAGCGTACATTGATAATGAACATCCTGTAAAAGACTCGCAGAATAAAGAGAACTCTTAAAATATTGTGATTTATAAGATAGTTATTTTATTGTCTTAAATTATTGTATAGTTTAAATGTATGACATTACTTTAAAGAAATCGTATAATTAGTTAAAGATAATGTTTTATTCTCCTTGAGGAGCCTATCAAAATGCCCATAACGGATAGGGATATTTTTAACCGACATTTTCTTCAAAAGGGAGAAATATAGCTTTAACAGTTTATTCTAGTGTACATACTTAGAATAATCGGGGGCCGATTTGAGATATAATGATCTCTTTTATCATATACCAAACAGTCGACACAGGTTATTCGAGACATTATATAAACGTAAAAAATGTCTTTATAAATACAGAAGAATTACTTTTAATAATGACGAACAATAAGATGAAGTAAAATTATCTTATTTAATATCTCATAAGTAGACACGTCAGTCTCATAATTCTTAGACTTTTAGAATAATATTTATAATTTAATGTATGAAGTATATAAAGTGAATAATAATAATAATAATAATAATAGTGTGTTAATTACATTTAAAAGTCTGTATAAGTTAAAATGCTATTAAAAAAAACATGCTGCTAAACAAAATTTAAAATTCATGCTTTACAGGTTTTCCTACATTAATAATAATTTCAAATATTATGTATTGTAAATGTAAGGTTAAATCTAATCTGATTTAGATATCGCGATATATAATCTTCAAATATTTTATATACATATGTGACACTTTGAAGCCTTCGGTGACATTGATTAACCCGCTAACAAATTGGTTTGGGTCATATCCATCGTGCTTCAGGTGTTCTACTTACTAGAGTACCGCAAACAATTATCACAATTTATTTCGTCGAGTTGTCAATTCTTAGTACATGGGATATGAGTATTGTGTATTTCAGTACATTGTACATTTACGAATCGAAACCCGAGCCGAACGCTCGTAGGCGTGAATAAATGAAAATTATACATCCTAAAAAGTAATTCTTTACGATGGTCACAGCAAAAGTATATACGAAGTTGCTACTGTGTTTTCTATTTGACAATGTATTCGCCTTAACTTTTCCCGGACCTCGTGTTTATGTCGTCACACCAGCAGCTCCGCGACCGTTTCAAAGGAACCACGACAATCAAGCACCCTTCTATTACCAGAATTGGATGAGAAGAATGGACTCTGATGAAAATATTACTTCTACGACTACGACGGCATCTCCAAAAGTCAAAACGCCCGATTTAATATTTGCTGAATTCGACAAGGATGCGACTATGAAGAAATCAATCAGAAAGCTACTGGAGCAGGAAAGAATCCCAATCAAGACACCATCTACAACTGTTCAACCAATATACGTAGCTGACGAGAAAACTAAAGCACCTGGCGTAAACAATTATGGCTTACCTTTATCATCAGTAGTGAAAGATAATGAAGAAAATCACAATACGAATTTTCAAACTGATTATGTGTCGATGTACAACGATCTATACAACGCCCCTGTTCCAGTGTACAAACCAACGACAACGACAACAACTACGACTCAACCACCCCCTGCAGAACCCGCAACTTCTACGACAACTGAAAACCCAATCAATGTAGAAAATATTTGGCACATCATTGATAGTGAAAAACTAAATCAGTATTCTGGTAATTGGGATGAAGCTCCAGTACCTTCTCATGAGTATACTAGCGATGATACAAATAATGGTGAAGATGGAGTATCTGATGATATTCAAACCAAAGATTTAGAAGATACCAATCCTTCACAAAATAATAAGGAAGAGGAAGCACCCGTTGGTGACAATTTTGCTTTACCAGGGTAAGAACATTTGATTCTAATGATTGATATGCTGAAAGTAACTATCGGTTATAAATTATTATCTTTTATAAATAAAGCGCTAAACTTTCTGGTTATAAATAATATTTTTCTTATTAAAGGTTTGCATCAAACCCTGGAAATGGAGCGGAAAACGAATCCCGAGCAATTAGAACTGAGCAAAACATTCGGTTCCCATATGTCAATTTAAAACCATTCCAAATGAAGAATTTAAAGAAACCTATGCTCGATCTCCTAACAAGTAGTAAGAAAGGAAATAATTTGTACACCAACTTAGATAATTTCTTTGATACAAAAAATCCAGACAAAGGTGAAGCTCAAGATGTTAGCGCGTATGCAATGAATCAACCCATAGATCGCTATAATCCTGCACAACCCTATTTACCACAGGCATACAGTAGCAAATCAAAGCAAACCAATTCTTCGCCACCAAAAGCAACAGCTAGCCTTGTCCCTCCCCCGCCACCACCAGTCAAAGGAAATAACTTCCCATCTCCAATAAGCTATGAGTCATTTCCGCCATACGCGCCGTCTGCCCCAGGTTTTATACAATCGCCTTCTTTTCCTCCATCACCCTCCCTTCCTCCATCATCTGCTCCAGCCCCTGCACCAGCACCAATGCAGCCACCACCAGTAATTTTGCCTCCTAACGATACACCCATCGATACATATTCGGGTCCGAGCGTGGATGACGATGGACCTCCAGATGTTGTATATCGCTATAATCGTCCAACTCCACCACCAACCCCACAGTTCCTACCTACTATTGCACCTATAAGTCCACCATTGAAGGGATATTCTTATGATAAACCACCAATGTCTGATGATGGAATGTCAATGGATAACTCTCAAGATTTTAAAGGCTACCAGTACAATAAACCCCCGCAGTCAGCACCAAGCCCGCCGGATACGTATGATTTTCCTTCAAGCCATGATTCCTCAGGTCCAAGTTACGGCCCTTCTGACTCTATACCAGATCACCACGATTCAGACTACGCAGATATGCCATTCCAAAAGAATCCCGGCCATGCGTACGGCGATGACACAAAAGATGCCGGTATGATGCCACCACCTGATAAACCTGACTTGTACGGGGCGCCGCCAGATCACGATTTCCCCGGTGACTTCAAGTTTCCTCTCGGCTTCGATCACCACCACCCCTACCTCGAGCACCATGAGCATACCACGACGACCGAAATGCCTAGAGTTAACAGATTCAGTTATTATTATCTAGGAAAGAAATTGTACTATCTACCGTTATATTTTAGTGTCTATTTCATTGTTTATGTGGGAGCTTTGATCATAAAAGCCGTACTTCGTCATAAAATTGTTTATCCGAACAGTTGGAGGCCGAATACCACGACCGCAACATTTTTCTCTAAGAGGTCTATAGATGACTTTTTATCGCACGACAATATGCATGAATTGACCGGACGAGTAACGCACGCGATAGCTACCGCCGCTGAAAAATATATGAAGGGCAAACGGAAGCTGGAATAAGTTTCTGATAACACAACGAGTGTATATACCGTCTAAAAATAAGATATAATGCCTTTCCACCATTCTAAAGTAATAATTATGATGTTGCGATCTGGACATATTTAATAGTCTGTAATAATTATTGATTGTTTCCTAATTGAATATCTGTTCATTTGCTCAACGTCGCTAAATAAATTTTATGAGTTTCTTAAATTAATGTTTTTGCTTTATTTAGAATCTATCAATTAAAATACTTACTTTTACTTATTTACTCATCGATATTTAATATAAATTCCTTAGTTTTATATGCAATCAAATCATCATTAAATATATAAAAAAGGTATGTATTACTTCCTGAATTAGTGACTAAAAGGTTTTATGAAATTTTTCATTATATCTGTGTTCATATTAAATTCTTTAATATCTTCGAATAGTGGTCACATTTAACACATATTCTATAAATAATTACAGATTATAAAGAGACAATAATCACAAATAGATTACAATAATTTATATGCTTATAGCCAGGAATAATTTATTCTATTTACGATTATTATTATAGAAAGTAGTTTTTTTAATTCTTTCACTGGAAAAATCACGATGAGTCATCTAAAGCGTGTACAAGACCTCACTATAATAATTCGCAATAAATTACTTACTACATTCTTATTTAAGTGAGTACTAATGCAATGAGATTATAGAACAAAATTTGTTATACATTCATAAACTATTGTTTTTTCAAAGAATCACTGAAATTTAATGTGTGCGAAATTTAGTATTAGGCTAGTGATGGCACCAAATATTTTGTGACTTGAATAGATAATACAATTATTGCATATACAATATTAACTTAATATAATCACGTGAAAGTGACAATTATATGAAAATAAGTAAAATAATTATATAGATATAATGCATGGATTTGGGCACCCTATGAAAACAAATATAAGCTCATGCTGGAGCGAGTTCAAAACAAGTTTTTGAGATATTTGTACTTCAAACAATATGGCCCATACCCATTTTACCCACTCATGTATCCTACACTGTTCGTCATGGGTATGGTAGGATATAGCGAATTAAGTGTGAGACGAGGATTTTCTTTGGCGACGTATGTAATAAAAATTCTTCGGGGTTGTTTTGCGCTGGCTTTACTTCAGTGTGCCGGACGGATACGTGGGAAAACGGCATCATCCACCGTTGCTGGTTGTGCCTTTCGCGCACTCCAACTTAATGGCCAGGGCGCTCATCACGCAAACAATACGAGTGGTGAATATTGTACACCAAAAGGTTGACATTTTCACGGGGTATTGAAGTGAAATAGCAAATATTGTTCTTAACGTAATTACTACTAGAAGTAATGACAATAATTATTAAGACTTAGTTTTCATATTTTTTCTTATACCGTGTATTACTGTCGAATTGGATTATATCTGTAATGGCAGCATATATATGTGTGTGTAAATAAATAAAATAAATAAATAAATAAATTTTCCCCAAAATGTAAATACCTTCGCGTAGTACCATTTTTATAAACTATTTAGGTACATAATTGATTCCGTGGTTCAATAGTTCAGCATTGTATTACAGCCTAGATTGGAATCCCGAAAAACAAAAGTAGCCGGATACAGAACTTGCAGAAAATCAGTGAAATAACACGACAATATGTATTTGCCCTATGCCCACTTAGGGGATACAGAAAGTCACTAATATAACTCTTAAACATCTAACACAATAATTTATATTATATTACTTTTAAAATCTACATGATTATGTATAATAAAACACTATTAACGATTTAGGTGTGATCATGGTTGTTACAAAGCATCCAAAAATTCAAAACGCCCGCAGTTAAAATAAATTTAAATTAAGTTTATTTATTTATTTATTCACGTACAACAAGATAGCCGATAAATTAGATATCAGAAAGAAAAATTAAGTTTTCGTTTTTAGATTCAGAATTATAAAAAAAATTTCTTAAATTTTCTTGTCCATAGTTTACGCGAGTAGTACACATTTAAATAAAACACTAACGGTTTAAAACACGATATATTAGTAAAACTTTAACTAATATATTGCGTTTTAAACCGTTTTAAAGTGTTTTATTTACATTAATTTTGCGTTTAAAATCGTTGAGTGTTTTCTTTATGTGTGTACAGACAATTAATAAGTGAACAGAGTTTAATATATTTTGAAAGCCTTTAATTTTCACAGTCTTAAATATGATTTATAAGTTATAAGGCTTTAACATACTTATTTTCATTAAGATTAGAAATGAGACCGCTAGACTAGGAGTACATTTAGATGTGAAACTTTCTACCAAGCTAGTTCTAAATAAATTTAAAAACGTGTTACACAAAATACTATAAATTGAATTACCCCAGATAATATTCAGTGAGATTTTCATGAAAAGAGATTTATCAAAGCCGCGGCAGCAGATGGCGGGCAGCCAGTTAGAGACACGCAAATTAAATTGACACGCCGAAGACCCGTTTACTGTTTGCGGAATTCATATTTTAGTAACCGCAGTTAGGTGGACCCATGTCCCGTCTAACCAAAGTCAGTCTATATGATAACACCATACCGTGCACAGTAAAGTGATAGCAACATGTCTCGAAATATTTTAGTGATTTCATTTCATGGTTTAGTGTGGGCGGGCGTTATTGCTTTCGCGTTTTGGGCGACCGGCGCGAGCGCAGCGGCGGCGCGATACGACACCGCTACGCCGTATACGCCGCCCTTCAGTAAATACAAATATATACCCTTAAAGTGAGTATGTTTTTATTCAGTGATACATTTTTGTTTTTGTTTATATTAGTAGTATATATTAATTAATGGTTGTTATGAATAAGTGTAATTTTAGAAAAGTAAGTAAGGTTTTACTAGCAGTGTATGGCTAATAATCAACAGGTCGTGGATTCTATCCCACCGGTTCCAACATGGTTCTAATCAATTTGTAATTTTTCTAAAACATGTTGGACTTCGTCAGAAACAGATGAAGATGCTGTAAAGATTTATCTCGTTGCAGCTTCAGTTTGGATTTTTGAGTTATCTAAAACCAAAATTGGTCGTCAGCACGTTTCGTTTAATGTTATCTGGCTGGGGTATTTAATTTTTCATCAAGTAAACTTCACGCTTGCAACATCTATCATAAAACTTTACTTACTTTTAATTCGTGGTCTAAAAATACAAAAGACTGTAAATATTGTTTGTCTTTTGCCAATAATCTGAATGTATTTGATGGCAATATAATTATAATTATTTATTATTCATCATTACAGTAATGATCCAGAAGATACTTCATTGGCTCCTGAAGATGAAGCACCTTCTGGAATGGCCCCATCAGAAATGATCCTTACGGCCTTAAGAACTGCTCTCGATATAGTTAGAAGTATCAACAAGAAGAAGCTTAGCACACCGATTATTTCTAAGAAAAATAACTCTACTTCAGTTAAAGTAAGTAACATTTAAAATCTTCATTGATATTTAGTATACACACTAATAGCTAGAGATAATATATACTGCAATGTGGGACTGTTATATACAAATCCATAGTATGTATCAGTAGGTTGAAATAATTCAACGATGACGTGTGTGGACACGGTAGCTCAATTGGTTAAAGCAACAGCACGGAACGCTGTGGATACCGGGTAAAATTAAATCTAATATCCGTCGTCTTCTTAGCTATTAATGATAATACAGTTCAGAGAAATATTTGATAAACTATCGTTCATTGATTACAAGTCTTTAGTTATTTATTTATGGTCGCTCGCTTAAGCATCAGTTAAATAACACTTGCAAAGTCCTTTGACCAGCTTGTCACTAATATAAAGGCATAATTCATATTGTATAAAATGAAATAAATTATAATTCAATTTAATTAGTACTAAGTATAGAAATAATAAGTTTAGCGTCTAAAATATATTTTCGAATTTCATAAAACAATATATCGTAAACAAAACGGTAATTAATGGTTACAAAGGGGAAAAAATTGTTAAGTTATTTATAATTTAAATGTAAATAAATGTAAATAATTAAATAACTATGACCCGACGTTACCTATGATCACTCGATCGTATTAAAAAATAATGAAACTGATATATTACGTACACGTTTTATCACGTTGAAAGTGTACCTAATATATTTTACTTATGTAACCTAAATGCGGTATATATGTGTGTTACGACGGATTTTTAAAACGTACCTTATACTACTTGTGTCACGTGATACATAATTAAAAAAGTTAATTTTTATTTGCCATTCTTTATTTTAAACAATTACTATTAACATATCCGACTGTTTTACTATTTTTAAACTTATAAATAATACTTGTAAATATAGTTCTCGCGTTGTGAAGTTGGTCATTTAATAATAAAAGTAATAAAAACCATCTTGAAGCTTGTATCTAAGTAGACAAAGTGAACGGTAAATATGCACGGACCATTTATTGTGTGAAGTGATAATATATTTTATGAAATATGTTATTATTTAACATAACAAGTGAAGTGAAAACCGGGGCAGTGTAACGGTGTTCCTGAACTGGGTTAGCGGTTGTCACTGACGCTAATTGTGTGGTATAGATTCCAACCCTGTGACCAGAGCTGTTAGCACCTCGCCGTCTATAGAAGGAACAATGTTTCTGTCTGTAGTTTACGAGAGTAGATTTATATAAAACACTTTTACGGTTTAAAACGCGCTATATATTCGTTGAAAATTATTTTAACTACGTTTCGAATGCTTTGCAGTAGCCGGGGCCTCGGCAACTACGAAACGTCGGTCCATAGTTACAATAATATTCAACTTTAAATAAAACTCTTTAACGGTTTAAAACGCGATATATATTAGAAACATATTTTAACTACGGCCCGTCGTTTCGGATGCTTTGCAGCACTCGTCTCCCCGTGACATCGGCAACTAATTAATATATATCGCTGTTTTAAACCCTTAAAGTGATTTATTTAAACAATGTTTCTTTCATACTAACTACCGCCTCTGTAGCCAAACAGCGAGCTGAGCTTATTTTGATAGGTTAAATAGTAACGAAGGTTTCTTCATTAAAACTGTAGGCGCCTCGTTTTGCCCGTTTAGTTAAAAGAGGGTTATCTATTTGTTAGATTAAAATTTACAGCACATTAGTAAATTTGTAAAACAAAAACATATTTTATATTACAAATATATAAATTGTATTTATTACTTCCGTTACATTCGTTAGTCAGATTTTCTATACTATATATTGATGGTTTTAGATTTCAAGTTTTCCTTTTTATCATAGCGCTAAAAAAAGCTGAATAATTTCTTTAATGCAAATGAATTACAGCTAAGCCGAAGAAAAGCAAGTAACGGAACAGTCAGCGGACGAGGCTTCGAAGACTACTACGACGACCATCATCATCACGATGTGGAAACCACCACCGCGAAACCAGTGAAGCAAGGTAGATACACCGACCCATGGGCTGGTTACTACGACTGGATCATCAATGAGGGTTCTTTCAAATTCTGGAGCGTTTTTCAAGTAAGTAACAAACAGCGTAGAACTTATCTGTGGATCTATGTTCCACAATTGAATAGCTGTAGCGGTATTTTTCGTAATATTTAAAGGCCTGGTAAGCTTGAACGGTTTTTAGAGAGCAATAGATTAGCCAGCAGTATAATTGTGTACTTTTTATTCAAACTTTTTTGTTACAACAAAAAGCATGGATATACCATATTGAAATAAGCTTAAAATGAAAGTCTTCAAGTATTGCTAGTTCGTAATTAATTTCTTATAAGTTTAAGTCTTTATTAAAGTTGAAGTAATTGTTTACGCGGTAAATGTTAAGTTAAGTTAAGTTTTTACGCCCGTTACAAATACCATAAATGTTTCCAAACTTGTTGTATATGAATTCAAGGATTTCTAATATTCTGTTAACACCGTTTTAGTGTTTTTCTGTTCGGCGGACGATTAAATAACAATACACGAGTGAGGCTGTATCGCCAATGAACTACAGTTGTCACAAGGCAAGATTATTGTTATAAATCGTTATGGCCTCCAACGCATTGTTGCGCATCGTAGCGAAAAATTATCGTTGTTAATTACACATTGCATAAACTAAGATCCCGCTGTCCGACTGAAAGTTGCGACGGACAAACGTCATAACATTGACATAGTTATATGTTGATGGTCGCATAATGCAGGGCATTAGGAGTATGTTAGGGCCTTGTTCGTACTATTAGGCTGCGGTCGTACATAAACGCGGTCCGCGGACAGTGTAACGCTTTGCATCGCATCGAGTTCTCTGTAGTACTGACCAATAGCGATACTGTAATTATTTGAAACAATGAAGATGGACAATATTCGTTGTTACAAACCGGTCACATATTGTATGTAATATTGGCTTTCTTGAACGCGAAAAATCTATAGACGGAATCCTAAATATTTACGGTCACGTTTCTTTTACGTAGTTTTTGAACAGAAAGTCAAAAGTAGTCCTGGTCAGTAATCATTTCTTGTCTAAAAAATTCCTAATGAATTTACGATTTTTCTGGATATCTGGATATTAACAATGGGTGGTAATATGAAAATTTCGTCAGGGTCACGAACCACCGTTCACAGAGAAAAAGAGCCTCCAGTCTTCCGTTGTCATAAAAAAATGCAAACCAGCCAAACAAAAGCGTGAATACAAAGTCGGGCGAATCTCTTCTTTGATATTCTTTAGTATGATGTCAAGACAGGGTTCCATTTCTAATAGTAAGCACATCGCATGACGCTGTACGCGATCCACAGCGTTTATATAAGACTGCAGCCTAGGGCCTTGTTTGCGCTATTATAGTCTATTTACCTGCTTATGCGTCTTCAAGTGTGCAGAGGACAAAGCAATTGTGACTTCACGTTATAGCGATTACACAGAATTCCCACGTAACTTGTATTTATTATACGGTGTAGTTATCAAATCCACGTCGCCGTTTGAGATGTTGTCAGTTATCGTGATCCATTTTCACGGTCGTATCTAAAGAGGCTCAAAGCTAGACTATTTCCGGATTTTTTATTCTCATTGTTAAGTGGATATTAATGTTAATCTGTTGCGCTTCCTATTATGAGTATTTGAATAATGCCTGTAGCGATGCACGCCTCTTGGCTTAGCTCAACTTAGTTTGAACATAATTATTTTTGGCTTGTTGGTGTAATGGTTTGTATGGCTAATCAACGATTCGAAATTCCGTCTAGGTCACGAACGACCGTCCACAGGTCAAAAAGCCGTGAAGTTTAATCATCTTTCGGTTTCAGTCTGTGGATTTCCGAAAATCCAAAGCCAAAATAGTTTTATAAAAATACTTTAATAATAGCGGAGGACAATCAAGCCCATGCTTGACTGTCCTCCGCTTTTATTAAAAAAATATAGAATCCATTTTTTCATGAAGTGTCTTTATTAAAAGCAAATAATTTTTGACAATAATAAAAAATGAATTTAGTTAGAAAGAACACGACACGGGCGGATGTTGAACCGGCATCAACAGCGTTCCGTACTGCTGCTGTATCGAATTGATTAATTTCTTTAACCCATGATTAATGCATCTTACATTCAAAAAAATAAAACATTATTTTTTTAAAGATCGTTCAAGTTTAAATTGAATAAAAATTCGATAGATGGTTTTCGTACTATTATTTCTACTATTGACAAATCCGATCTGAAAACTTTTCACATCAGCTCGGATCGCTGTGGATGTCGATTCATGTCCTGCCCGTGCGATTGATATAATCGCATCTTTAAATCTACATTATAACTTACATTTTTATTACATCGCTAATACTATTAGATATACACGATAGTCGCATTCCAGGCTTACTTAGACCAAACATTCTTAAGAGCCTAGATTTCAGTTAGAAGCACAAAGACCCTTTAAATTTTTATTATATACACACGTATTTCCTTATTGCGTTCCGACGTTACCGACTCAATTGACGTTGAAAAAAATATATTCGAATAGTCCATCTGTGGGAAGCCGAACGTGCGGGTCGTGGTATTGAACCCAGCTACCAACAAAGACCGTAAAAATTTATTATGAACCCTACGTGCTCGTAAAGTACGTTTTTCGCTTCAACGATAACAGTTAAATTAATTTAAATTATCATTAAATTTGCCGTTATGATATTCGCGGGGCGTTACGCAGCATACTGTGTAAATTAATGATTAATGACAAATACGTCAGTCATAATTGTTTGAATTGTTTATCATTAGTATTATTTGAGATATGTGTTAGTTATTTACTTATTTGTATTCATTGCAGCGTCCGTTGTATTGATGAATTAATTATTTATTTGCATTATATTGCAACTCTTTAATGATATTGTACATAACAGTTTTGTTTGTGCATAGAAGTCTATTAAAGCTACTTATGTCTAAAATCATTGAAACGTATCTGCCCCATACCCCAACCGGGGCAATGGGGTTTCACATATGTGAAAACTTTAATATTTTTCACATTTCCTTCTTATAATAAAGATATGCAAAATTCTGCTCATTTTAGATCTTTTTAATAAACTACTTTTAACGGTTCAAAACGTTATTCTAAACTTACATTCGATTATTTTATCTGCGACTCGACTTTTGGGATGCTTCAGCAGCCGTGATCACAGAATGAAAGTAATTCAATAGTCATAAGTTTAACTAAGATTTTCGCGTTTTATTCTGTTAAAGTCCTTTTCTATAAATAAATAAAGTAAACAACAATTTTTATCGCTACAAACTATTCAAAAAAGAACTAAGAACTTATTAAGAAAGGTTTAGTCTGATTTTTTATTTTTCTTCTTTACAGTTATTTACTGCCGCTCTACTTCTCTACGCCTGCTTCTCAGCCATCTACTATGCAAAGTTCAACCCCATATTACCGGACTACAGTATGGAATATGATGATTATTTCTTAGAAAGAACGGTCGGTAGAAAGGCGAGAAGCCTGGACTCATCAGAAACGCCATCCGGCTTGAGCTGGATGAACCCTGCTACTTTTCAATTCATTTTGAACGCTATTTCTACATATTACAGTGAAGAGGAATAAGGTAAAAGCACAATGTTCCACGATTATTGATTTCTGATATTGTGGTAAGTACACAGTATATACATATGTTTCAAACGTCTTTTTATATTCCAAATAAAAAAATAGTACCTAGCAATTAAAGGACAATATCGCGGAATTATGTGCTTTTACCCTAAAAATTTCCAGTATAAGGAAACGATAGTTTTTTTAAATTATCGTCACTCTTGTTTCCCCGTACTGGAATTTGTACATTTAATTTAGTCTGTACAGCTCAATTTCGTATAAATAAACTTTAATTCAAACAATTTAGTTTTTATTTACAGAGAATAGAGGCCATTATAACTCAAGGGTGCATCGACCTTATCCTTCGCTAACAAATAAAACGTAACAAAAAACGATCATCAATTTTTATGCGCAGGACTTCACTGTACACTATTATTGACGGCTGGTTCTGCTTATTATCTATTCTGTATGTATTTTAATGATCTAGTGTCTGTTTTAATGTGGTACATAAATAATATTATGATAATAAGTATGTAAACCAAATCAATTGGTCTCAGATCGTTACGCTAAAATATCATAAGCATAATGTCGGGTTTTTCATCTATATAGCTTGCTTTGGGTAATAATTATTAATTTCGGTCGGGCAGAGCACAAAAGATTTCACGTTATCTGTTCTATTCATAAACATAAACACGTTCTTTATTCCTATAATGCTATTATAACAATTTAATATAAATGTCTATTTGAACTGTTTGAAATTTAATGTACATAATCGTAAGTACGTGTTAGAAGCGCCAGCCGTCCCGGGTTCGATGTCCGGTCGCCGGTCGGGTCCACTCCGCGCCCCGCCTAGGATCACAGGATGCTATTACTGTTTCAACCTTCAACGACCATTGTAACTCACGACTCTGTTTAAATTTTAATTTTAAAACACGAACTGCATGTTAATTCGCGACGCTTGTTTAATTACATAAATACATTGTAGTGTTTAATTAAATATACTTCTAAGGAATGTTTGGTGTGGTTTTGTATACTAGACATTCTTACGAATCTCATATTTTTTTTTAGTAAATATTGATTTAAAATAGATGCATAGTTTAATAAATACAATTAATTATGTTTGCATCTTTAAATTGGAAATTGATGTGTAATAACTTAAAAACTAACTACTATCTTTTAATTTGATTTCATGTATGTATATAAAGCTTTATCTAAGTTGATTAATAGATGGTTATAAATAATATTCGATGAAGTTATCTCGCGATCGAACAGTTTCCGTGCTTTGTGGTTTGTCCACCGCTTGACTCAAGATGACCCCGTTATGTTTAAAGAGGCTGATGTATTTTCTGAGGCGTGCTGGTGTAGTGTATGTTCGAACTCGGCCGGGTATTAACGTCCTTAAGCGCACTCAGCGCCTGCGCATCTCAACTGCGCGTATGTGCAACTTTTTTGTAGTGCAACGGACAATTTGTTTATATTTTTGACTAGAGTGAAGTGTTTGAAACCAGTTCATCGTTTTTAAGGATATATAACGGTAATTATGTTTTTAAATAATTGAGTAAGTAACCTGCATAGTTAGTTATCTATGCATATAAATGTTAACTGTACAGACACAAATATTGCAAACAAATAATAATTACATAAAAGTGCAACGGCAGTTTTATCTTTGAAGGATTTTTTTATCGTAATAATATGTTTATTATGCAGTGAAATCCTGTTTCCCATATAAGGCACGGGACGAACATATTTCTGTGTCACAATCCTAATACAATTCGATTAGCAGATTAAGCTTTTGTGTCTTGTGCAATTTAAACAGTTAATTTTTTCCCCGAGAGTCGACCTCATAACCACTAGTAAATAATGCAAGGACCTTAAACACGAGTCAACCGAAACGGTAATATATTAGCACCATATAAAAGACATCAACGACCGCGTCGTTTGAAGTCAATCGTTGTGTTGTTGCAAACATAACTGTATTTAAATTGTCAGATTTGAAGTTATATTGATTAAAACTTAGATTTGAAAAACTATTAATTCCTTCACATTGTATAATAGTGTATAAAGAAGATTTACTAGAAAAATATATACACGATATAACTTTTAATATGTTTAATTCGGTGTCGTTAATACTTTAAAAATACATTATCAAAAGATATCTATATTTATGTGGTAGGGATTGTCGAACTTCCGGTGAGTCATACAGGTTGCATACAAAATATAATTAGACAAAAGACTGGTCCTTTACGAATGAATCACTAAAATCAAATGGATAAACTATTTATTATCGTTATTCGTATTACTACAATTTTACTGAAAGAATTTTTTTTTTCGTGATATATATTGGTGTATAAGACGCTTACACGAGGAGGTCCTAGTCCCAAAACAGCATTATGCTTCATCCGACATTTCATCATGATGACATTGTTGACTAAGTCCAACTTTAGCCACGTAATATTTTACCACATTTTATGAATTTTCTTATACTAATTAAATATCAAACATATTACGCGCCTTGTTCATCGCAATTAAAAACAAGGTAATGGAATATAATACTAGTATTATTTACACTAAGAACTTGGTCATGAACTGATTATAGTGGAAGGTCATAGCTATTATCCAAATAAGTAATTATTATTACACAAATTATATAAGTAAAAAAAAATCATTATGTAAATTGCCATCATAAAGGATACTAACGCAAGGCTAAGAAACATAGTGTTAGTTACACTTGGAAATAATTTCGCCAAAATTAACTAGATTGGTTCTATTTTTCGATTCATTAATATGTGAATATACGCCAGTCGAGTGTAATACTGTAATTATTACTATACTGCAAATATTGCTTAGTTTTGATTTCTAAGGGTTTGAAACACAGTAGACAAGATAACCCGAGCATTAATTAATAATTTTTTGCTCAGTTCGTTCCTCAGAAATTTATGAAATATTTTCCCTAGAGTCAATTAAATAGCTTGTCCCAAACAAATTCTCTTCTTTTACCACATTAAGAGTTGAAGAAAAATTATTTCCTATTGGATGCCATCTAATCTTCAGGAAAATAGTTAATCAGTCTGAGTCCTGGGAATATTTACTATGTTAACTCTTGCTAAGTTTAAATAAAACATTCTAACCGTGGTCACGGGGAGACGGCTGCTGCAAAGCATCCGAAACCACGGGCCGAAGTTAAAAATAATTTTCAAAAAGGTTTAACTAATTTATATCGCGTTTTAAACTGTTGAAGTGTTTTATTTAAATGTGTGCTACTCGCGTAAATTGCAGACAGTATTTTCTTGCTAAGTTACTAGTAGGATTAGTAGGTACATTAGAGTTTTGATTTTCTCGTCTTTTTGTTTGAATAATTTTTTTGTAGGACTTTGTCTGTATATCAATCCATTCAATTTCATCGATGGATTCGATGAAAACTCCTGAAGTTTTATCGCGTTTCCAATTTCAAAATTGTCACGAGCGCATCTTGTTTAGGATTATCTGTCCACCTCTGTCATAAATGAAGAAAACGCTAAACATAATTACAGCTCAAAATTATGATCAGTAAAGCGTGACTCGTGAAGCAGATCGACAAGTCCTACGACACTGTTATCCATTCATCAGATACCGTTTCCGTGCATCAGTGCAAGCACCATGACTTGCCTACAAATGACGTCACGATCTATTGTGCAGGTATATTAACAGTTAGTGCAATACCATAATGGTGAAGTCGTATGTTTCATTAACGTAGTAATATAATTCGAGTTTAAGCTCATTTAATTAGTCAGACAAGGTTAATTGGAATAAAGGTATACAATACTATGTACTAATGACAATTCTGTCTAGTTTGTTATGTCAATAATAAAGGTCGTAAAAGGTGGTTTTGAGAATGTTATTTAAGACGAAAAAAGATTTGCTTTTAAATCATCCGAAATGTATTGCAAGTCAAAAATTGACATTTACCATATAAGAATTAAATTGGTTAATTAAAATTATAAAACGATCGTTTTACCTACCTTAAAGTGTTTGTTTGTTAAAATTGTACGAATAATATAAAATATTTTTAATGGTTATAAACGCGCAATATATTAAGTTTTTTATTTACACTGTTTTCGTTTTTAGCTCTCTGTAGACCTAAGCCAAGAGAGAATTAATCATAGTGTGCGTCAACTATCATTTGAAATGCTTGTTAAAACCGTGATTACAGATCTTTAAATGTGCTTCTATAGTTAGTCTAGTTTTATGTACCGTTGTGCACCACTATGGTAAGAGATAGTTCTAGAAAATTTTATATTAACCTTTTCAAAGTCAATTCAAGCCAATCTGGTCGATTAGCATAAGTTTGTTTACCTCGAGCCTTCGTTTCGCTGGAATCATTATACATTTCTGATCCTTGATTTATTTTATTATCTCTAAAGAAATGTTTTGGTAGATAAGGATAAAAGATCGTCTAAATACAGCCCTAAAAGTTAATAGTGATTTAGTTTATTCTTCAACATATCATCAAAATATACAACTTTTTCAAACTTTTATTTAATAGTAAGACTAGCTGTGCCAGCGACATCGTCCGCGAGAAGCGTTGTTTTGGGCGAGGTCAGTCGCGTCCCATCCCGTCCTTCTTGCATGTTAATATTAAAAAATAGACATTTTTTGTGGACTTTTTTTTAGATCATTTAAAGAGAAATAATTATTTTATACCTATTCTTTGGATATCTTCAACCGCTTTCGCAGAGCATGCCTCAAACACTTTTATAACACACACTAACGGTTTAAAACGCGAAATGTATTAGTTAAATTTATTTACAAATTATATTAAATACGGACCGACGTCTTAAACCGTTAATAGTGTTATTAAATGTGCACTTGTCTAAACTAAAGACATATTGTAGCAAAGTAAGTAGAATACAAGATTTAAAAAAGTAATTTAAGATTATATATGATATAGTTATAAATTATAATTATGGCCCTATAGTTATACCTTCTTAAGGGTATTTCGTTACGTAACGAGTCAAGTATCCCGGCTTATATATATTCCA